TTACATGTTTTAAGAGCGGCCATCTTCATCGTGTTGAACCTTCGTCATATTATATCGAATTGAAGCTTCTAGGACTTATTGTCTTGCATGACCCAGGCAGATGGTGGAAACACGGAGAGTAGCGGACTTGGTGATCTCTTTGACACACATGTTTCTCATCTTTCAACTTTGCATTTTGATTTCCTTCGACACTGGGACAGGCTGATTGACTTGGAATCTAGAGAGATGCAGGTCAGCTTTGAATACCTGCTATTTTTACTGGAGTACAAACTCAGCGGTTCTGCTTTGGCGATCTTATATCTACGTTTGTTTTCAGCTTTTACGGAATGACATTGCACATCCACATGGTTCTAAGGGCAGCCACTCAGCTAGTTATCTTTCTTCTATGGTTCTTGACATGAAAGATGGGTTTCAGCATCATAACGCTCATAAAGAAACTAGATTCATCTATCGGTTTGTTCGTCAAAACTCATCTGAAACTGGAGAAAGAGTACCCAGTGAAGATACGATTAGGACTGGAACCCCTGCAACTGATGACCTGGATTGCAGACTTAGAACAGGAGACCGCGTGGTACAATTCATTTCTTGATTGTTCTATTGGCATGGTTAATTTGAACCAATAAAGTTAGCTGCACGGGCCAAATTTTCTCAACCATGTTCTTGCTCACCAGCATGTTTATTTGAAAGTCTTAGATGCGAAAACTTGTGATCAATTTTTCAAATTGACATTGAAAGTATTTTGGTCATTTACCATCTTTTCTTAACGGCAATGTTTTAAAAACATTTAGTCTTAGTTTATGCTATTTCCCTTTTTTCGTTTACAAAATTTTCATATCCAGATTCTTCGCACAGAAGTCAGCCACCTGACCGTTGCAAATGGTACTATAGCGGATATTAGTCGCACTCATGTATCAGTAAGCACATTCCTCCTAGATTTTCTTTAAACAGTTTGTGGAGTTAGCTTAGTTTGTCTCAATGTTCTTACTCAGTCATGTCTAAAAGAGTCCTGGATATTCCTTTTGCTATGTCAATCCTAAGGTTTCTTTATCCAAGCGATTACGTCTTCCTTGGAGCGAACCTTCTTCTGAGGTGTCTAATCTCTCTCATGAGTTATGGCGAATTTACAAGGATGAATTCATGACATCATTTTCGATTATGAGGTGATTTTGTAATTTTTTTTATTGACTTATTAATCCTACCTACATGGGTGTCACGATATTGATTTGTGATCTTCATATTCGTCAAGGTTCAATCTCATGCAGCTTTTCATACAAAACGAACGTAGCATTGGCATCAGGAAAATGATTGTGGATCTTGAGGTGATATGTCTGATTCACCTTTTTCAGTATTCCACTTGACACGATAATGCTATTTCTTTCTTATATTCTTCTTCACGTGCTTCGTTTTGTCTTCTTTCTTCCATGTCTCTGTAGCCTCCTAGATTTGAAAATGGATCTATACTGAGCCAGGATCCAGCAATATCGTATATTTGGTCAGAAAAGAGCTTAAATAATGATCAGCGTCAAGCTATACTAAAGGTCATTGCTTTATTATGTTCGATTGATCTTTTATTTAACATGCTTTTCTTAGGGCATTTCTGAACGACAATTTTTCTGTAGCAAAGCTCATAAAAGACTTGCTTTCTTGTTTTATTTTCAGATACTCACTGCAAAGGACTATGCGTTGATCTTAGGAATGCCTGGAACAGGAAAAACCTCCACAATGGTCCATGCTGTGAAAGCTTTGTTGATCAGAGGTTCATCTGTTCTGCTTGCATCTTACACAAACTCTGCAGTTGATAATCTACTCATCAAATTAAAAGCGCAGGTCCTTCATTCCTCTAGGCAACCTTATTATTTTTCTGGATTATGACTCTTTCATTCATCTCTAAAATATTTTATAATTACGTTGACATTCTATAGTTTGATTGTACATATAGAAGGAACTAAATGACAGTTAGTTTAAGGAAGACAATAAGAAAAGTATGTCAACTCTTTAAAATGAGTTTTTAGTTTACTGAACTAGATTGGGAATGTCAACAAAGAAGTGGTGCTAGGTTGCACGTTGAAGTCGGGTTGTCCTCATTCTTTTTCTTTTGGCTAAGAATTTTATGTTATATGATTTTCTCAATATCTCTATTTGAAATGTCACATTTTTCTTCTTTTTCTTGAAATTCATGATGCAGAAAAACCTGTAGGGTCAAAAGGTATTACTGTAATACTATTACATATGGAAGTTAGGAAGAATTTATGGGAATATCAGCGAATAAACTGCATGATTTTTTTTTTTCTTAAGAGAGAGGAAAAAACCTTTTTCTTTGCGTAAGTGTCTACTTTTAGACATGTAGGAACACTTCAATACGTATGATATATTTTGAATACACTTGCAGGGAATTGAGTTTTTACGTATTGGAAGAGACGAGGCTGTACACGAAGAAGTTCGAGAAAGTTGCTTTTCAGGTATTAATATATTTTTCCAACTATTATAGCTTCGGAGTCTTCTCGATGTAGTTGAGACTTATCTTTGTAGCAGCTATGGATATGTGCAGTGTCGACGACATCAAAACAAAGTTGGACCAGGTCAAAGTTGTGGCCTCTACTTGTTTGGGAATCAATAGTCCCTTTCTTGTGAATAGGCGATTTGACGTATGCATTATTGATGAAGCTGGCCAGATTGCGCTTCCTGTATGATCTCTCATTCCTAACTAATAGGTTGAATAGATATACAACTCTTACGTAGACGACTCGGATATTGTGATAAAATTTAGGGGGATGTTGAAATAGTTAGCAAATTTGCTTAATACAAAAAACTAAGCCAACTGTCACTTTTTTAAGAAAGAATCTCACTTATGTATAAAAATTGAAAGAAAGAGTCGACACAATTGAGTTTGAGCTGGAATAATATTTAAGAAATGCATGGTTTCTTGTACGGATCAGGTTTCGATAGGACCCTTGCTGTTTGCCTCTACATTTGTTCTTGTTGGTGACCACTATCAACTGCCGCCACTAGTGCAGGTAAAGCATTTACTACCTTTTGCTCTTGTGAGGTACCTGTTTTTTCAGTAACTTCAAATCAGTGTTGTGTTGATGAAATCAGAGTACAGAAGCTAGAGAGAATGGGATGGGAATAAGCTTGTTTCGCAGGTTATCAGAAGCTCATCCTCAGGCAATTTCAGTGTTACAGAACCAGGTTTTCCTTATCTACTAGAATGGGATTATGTTAGTACTCATTGTTATTGGGTATACCATTCTGCTTTACCAATGCATTTTTATGTGCAGTACCGAATGTGTCGAGGAATCATGGAACTCTCAAATGCCTTGATATATGGAGATAGATTATGCTGTGGTTCCGCTGAAGTAGCTAATGCCACACTTGTGCTTTCAACTTTCAGTTCTACTTCGTCATGGCTTAGAAAGGTCAGTGTGTTGTTCTTAAACATTTTATAAATTAGATGCATCTTCAAGCAGCTCACCACGTTTATCCAAACCGAGGTCTGTGCATATATCACATTCCTTCTAGTTAAACTCTGGTTATTTGGTGGCAATGGCATATGGTTAGCCGTGCCCTTGACAACCTTTAAAAATGTTATCGCCACTTCAGATATTGATGCATTCTTTTGTTAGATAGACAAGCATTTCTGCTTAGCTGCACTCGTTTGCTTTACAATAATTATTGTGTTTTGCATTGACTCTGTGTAGGCTTTGTTCCACTAATAATCTGATTACATTCTTAATTCTTTTTATGTTTCAATTAGGTTTTGGAGCCAACCAGAACAGTTGTATTTATTAATACAGGTTTTTCGCTACTTACTAGTTGCTTGTTCTTCACATGAGCTCGCCATATAGGCTGGATTTTTCACGAGACTATATGATATGGTATTCTAGATATGCTGCGTGCTTTTGAAGCCAGGGATCAGAATGCGATCAACAATCCAGTTGAAGCTTCCATAATAGCTGAGGTACTGTTATAAAAGATGCATTTTAACTACAAGAAACATGGGCTTATTTTAGTAATGGTATACTTAGATCGTGGAGGAGTTAGTGAACAATGGAGTGGATAGTAAAGATATTGGAATCATTACTCCTTATAACTCACAAGCGAGCCTCATTCAACAAGCAATTCCAACGACGTCGGTGGAGATACATACTATTGACAAGTATCAGGTTTGGCTCTAGGACTCTTACCGTTCTTCTTTTCTTGAGCTTTTTATTTAGAAAGCGTGTATCTTTCAATCGCCAACCATTTGATGAGCTCAAATGCTTTAGGGAAGAGATAAAGACTGCATATTGGTATCGTTTGTGAGGTCACGGGAGAAACCAAGGAGCTCTGCTTCTTCACTGCTCGGAGATTGGCATAGGATAAACGTCGCTTTGACACGAGCAAAGGTGAGAGAGAGCATATGGTGGTGTTGAGTATTGTTAATCACATTATTGATATATATTTTGTTTGGTTTGCACAGAAAAAGTTGATAATGGTGGGATCACAAAGAACGCTATCAAGAGTTCCACTTCTGATGCTTCTGCTGAACAAGGTTAATGAGCAGTCAGGTATCTTGACTCTTTCTCCGGAGGACGTCAAAACATAAATATTGATCATGAAACGTTTCCAATATCATATTGGTTTTTTTGTGTTCACTATTTCGAATGGAGCATCTAAGGTTGTCCAAGAGAAATGTATAATTGATGTACGTTGCAATTCTGATTTTATCAATAAGAAAGAGATTAGAAGAGCATAAACCACTTGCATAACTTACATGATCAGAAAAGCGGAATGTTCATTGGAAGGTTAGTTGACGCAGTAAAACAAAGGGTTACCCTAAAATAAATAGGTGACTGGGGAACCGAACTGTAACTTAACATTGGGAAAGTGATATTTAGTTCCTATTAACATTGGACCAAGTGTTATTTAATTGCCATGAGCATTGGTCTAAGTGATGCATAAGACAAAAACCACTAAATTATCCATTCTTTAACAAGTCTAGCAATATAAGTATTCACATATCCATCGAGACCAGGCATGTCGTATTTAAGAACTTATTATCGTTAACCAACTCTTTTTGTTTTATTCATGAAATGATAAAAGATCGGAAATTTTCTGTGTTTCTTTTTTGTCTTAACTTAAATGCATGGTGCCACTATGCTCAGACATAGCCACACACCAAAAGATACACACAAACTAGCCAGGTCTAGAGGAAGGACCTCCTTATTACATCCATCTCTTCTTCGGAGAAGGAACAATTTAGCCCTGAAGACCAATGATACCTGCAAAATGGTAGACCAAAGGTCAGTCAATTGTTTCTCTCCGACTCTATTAGATCGAATGAGTAGTCATCAGGAATGAAACTTAGTATCCAGAAGATGTGGTTCTATGGACTGAAGTCCCACGATCCTACAGTTAATTTCTAATCATTTAAAAACTATGATACATCTAGACAGACATGATGTAGTAAGTGGTTTATTTTCAGACGAACCCAAAATTCAACATAAGAGTTGCCAGAAATCAAGGAGTTCAACTTTTGATTCATTTACACAGATGATTTTCCACAGAAAATCCAAGAAAATGTGGTTTATTTCTACATACCGCAAGCAACACGGCCGCCTGCGTTTCCAGTTGCCAAGCTGAGTTCGTGGCCTCCTGAAAATGTAACAAACCAAGTGAGGGTCCAGGTTAGAGAGTCGTCTTATGGACAATGTAAATTTAGGTAATTACACACACATAAGAAAGATTTAAAAAAAAAAAAAAAACAATAGCCAAAGGTCATCACCCTTTCCGAGGTCGTCAGGGTCTGCGTGGACAACTACAGCCCTTCCAATAATAGAGTTTGGTCCAGTAAGAGGAATCTGTAAAACGAACACAAAACATTGGTTGACGATAGCAGTTCCGTAAAAGGGAAAACATAAACAAAAAAATAGATACACAGCTAAGAACCTGGCAATCAGTGATTGAGAAGGTGGCAGTTCCTGAGAAAGCAAAAAAAAAAAAAAAAAAGAAGAAATTGTGTAAACCCATGAACACAAAAGCTGTTAAAAGATGAAACATGTATTACAAAACTAAGGCTGCATAAACCACGTTTGAGAGAGAATAGCAAACATATGGGATGAAGAGTTTTTCAGATAATATAAATAAAAAGCTTGAGACCAGAGACACAGATGTTGAGAAAGAATACCATCATCTCCAACAACGATGTTTCCCAGATCGCCAGCATGTCGATTAGCATCCTCGGGGGCACCGTGTTGTTTACCATCAGGGTTAAAATGTGGACCTAGAAAAGGAGATTGACCAAAGGATTAATAACAATTTCAATTACTTTGAGGATGATTAGAGCTCCCTATTTCGAGACATAATTATAAGCTCCTCGAACAAACAATTGAAGTAATAAAAATCATGTAGGCAAATACCCTCATCTCCTAAATCCATACAAAAATTTTGAGAAAGGTGTTCACAGAAGTAAAAAGAGAGTAATACCGGTAGACATGCAACCGTTAGTGGTGTCACCGAGAGCATGGACATGGAAACCATGGAGACCAGGCTTAAGTCCAGAAACTGTTCCACTCACAGTGGTCTCACCTGCAAAAACCATTCTAATGATTCCAGAAGATAAAAGATGGCTTCAAGAAACTTAAAGCGCTCTAAGCAAAACTACCTTGTCCTTCCTGGGTGAAGAAGATAGTCCCCTTAACACCCTCGCTGCTGCTCAAAACTGCAACTCCCTTGGCCATAGTTTGTATCCTCTTGTGATCTGTTAAGTTAACAGAAAAAAAAAACCATTTTTGTCAACATATAAACATAGAAAGAACATACATGCAAAGAGATCCAAAAACAACAAATAATTCTAAACATCAGAGCTATTTTAACATCTTGTTCTTGATTTAAACTTGATACCCAACAAAAGAATAGATCTTGATTAAACCCATCAAAGATTTATCGATAAGAAAGAAACACAAACCGGACACGGGTCATCAGGATGATCTACTTAATCAAAATCTAAGCCATAATAAGAGTTAAAAGTTTTGCAGATTATAAGGTCAAGACGTCTCCAGAGAAGAGTGATAAACCCAAGCAAGGAATCAATAGATCCGACGATCATAAGATTGACAAGACCATTTCTTCACAGATCTAAGCATAGATTCGGACTTGGAAAAAAAAAAATTGATGGGAGGCAAACATGTGAAGAAGAATCGATCTAAGATATCAACCATGATGAGAAATGGAGAAACACAGCAGAGAAAGGGAATCAAACAACATACCTCAGGGCACCCCTTTGGAAAGAATAAAAGTGTTTGAGCTTCTCAAATGCTGAATTCTCTCTCAAAAAATTGTGAATAATGCTTGCTCCTCCTGTCTTGTGTACTTGTCCTTCTATCTAGACACGCACGGCACGAGGTCCAAATGTGGGTAGGTGACTGATCGCTATTTATTTCTTTGTTTATTTTTGTGTTAAATTAATAAAAAATCACAGGTCAAGATAATCGATTATAGATAGACTTTTCCTAACTTTGACTCTTTTTGTTATCTCTCTTTTTGACAGTACTTTTGTTTACAGTGGAAGAAGAAACATCTCTGTGGAATATGTGGGCCCCCAATTAAATTTTGTGGACTCTCTGAAATCTGAACTTGTGGGCTCTCTCTATTGAATTTGGTGGGACTCGAATGCTCGCCCATTTAACCATATTTCTTTGTTCATCTGATTCATGCGGGAAATTGCGATAATCACCAAGGAAATAACGCATTTACGTAGAAATCTGAATGAATTTAACGTCAGATTAATCCAATTATTACTAAGTGTGTGATGGTCTAATGCTTATTAGAATACTCCATATCACAATGAAAATATGTGGATTTGTAGTGCCTACAACTCAAAAATATAGATTTGCTATTTGGGATTGAAGTAAAAAAGCACATGAAAACATAGTTTCTTGCTTTACACCTATGACAAAACAATGTACATACAAGGCTTGGATATCTAAAACGAATATTAGTACTATTAGAGTATTAGTTAACTACAGTCATATTTTCATATGTCACAAGTTTCGGACGAGGAACTCTATATATACTACTTCCGGGAGAGTTTTTGTTTTTGTTTTCATATCCTTATTGGAAATTATTCCGAAAATCCCACGTATATTTTCAGAGAATTATCAATAAAACAATAAAAAAATTTTTGCCAATGTTATCTGTTTGGGTATTTTGTTGACGTTTTCAGAATATTGGATTACGCAATTTAAATCTCATCTTTGTGCGCGAGAGAGAAATGGGAAAGCAATTAAAAGGGAAATCAATAAAAGGGGAAGAAAGAAGTTGGTATTAATGATCGGAATCGAATCACAATCACGCGTGTAAATCCTCTTCATAAGCATTCAAATTACAAACTTTTTTATTTATTTATTATAGTGCACTCATTTCAGAATCTTTCGCATCTACCAAATGCAATCTCACTTATTTTTTGTTTTATTACGATAAACTATTATTATTAGATGTAGAATATACCCCGAACAGAGGCCCGTTACAAAAATCTATGGCAAGTTTTTTAGTCGTAACAAATTTTGTCTAGTAATTGCCGTTAGGTACAACAAATGTTCACCATCTCCGTCTCAGTACCATACTTTTTTTTTTTTTTAATTTTAATGTTTGATGTTTATGAACACATTTCCATACTTTGCCTTCACTGCTTCTTCTTCTACCCACCCTTCCCTCAGATTAGGTTTCCATAGAAATTTCCATCGCGCTCTCTCTCTTTCTCGATCGCTGCTTCTTCTCAAGTTCTTCGTCGAGGACTGGATACACGGTATAATTTTCTTCTGATTTCATCGCCCTACTTCATTGATCAACGTTGGTTTTTTTTTTTTTTTTAAACTTGGCTCTTCCTCGAGTTTCGAGGTTTTCTTCTTTGGAATTTGCTTTGAAATTGAAATCGATAGGGCTCCGGAAGATCCATGTGATCTGAGTTTACTACTATTCGCTAGCGGATCCCGAGGAGTCGCTTCCTCGAAAACGTCGTCGTTCTATTTTTCCTCAATAATTATAAGCAGTTGAGTACTACATAAGCCTTTCCAATTAGATCGTCGTCGAACTGCACGCTCCGGAAACTAGGACGGTTTGATTTTCCGGCTACTCGAAAGCGCGTTGCCGACAAGTTGTCAAGGCCGGATCCCTCCAAAAAGCGAATCTATTAAGGTAAAATAAGCCACGTTTGAGTCATCGGACGAGTTCACGCGGTCGGATTTGAGAACGCGTCGTCGACGAGTCAGCGCGGTGGTTCGTTTCTGGTGACGGAGGACGATTACGTGAACTCGATACATCTCCGTTACCTGCATACTTCCATCTGAATCGCTACTTATTGATTTTTGTTTTTTGATTTCGTTGTTGTTCTGGTTGAATGTTTGGTTAGATTTTGTTATGTTCCAATCATAGAGAGAGAGAGGTTTATGATTTGTCCCAAAGAGACTATTAATCTAATTTTGTTGTCCTTTCGAGTATCAAAAGTTTCATGGTTGAGTGATTCTGAGCTGATCTAGTTTTTTTTTTTTCTACATTTTGTTGAGATAGGTGCGGAGAGAGTCCTGGTGCAAGTGATTTCGAGCGCGTTTAACCAGATTTTGTCGTAGCAACATGAATATGCCGCTGTTGGATATTCAACCACGAACATTGAAGTTTGTAGGTAAGTCAGATGTCAGGAGACTGATTCTTATCACTTGCATTATGATCATTTTTACTTCAGTTAGTAAGACACTGAGTTCTCAACTAATTTGTTCTAATTAGAATTACATCATAGTGGTGCTATGATATATGGGTCTGTCTCATGCAACATGAGCTGATGTAATGTTAAGGTGTATGCACTATGTTGTACTGAGGAGTTTTCTGGATTTGTATCTGGTGTAGTTCTGTGATTTTGCATCTTATCTCTCATTCCTGTTCATAATCGAAGATGGAAGCCGTTAAAAGAATATATTTTTCTTGCTTTTCTAATCGTCTGTAACTCTTATCCTGACTAATTGGGTTTCTCTGTTGCAGTTGATCTGAAGAAGCAGAGTACATGCGTGGTGCAGCTTACCAATACAACCCATCATTTTGTTGCATTTAAGGTCTAAAACACATTTGTTTTTGATCTTCATTTCTTTCTTTCTGGCTTCAGGATATCGAGTATATTTTCTTTTTCTTTTCGGGATAGCAAACCTAAACTAGATGTGGTATGGGTATTTTGACAGGTCAAAACTACATCACCAAAGAAGTACTGTGTCCGTCCAAATGTTGGCGTTGTTGCACCAAAATCATCCTGTGAATTCTCTGGTATGCCAACTTCTGATATCCGTTCGAACACTGCTTACATTTATTGGACCACATTTCTCGGTTTTTCCATGGGTCTACTGGCGTCGGAAATGAACTGGAATGTTTATATATGCATAGTTTGTCTTTTAGTTCTCGATTTTGAACACCGTTTGGACATTTTTTAGGATCCTAGGCTTTCTGAGTTCACATTGTAGTTGTCCAAAAGAGTTCACATTGTTCTCATTACGTAGAACTTTCGTTTTTGGCAAATTCAGATTTTGTTTGAGCACTCAAATTCAAACTGAATGATGAATCGAGCTGTATTTGTTTTTGCAGTCATTATGCAAGCTTTCAAAGAACCACCTCAAGATATGCTTTGCAAAGACAAATTCTTAATCCAGAGTACTACTGTGCCTGCGGAAACAACTGATGAAGACATCACAGCTAGCATGGTAAGCATTCCAACACCTTTTGTCCGTCCCTATCCTTAAATTGAGTTATTTGGTCTGTCAAGTGTATCTGTATAATCATTTATTCTTGGCAGTTCTCCAAAGTGGAAGGAAAACACATAGAGGAAAACAAACTGAGAGTCACCCTCGTGTTGCCCTCTGACTCACCTGAACTATCTCCAATTAATGGGAAACTGAAGCAGGAAGCTGTATTTGAAGATTCCATCCTCAAGGATCGATTATATAGTCAATCAGAGATCCTTGCTCCGCCACAATATGTAAGAAGAGTATTTTAGCCCTTTTCACGACTAAGCTTTTGAGCTTTAGTAATATATGAAGAGTCATTGACTAATTGCCAAGCAGTTAGTGTAGTTCGGTTATACCAAATCCATTTAAGCTTAGCCTACAATCACACAATTTAGGCGTTATAGGCAGTTTCTTATACTAGTCTATTGATCCCCAACATTTATATTTCTAGGAGGGTGAGATTGTTAAGGAGTCTAGGATGGTTGGACATGACGAGTTAAAGGCAGCAGATGATGCAAAGGAGTTAAAGCTACAAAAAAGGGGCATCATGGATTATATTGAAGATCTGAATCCTGCTAATGACTTAAAGGCAACTAAAGGTGGCTACGATACATTGAGGATGGCAAAAGAAACTGTAATTGAGCCAATGAGGTCTCATAAGGATGCAAATGATGGAAAGGGGATAAAGCCAACACATAATTTGGATGCTCCCACAAATATGGCCATGGATCTTCCTGGGGATCAAGGGTTTATTAATGGAGTAACTTCAGCTAACAGTGTGACTTATCCTGATGAACCAAAGATACCAAGGGACGTCGAGCTGCAGAAAACAGATGCTCAGAATATCAAAGCATTGGATGAATATAAGCTGGTTAAAGACATCGAGGAGATGAAGCTGAAAGTCAATGCTCTTGAATCCAAGCTAAAACAGGTTTGGTTATCAAAGTCAGGTGCTACCTTTTTATGCACTGTGAACTTTGTTAAAGAGTTAAACATCTGTTGCAGGCTGATTCAACCATTTCGAAGCTAATGGAGGAGCGGTCTATAAGCTCCCAACATAGACAAAGCTTGCAACAAGAGCTGGTGAGAGTTAGTAGTAGTGACAACATAAGCTGTTCCTCCTATAACCGAAACAGTTTCATAGTTACTAACAAAAGGTCGTGTGTTATATATGATGCAGGCGGAACTGAGGACGAAGAAGATAGTGAAAGAAGTGCACATAGGGTTCCCTCTGCTGTTTGTCTGCGTGGTGGCATTCATCAGCATTGTGATCGGGTATTGTCTGCGGACTTGACTTGACTGCTCGGTCTCGCTCTCACTCTTGGTCACCACATATCTTTTACATCTCTTAGCAAAAGTGTGCAGTCGGAATATATAGACAAGGAAAGGAAATTAAGGGTTTGTCTCGTTTGTGTGGGGGAGAATGATATGATATAATGTGATTCTCCGGCACTTTTAAGATGGATGATATAGACTGTATAGCGTTGGTAGTTAAGACAAGGACATATGGTATTGATGATATGCTTTGTTTCTCTGCTCTTTCATTAATTTGAAAGCAGTTTGTTGGACTTGTCTCATTTTTAGTTTGCTTTTTTTTTTTTGGTTTCTTCTTTTCGTCATCACATATATAGACTAGGGCCGTGAGGCCAGTATTCGGTAATTTGCTTTGGTTCGATATTGGGTTCATTCAATTTTAAGAATGCTTAAATTTTCCCTGTTTCGCTTTGGTTTAACGCATATAGTTTGGTTTGGTTTGGAATTGGATTGCATTCGGTTCGGTTTTACATAAAATCTAAGGAATTATTTTAATTAATATAGCAATGGCTTATTTAGGTTATTAATTATAATTAAAATGTTCAACGAATTTTTGTTTGGTTCGGCTATACCAAAGGTCGGTATCGGCTTTTAGCTCAGCAATTTTAAATACTAAAATTAAGAGTTGGATTATAAAAGCACTTCGATTCATTGGTTTAGACATATTCACATTCAATTTGGTTTGGATTGGTTCAGAGAGAAACTCAAATGGTAATATAATGATGGGTCTTTTGCACGTCTTGGTATGATATAATTATAGGAAAATTTGCATTTTTAACCCGCAAAATAATAGAAGCTAGCGCTTTAAATCTAGGTGGAATTATACTCACACTTTAAACTTTCAAACTTAATCATAAAACTTTTGTAAATCGGCAACAAGAGATGCGTGATGCATGTACAGCAAAAGACATGGATCTAGAGAGCCAAGCTTTGTGACATTTTTGCACACGTAAAGTTGTGCGATTAGGGATTCCTACTTTGTTTCAAGTTTTGCTGAATTCCGCGTTTTTAACTTTTCTAAACTTGAGGATGTCCAAGTTGCAGTGAATGGTTCACTTTAATCATGGAGGAAATCAATTCAAGAATTGTGTTTCTTCTCACACTTTATGTCGATCGCTTTCTTACCACCATTACAACTATTATCACAAAAATGTCACATAGCTTGCGAGTTGCGAGTCTTCCCCCATTTACGATTTAATCATCAAAATATTTATTCGTAACACATAATCCACACACGAGTCCTCCATCAATTCCGCAATGATTATAAGTAATTTACCAACGAAAGTTCCATATTAAGCAATATATTTCTATCAACACACTATGTATTTACCTACGATATGTTAAAGAGTTCCTGTTATGGCAATAATCGATGATAAATACATCTGGTGGATCATTTACTTAATAATTCAGTAACGTTTTCTTAGGGGAGATATACATTTTGATCATGGAGCTCAAGCTATCTTCGTTAATAAATTGGCTACGCAAAATATTCAATGGAAAAGGCAGAGTGACTCGTGAGCTTGGTAGATCCAAAAGAGGGTGTCAAGAAAAGCAGGTTTAAAAGTTCTTCCCTCTTCTTTAAGTCACCCAATTAATTTGACATATATACATACACATATTGCATTTAATTCATTTATGTATATATACATATATTTATGCATCTATAATGAGAGCATTATTAAACTCTAGAGATCTAGAGAGAGAGAGAGAGAGAGAGAGATGGGGAGGCCTCCATGCTGTGACAAGATAGGGATCAAGAAAGGACCATGGACTCCTGAAGAAGACATCATTCTTGTTTCTTACATCCAAGAACACGGTCCTGGGAACTGGAGATCTGTTCCCACCAACACTGGTCATTATGTTTAACCTATTTTATTGTTTTAATTTTTGTTATTTTCTAGCTCTTTGTTTGCATATGTGTCCTGATGTTTGCAACTTTGGCTTTTAAAGGGTTATTGAGATGCAGCAAAAGCTGTAGACTGAGATGGACAAATTACCTGAGACCTGGAATTAAACGCGGAAACTTTACTCCTCATGAGGAAGGAATGATCATTCACTTACAAGCCCTATTGGGTAACAAGTAATCTCAAAAAAAGCAACATCTCTTCATCTTTTGAATATTTTGTTTTTTATAATGATATATATGAATCCTAAATCGGCTTATTGTGTACATATGGATGTGGTTGAATCTTAAGATGGGCGTCCATAGCTTCATATCTACCACAAAGAACTGATAATGATATCAAGAACTATTGGAACACCCATTTGAAGAAAAAGCTCAACAAATCCGAGAGTGAAGAGAGAACCATTTCAGAAAACAACTCGTTGCAAACTTCAGCCACAAGAAACACCATTAATCATAGATCTACTTATGCTTCAAGCACTGAAAATATTTCTCGCCTTCTCGAAGGTTGGATGAAAGCATCCCCAAAGAGTAGCACGGCTACCTTCTTGGAACAAAAATTGCAGAATCCGACTAACAGTCTTATGGATCATCATCACAATCAGTTTCCATACGAGCAGCTACAAGGTTCTTGGGGAGAGGGTCATAGCAAAATAATCAACGGTGATGATGATACTCGTCCAAAGATTTCGGAGAATAACGTTAACGGTGGTCATGATGTTATTGAAGATGGTGATGATGATGATGATGATGATCATAACGCTACTCCACCATTAACATTTATTGAGAAATGGCTTTTGGAGGAAACAAGTACTGGTGGTCAAATGGAGGAGATGAGCCACTTGATGGAGCTTTCTAATATGCTTTAATTTAATTGTCACACAGTCTCTTTTTTCTTTTTTCCTTGTGAATCTTATTAATGAGACTATTAATTTTATATACACAAATAAAGAATCCAGAAGACATAATATATCATTATGTTTTCTTTTGGTTTCTCTAAGATATATGTACTCACTGCATAAGTTGTAACTAATCTGAACTTGTTGACTCATTTATCAATCAATAATATTATTTATAATTTTACTTTAGTCTACCTAATGATGGGAGGGAGAGGGACATATTCCGACTATACATTCTCCACAATTTATACCCTTATATTTTCGAATATATACTTTTATATAATTCACAATCACTACAAGAAAACACCTCATTTACAACCACCATATTCGTTGTAAATTCGTTGTAAATGAGTGTTTGCATCGATTTTACGACGAAAATCAAATCGTCGTGAATCGATCGTCGTAAATCAAATTTCGTCGTAAATTCGTTGTAATTAGCGACGATTTATATTCGTCGCTAATTTACGATGATTTTACAACGATTTTTAGTATTTTTTTATTTTTTATTTTTAATTTTTACAACGATTTTACAACGATTTTTATTATTTTTTTATTTTTACAACGATTTTACAACGATTTTTATTATTTTTATTATTTTTATTTATTTATTTTACGACGATTTTACAACGATTTTTTAATTTTTTTTTAATTTTTACAACAAATTTACAACGATTTTATTATTTTTCCGGCATTGGTGGTTCCGGTGGTGATAGCTCATCCGGCGGTGGTGGCTTCTCCAGCGGCGGTGGCTCCTCCTGCGCCGGTGGTCGCCGGTGGTCGCTGGTGGTTGCCGGTGGTCGCCGGTGGTCGCTGGTGGTGGTCGCCGTTGATCGCCGGTGGTCGCTGGTGGTCACCGGTGGTGGTCGCCAGTGGTCGCCGGTGGTAGCCGTTGGTGGTCGCCGGTGGTCGGCGTTGATCGCTGTTGGTGATCCGTGGTGGCCGGTGGTTACTCTGATGATAGTGATACACTGATTGTTTAATAGTTATGAGTAGGTATATATATACTAGAACAAATTTTCCAAAACTACCGATGTGGGACTTTGTATCTTTTATGAAATCGTTGTAAAATCGTTGCAATTTACGACGATTTTACGACGATTTGATTTTTTTTTTAATAAATTTTTTTTTTAAAAAAAATTAAAAAAAAATCGTTTGTAATTTACGACGATTTTACGACGATTTGTTTTTTTTTTAATAAAATTTTTTTTTAAAAATTAAAAAAAAAAACAATTTAAAATTTTTTAAAATTATTAATTTCTAAAAACAAAGTATCGTCGTAAAAACGTCGTAGATGGCGACGGTTTTACAACGATTTTCTTTGCAATGAATTAACGACGATTGTGTGCTAAATCGTCGTTAATTCGTAGTTAATTTGCGACGACAATAATTCGTTGTAAAAAATCGTTGCTAACTCTGTTTTTTCTTGTAGTGAATTGCCATAAAATTTTTACTAGTCTACTAAACATGTTGACCAAAAATATAACAACAACTAGAGTATATATCAAACACATGATTCGGTTATTTCAAATTCATTTCTTGAATCCACAGATCCAATAAATTATGCATAATTACGATTTACAAATATAGAAATTTGAAGCTATGCTTTCAAGCCTCAGTCTTAAATATGACGTACCTCTAAGAGAGCTTTTGCTCGCAAATCACATCAACTCATTACTACATATGTAGATAGTTTAAGCTTGCTCCATACACAAAAATGAGTGATCTCTATATTTTAAGAGATTATAAAATAATAATGAATTGAGAAATGTAGGCCCTCCATACGAAGGATAGAAAGACTATATGAAAGAGAGGAAGCCACGTAATTATCTCTCAAATTAATTCCTTGAGAATTTTTAGCATTAATTTCGTAAATAATTTAGCATTTATATTAAATACACATATTTTCCTACTACCGTCTATCATTTTTTTTATGAAGGAATTAAGATTGCACTTAAGTAAATGATAGACCCACCAATCGACATTAATTATCGTATGGGCACTGGACAGATTCAAGCAAACCAGGTCCTTCCTACACGGTGGACGCAAGCAAACAAAACTGTATGTTGTTTACGGCTCGTAATTTCAGTAGGCCCGCTAAATTAGTTAAATTTAAAAATTTAACAATCAAAGGCATGTAAATAATGAGCAACATGGAAGAGGAGATTATAAAAAATAACGATGCATTTGCATGGCAGCATTAGTTTTAGTATTTTGGCTGTCCCACTAAATTGGCACTAATTAGGATAACAAACTTGAATCCCAAAACTGTCAAAATCTAAAGAAAAAAAGATAAATTTCAATTACAAAACCAAAATTACAAAGCTGAAAGTTTTTCTATTAAATTAATATGATTAAAAAATTAATTTACTAGGAAAATTTAAAATTATAAATATTTGGATAATTATGTAATGTTTTTTATTTTCATAAAGCAAAAACTAAACTGAAGACTATATATATTTAATCAAACACTCTAATAAAACAAAAAAATAGTTGCCTTTTTTAATTGTTTACACACTAGCTTTTTTTTTTTTTGTGGAACAATCTACACGCTAGCTTTCTTTCTCGAAGACCAACTTTCGGCAGCCATTTTTCAAATCTGTAGCCGACTTTTCCCCGTCCCTTCCCATCTCGATCTTCATTTTCATTGTTTGCCTAACATGTAATAATTATTCGGATGACAATTATTTAACAGAAAGAATTTACCCAAACAACGGATGAATCTAATATACCAAATTGCGAGTTTTTAAAGCATTATTTTTTTTAATCTGTTTCCACTATGTTTATCTCTTGTTTCCCTTGGTTTGGTGGATCAAATAGAGATGTCATTCATTCAATGTTTCACAAAGACGGAATAATTTTTCTTTTTTTGGGTTTATTTAATAATTCGTGGTTTATTGTGAAGACTACGTGCAGTCCTTGCTGGGTCTATGTATGGGTTCTCCTTTTTGAGCTTTTAGAATATATATAAAATGGCATCAATGTTTTCTGGGAAGGTCTCTCTCAGAAAAAAAAAGACTACATTTTGGAATTTCACCTTCAACTCTCTCATTGGATCTTCCATCCAAAGATTTACTTCCAATGACTCTGGTGATCCTCTTGATCAAAAGGTCAGATTTTTATATATAACAGATAGCTCTCTCTCTCTCTCTTAAATTTTTGTTCATATCAACTTATGGGTCTTGATGCTACGATTGATCTGTTTAGTATATGTTCTTAAGCTTAGCTTGCTGATCGTTTGTTCTAATTTTGATTTCTGCTTTTCCCTAAAAAAAAAAAAATTGTAAGTTGAGCTGTCAATTGTTCTTTTTAGATCTCTTTTCTTTTTGTGGCAAACACTTGATTTAGAGTAGTTCAAAATTTTGATTAGAAATTTTTGTTTTGTTTGAAAAAATTGATCTTCTACTGGAGAAATATACTTTGACAAGGATAAATTATTCATGTATGCTTGATTTTGTTTTGGTCAACTTTCTCTTCTTGTCTCTGTTTTTCCGCAATATTCAATATCACTCTTATAAATCGGATTTGATTCTGAACGAATCTCCACCGTGATTGTACAATTCAAGTTTGTTTGGTGTATTCAAGAAACTGCTTGAGTCTTGATTCTAAATTCTCTATCAATTACTTTATGTTATCATTTCAATGTTTTTAACACAGATACTTGTAGTCTTGCTAAACGTTAAATTTGTAATTCGGTGATGCAGATTTGAAACCTGCCTTGATTGATTCTTGATCTTATATGTTGTACAAGAAGATGGCTACTAGACAAATGTCTCCAGCAAAATCTCAGACGGGTTCAAGGAGTTTGACAAGAGCTTTGGCATTAGCCTTTAATGAATGGCTACTGATGCTGATGCTCTTTGCGAACTCCATATTCTCCTACGTGATCGCTAAGTTTGCAGATTACTCCGAGCTCCAATCTCCATGTCTCATGTGCTCAAGGCTTGATCATATTCTCGGGAGGACAAAACATTTGAAGAAATCTCATTGGGACATGGTTTGCTCTAAACACAAATCAGAAATCTCCTCATTGGTTTACTGTCACGCTCATGGCAAGCTTGTAGATGTCCGTGGAATGTGCGAAACTTGCCTTTTCTCTTTTGCTACAACAAATAAGTCCAACGCTGAAACTTACAGATTATTGGTTGGTAAATTGGGTGAAGATTCTTCATTTGGATCGAAGAGTGATGGAAGCAAAAATCCAAGATACTGTACATGTTGTCATCAGCTGTGGAAGCCACAAACCGCTTCTACTGATCAGGTGGCTAAACCGGCAACGCTACCCAAGATTCGTTTGGTTAGTGATGTGAGAACCGGAAAACTATCTACACCCAAGAAAAGCGTCAGGTTCAATCAACTGCCTCATGTTGGGTACACTGAGCTCAAGATTCATTCAGATACTGAATCAGAAGCTGTATTTTCAGAAGATGAAGGTGTCGTGGTTAAAGAAGAGGATCATATGTTTCAAAACGTGGATCTTGAGACTCCTCCAGTTATCACCTTGCCTTATGATTTGGCTACCGATAAGCTGCTAAACCTTGATTTCCCTTTGCAGCCTTTGGTGGCCCGAAATGACCGAGAGGAAGTTCATTTGCAAGAGATCGATCTGAGAACTAATTCATTTTTTCCTGATCTTATTCCAGTTGATGGTATGCCTGAAATATCGGAGAATGTGTTGAAGGAGGAAGAGATCATTTCATTAGATAATCTTTTTCTGACATCACGCGCCATGGAACACCCTGCAGCTATTTCAAGAGAAAAAGAAGAGCTGATTCCCCTCCAAGATGTTTCTTTAACACCAGAGTTTAAGGAAGTTCCTGCAGATGCCTTAATGAAGGAGACTGAGCTTATTCCAGTTAATGGTGTGCCTGAAACATCAGAAAAGGTGTTGAAGGAAGAAGAGGTCGTTTCTTTAGATAATCTTTTCTTAACATCACGCGCCATGGAGCATTCCGAAGTTGTTTCAAAGGTGAAGGAAGATCTAATTCACCTCCAAGATATTTCTGTAACACCAGATTTTAAGGAAAAGTCTGAAAATGCCTTGATGGAGGAGACTGAGCTTATTTGCCTCAACGATGTTACTTCAACATCAGATGCTGCTGAAAGTGCTGAAGATCACGTCTTAATGAAGGAGACTGTTTTAAATGAGAAAGAAGATCTGATTCACCTCCAAGATACTTCTTTAACACCAAATATAAAGGGAAATCCTGCATATGCCTTAATGGAGGACACTGAGCTTATTTGCCTCAATGATGTTACTTCAACATCAGATGCTGCTGAAACTACTGAAGATGTCTTAATGGAGGAGACTGTTTTAGAGGAGAAAGAAGATCTGATTCATCTCCAAGATACATCTTTATTACCAGATTTTAAAGATAATCCTCCATATGCATTAATGGAGACTGAGCTTATTCCCCTCAATGATGTTACATCAACATCATCAGATCCTGCTGAAACTCCTGAAGATGTCTTAAAAGGAATTGAACTTATGTCCCCCCATGATATTTTTCGAGACAAGACTCCTGAGTCATTCACTACAAATGAAACCCTTGTTGAGACGTCGACGGAGAGGGGCACAAATCAAGCTGATATTAACTCCCTGGAATCTGAATATGTAGTTGTATCACCTTCAACATCTACAAAATCCATGCCTGAAAATTCAACCGAAAAGTGTAAGTTTTTCTCTCCTGCATTGCTTGTATGATGGCTTTGGACTGTACATTTAAGCACTAATATATGGCCCGCTTGTGTAGGCTTCAAATTATTGTGAAATACTTGGAATGTAATAGTTATGTATCTCTGACGAAGCAAATGCATTTTCATATCAGGTGAATCAGAAAACAAGGGAATGAAAGAGACTTCTCCTACAGTCTCTTCTGTGTCTGAAATGGCTTCTCACACAGAAGCTGCTCTCGAGTCAGAATCGGCTTCTTTCAACTCAATGTCGGTGGCAGCAGAAACAAACCTTGGTTCCGGTGAGTCTTGGATGCAAGGAGGTGAGTTACTGAATCTTGCGGATGCATACAATATCATTGTACACAACGAGGGTAGCAAGGATAGTAATGGGGTAGCACAAATAGAGCAGTGGATGAAGAAAGATACTTCTAGAGTTAGCGAAGACCTTAAAGCACTTCTTACTCAAATATCAGCTTCTCGTGGGATAGAGTTTTTGTCGCCTAGAGATATAAGCCCCAAGATATCTAGTGATCAGGAGACAAAGAACCTGGATCATGATATGCAGTTGCTAATTCAAAGGAGAATGCTGGAAAGGAACGAGAGCAACTTATCGTTGGAAGGAGTTTCAGTGAGCGAAATCGAGGGAGAAAGTGAGAGTGATCGGTTGAAAAGACAGGTTGATCATGACAGGAAATTGCTGACTGGTCTATACAAAGAGTTGGAGGAAGAAAGAAGCGCTTCAGCGGTTGCTACAAATCAAGCAATGGCTATGATTACGAGGTTGCAGGAAGAGAAGGCGTTGTTCCAAATGGAAGCTTTACAGAACCTTAGGATGATGGAAGAGCAAGCAGAATATGATATGGAAGCAATACAGAAACTGAATGATTTACTTGTTGAGAGAGAGAAACTAATTCAAGATTTAGAAGCTGAGATTGATTACTTCCGGGACCAGACACCGCAGAAGAAGAAGCTAGATAATGTGACCGGGATTGATTCGCCTAGTGAGGGAATGAGCAACAAGATACAGAACTGTCTAAGTGGGTTCAACGAAGAGAGATTATACATCGCAAGTTGTTTGGAGAAGATTGAAAACAGAGTTCAAACAGATGTAAATGGCGAGGCTCATGTCGATAATCTACCAACACAAGAATCTGTTTCTGAGCTACATGAGAGAGTAGAAAGGCTGAAGGGAGACATGTATTTCCTAGAACATGTTGTGAATTCTCTCGGGCACGGGAATGAAGGCGTGCAGTTTGTCAAGGAGATAGCTTCTCATTTGCAAACTCTGCGGAGTCTCAGCATGAAAAGAAAAGATCATACAGAGTGTTGATGCCAGCAACAACCTTCACAAAGGTGTGTCCTCTATAATTCTATGATTGTTGTGTTGATTGGGGTTTCCAAGTCTCTCTTGTGACCAAAATTTCTAGTTCGTCATATGTCGTTCTGTTTTTTTTTTTTGTTTTTTTTTTTAATGTTAGATAACTTTGTGTAGTTGCAGAGGAATCTAAAAGAAGTCAAGAATGGTGAAAAAGCTTAAGGAGTCTGTACAGCATCTTCTTCCTGGCCTTTCCCCTTTCGTATACAATTTTCCGGAATGATTCATTTTTTTTTTTTGGGTGGGTGGGGGGGGGGGGGGGTTTGGGGGTCCAAATTTTATTTTGAGGGAAGGGGGAATGGGGGGTTGTTCTAAAATTGATGGTATTTTTGTTAATTAGATTGATACTTTTGTTTAGCATGGCAAAAAGACGTGGAACTTTGTGAACCTTGGTATCCATCTCTCTGTGTTAGGGAAGGTCCTTTCCTAAACTCATATTTCGATGGCGATTTTAGACTTCTAGGGAAAAAATGTTAGAATACCAAGACATTTTATTTTTCTTTTGTGGACGCTTAACCTGTTGTTTTGGCCTGTTGTGGACACTTCAGAAAAAAAGAAACTCATTTTTTGTGTGGACATTTTTGTTGCTGTTTTGGATTAAAAAATAAACAAGACATTGATAATTTTCAGGATTAACAGTCTATTTCTTTTTGACGTAAGAAAAAGTTTGATAGAGTACAAATTTACTAAAGATAATTAAAAGAAGAAAAAAAAAAAAGAAGAAGAAGAGGGAAGATGCAAAAAGGAAGAGAAGCAAAAACCTAATATCTAAAATATTACTCTTCGTCTTTTGGCGATAACATTCGAGAATTACATGCAAGACCTTCATGCATCTTTCTAATTTCTGCTTTTAGTTTTTAAACTTCAATCATTTTTCCTTGTGTCTTAATTAATCACCTCCTTAATTAATCCCTTTAAGCTTCTTAATTTCCACAACTTTTCCTTTGCCTCAACCATATATTGTGTAGTCTCATTCATCTCCCATTCTGCACAAATCCATCTCTCACTTTTCTGATTAATTGTAAGATTGTATCACAGAACATGCCACAGCTTGTGCCCAATGCCTCAGCCTCGTTTTAACTTGCTGGGGATCATCTCCTGATAATTTATATAATACAACATTAAGTTAAAAACGTTAAAACACCATCAAATAATACATAAACCTGACTTAAAGGGTTAGGTTCCTATGTTTCTATTTCTATTTTTATCAACTTTTTTGTTATAGAGGGACATTTAATTACGTTGTATCACATTTTACGTTTTTCACAAATTATCTTAAAATATTTGAACGATGGTAAATGATAAATAACAGAACTGCGTTTTAAAAAGTGTGAAAACATTAAAAAAGAAAAAGAAAAAGAAATAGTTACCAGGAGACATAAATTTCAGGCCATCTGATGAGTCGCTTATGTGACTACCGAAAGAGGAGGATCGGTCTCCAAAGGAAGTTGATCGAGACGATGAAGATCCACCGCTGCCTGGTGTAGAAACCGGCGAGATCTGACGGTTCACAGCGAAGTAAAGGTCCAAAGCAGGCAATGTAGTCGTAAGTTGTTGGCCTTGCTCTTCGTTAAACCCAAACCCTAACTCAATAGAGCCTTTGAGCTCACTCAAGTCCTCGTCCGTCAAGTCATCTCCTCCTTCGTTTATTTGCTTCCTCTCGAGGTGATGCAGCATCTGGCGACGGCGACGTTCCCACGCGATGTCTCTTCGGGTCTCGAGCATCGAGAGTTGCTTCGAGAGACGTTTCTTGGCCTTAATTCTTGGTGGTTCCAATGGCATCTTTTGAAGCTCCTCAGCTTCACTTTCGCAGAGCGACGAAGAAGATGAGGTTGATACACTCAGTGCTTCACCAACCCTCACCATTTTTCGCTGTTGGGTAATATGTAAAAACAGCAGGCAGATTTATGATTGATTATCAGGAGAAATATTTGTGCCTTGTGATACAAGTTAGCTCAAGGGTTTTTAATCTCTCTTAAAGTTTGGTTTGTGGTGCTGGCCGCGCAGAGATATAACGCGGCCGGCACAAAATGTTAATGTAGAATGATGGAGAAGGGGATCGATGGATTCAAAGGATTTGTGAAGATCTCAGGTCTCTTCCCGGAAGCAAAAAAAGGGAGGAGAAGTTTTTTCTGTTTGGTTTATTATATGTATGTACAGAAGAGAGAAGGTTTCTGGTGAACATTTGATGGTAGAATATTATTAAGAGAAGAAACAGAGGAAATTAAAAAGGATTGTTTTCTTACAGTTTCTACCGCACGTTTTGTATTTGCTTAAAAGTACTTTCTTTTGCCATATTTTGATGGTGTTTCCCTCTGTTAAATGCCTGGTGAGTTTCTGGAACTGTTTTTATTTCTTGAGAGAGAATCTAATAACAAACACCTTTTTATGGTTTTCTGTTGGAATAACCAACTCTTTCTTGATTTAGGTTTGTTCAATTCATATATTCAACGTTCCAGTATGTTGTAGGATCTTTTTTTTTTTAATTGTTCGTCTAATCAAACAAGAAAACACACAGGACAAAAACTGATGTATACAATTGGTTGTGTTGGGTTAATTATAATGTATACTTTTTGGTAATATTCGCACTGAAAAAACAAACTTTGGTTTTTGCAATATTATATTTCAGTTTTGTTAATTTTTTAACTGATAATACATAATTTTACCAAATTTTATTAACGCGTACCATAAAATGCAACACTAATAAAAACCGGTTAAAAAGAAGAATATTAAAGTCTCTGATTGGTAACCTGCGGAATAACGGAATTGCGTTTTTAAACATAATTCCGTAGGTTTTTTGCCAATCAACAAAAATCCGCGTAATGAAAAAATACACACAAGAACGCAGATTGCGTTTTTCTTAAAAAAATACAAAAGAAAAATCATTCCGCAGAAAAACGACTTATAAATCATTTAATCTATTCCGCAAAAATTTTTTCGCAATTCCGCCATTTTACAAAGTTACCAGCCTAAACCCTGACCCACAGACGCTCTCTCCAGAGATTGCCCTTCTTCGTCCCCAAGACCCAAAAAAAAAAAAACACTCACGAAACGAAATGCAGCAGCAAGTAAAGAAAACCTCTTTGCTAATTTGTTTAGGATAATCAATTTTGAAATCGTTGATGTGAATGGTTGGTGTGCAGGGAAGCAGTAGTAGTGGATCTGGGATGGAGGTGACATGGGAGGACCAGCAGAACATTAATACTTTCAGTCGTTTCAACAACAGATTCCATGAACTCGAAGACGAAATCAAATTCGCCAAGGTTTCTCCTCCTCTTCCATCTTTTTTATTTTATTTTGTTTCTTCGTTGCGATTCTAGGGTTTTATGATTTGAATCTGTTTTTCTTCCAGCAAAAATTTAGGTTTCAATTCATCATGTTGCATCCTTTAGGTGGTGATAAGATCCAAACCGGTGAACGAACCCTACAAATTGAAAGAAATTTTCCTAATTTCGTTTAGACCGGGTTTGCTCTCAGCTAACTAGTTCACTCATTACTGATCAGTTGTCAGCATAAATACAATTATTGGTCTAGTACAGGATCGTTGATAAGGATTCGTGTCCTGATTTTTATCATCGATTAGGTGTAAACTGTAACAGCTTTGCAATGTTTAGTGATTATAAAGCCTTCTAGTGTCTAAATAAGATCATTGTAATTAGCTATTGTTATTGTGTTAAACAGTTGAGCAACAATCTGTAGTTCGGTACTTGTGTCTTTTTTTATGGAATTTATAATTTGGATTCAGTGTCTGAAGTTGTTTTCTTCTTTCTTCCCTGTATTATTGGAGGGGGGGGGGGGAAATCAAAACCAGGAGCAGCATTTGATGGAAATTATTGGTGATAAATTTGATGGCAGGAAAAGTGTGAAAATCTGGAGGATGCAGGGAACGAGTTGATCCTTGCTGATGAAGAGATGGTGCGGTTTCAAATCGGAGAAGTGTTTACTCATTTGCCCAGGGAAGAGGTGGAAACAAGGATTGAAGAGATGAAAGAGGCGACCTGCAAAAGCCTTGAAAAGCTCGAGCAAGAGAAGGAATCCATTGTCTCACAAATGGCTGAGCTCAAGAAGGTACTTTATGCCAAGTTCAAGGATTCTATCAATCTTGAAGAAGATTAATCAATTAGATCCAACTTAGAGCTTTGCTTTCTTTCTTGCATTTTCTCCCTACCCACACACCTACACTGTGTGTGTGTCTTGTACCCGAGTGTACACCCGAATTTTCAGCATATTGGGTTTGTCTCCTTTTTCTTAAGATTCATGACAGACAATGTCTACTACGTGCTTTCTCTGTTTTCCTTTTTTATTACCACTATGATTTTCAAGTATCGATCACTTCTCATTTTTATTTGGCCCGAATTTCTTTAAAAAGTTAGAAAAGGGTCATCAAGATTAGGAACGAAAGAAGCGAGCACTGGAGTGTGTTTCAGACTTTTTGCAGTGTGTTTCGTTTCTTTCCTCTCAACACAACTAAGAAGAGCAAAGACAAGTGAAAACATTAAGTCAAAAAATTATGAGGTTCAAAAGGATATAAAAACAAATAATGGACACAGAAGAAGTAATAATTATGGACTTGCAACTTGCAGTTTTGTGAAGCTCTTGGGGCCATCTCGAGTGCCTCAGAGACTGCAAAGAGATCAAAGTCCTCGTCGTCTTCTTCGGAGGATACGATGATCACTTGTTCAAGCAGAGGCAACTTGTTGAGGAGATGTCCAACTAGTGACATCTCTGCAGGGGTTGCACCAAACTCCAATATCTTCAGTATCTTCACAGGACACGATGATAGGCACAAGGAAGACGAAGAAGCAAAAGGAGAGATGCCGTCACTAAATCCATCCGTAAGCATGTGGTTAAGACCATGGAAGACGAGAGTATGAAGATTAGGGCTTTTGATAAGCAAAAGCAGCAATAAATGCCATCCTCCCTTGTCGTTGCTCTCAATAGATAAACGATTCAGGTTGTGGAATACCGGTACGGTCTCACCAAGGAAGGAAAGCACTTGAAGCGTCACGGAAGATAAACCAAGGGTTTGAACATTCTGTATCCCCATGATAAGTTTGGTGGCATCCATACGAACTCGGTGTCGGTTATATGAATCTCTTACACGCATATGACGTTTACTCAATCCAACATCGAGCCTAGCTTCAACAAGGGCATCCATTTTGACGAGCGGATAGTTGCGGGGAATAGAATCGGAGTAGTTTAAGTAGACTAGGTTTGGGGTGTTGAATGCAAGAAAAGTGCCTGGATCACCCCTGGTATGGAGATCGATGCAGGCACTACAAAATTTTGAGGGAAGGTCATAATCTTGTTTAGGATCAATAGTTAGTCTCTTGAGCGTTGGGGAAGAAACTAATGTAATTGAACTCTAACAGCAGTTTTGTAAAATCAACTCCTCAAGCACAGGGCATTTAGATAGAAACAGAGCCAACACGGTACCTCTATAACCTAATGGTATAGAATAAAGATGCAGAGTTTGAAGCTTTGTAAAGATCAAGTCTCCTCGAGTTAGCCTATCAAAGAGACCAATTTTCCCACATCCGAGTCCTAGCTTAATCAAGTAAGTTTTGGCTATAAGAAGAGAAGATGCTACAAGGCAGTGAGTATCCACTTGAAGGGAAGAGCAATATCAATGTAACATCTGTTGCTCCACGCCTCAGGGCTTTGAGTACCCAATCGTTGACAAGATCTTCGTCAACACCTCTATGGCATCTGAGAGAGAATTTGGTGAGGGGAGAATTGGATTGAAGACCCCTAACTCTATTCACAAACTCCATGAACGTAGTCCGTTCACATCGTCGTGCATGTCTTTTATAAGCCAGAAAGATGGTGTCATCAAGGTCAAGACTATCTAGTAATATAAACAAATTTCGCCACCTTTTGGACAGAGCCGATGTCGAAGCTGCCTCTTTGGTCGGGAGGAAAGACAGGATGTGGCATAGTAGATCCTCTGGTAATTTGCTGATTGCATCTTCTTCTCCTTCAATGCCGGCCGTTCTTCCTCTTTTCTGTATCCATAGAACCTAGTGACACAGCTCGATCAAGGGATTCGAATGAATCTCTTGAGTCCTGCCTGATTTTTTTTTTTTGTTCAATGCAAGGAATAAAGACAATCTTATTTATCAAAAAAAGGGTCCTTAAATAGGCTTTTGATTCTAGGGTTTCAATCGACTAAGAAAAGGAAAATACGAAGAGAGAAAATATATTCCTATTCGTTTAACACCAAAACTTCCCGGAATTTTAATTCGTACACGAGTCAAACAAATAAAAAAAAAACACACACACACACAAATACGATACATACAAGGGTCTTGGTAATTTTCAAAAACAACCCTAATTTGATTTACATCACCAAATTGTTTTCTCAGCTTTAAGCAAAACCCAATAAATGTGATAAACCGGTAAACTCAAATTGGGGTATAACTTGACGGTGGCCGGTTTACTCCAGCGGAGGAGGATACGAGCCCACCCTGACGAGCAGTTTCTTCATCAATAAACAAATCATCGGTACTTCGGAAAGCGCCGTGAGCTCCGACGATGAGCAGTCCGATGATGAGCGAAGCCAGAACGTTTTCCCCCACATCTGTATACACCAACGCCAATATCGTTACCAAGCTGAGTAATCCCAGAACAATCCGGTCATCCACTTCTCTCCCCGATATCACAATCGGATCGTTGGCGTCTCGCGAGAAGTAGAGGAGAATCCACCCGATGAAGACGACGATAAACGCGACCATAGAGATCGGGTGGTAAACCAGGCCGAGGAAAACGATGGCGAGGACGGCGAGGGCGTAGTTTGCGCGGAAGTAAGAGAGGTTGTGCCTAAGGTGCGCCATGGCCTCGTCGTATCTGTGAGGGAGAGAGAGTGCGGACAGATCGAGAAGCTCTCGCCATGGACGGAGCGTCGTGATCATCGATTGCGTCGTCTGCTTGGCGCGTGCACTCAACGATCCGATGATTGAGTTTGAAGAGGAGGAAGTTACTCCACCACCGGTGCCATAACCGTACGGCGGAGGCTTTTGATTCATTGGAAGTGGAGATTCACAGATCTCTTCAGATTGACAAATCCCTGGATTTTGAAAGAGAAGAGTCCACAAATCCCTGGATCTAGTTCCAAGTTAATTTTATCATAATTGTCCTTTAGGACCTTGTAAGTTTTATTATTACAACGGAAGCAAAAACAATTCAACTTTATCGATTGGCTCCATGAAAATGACAATTTACAGTATATATGTAATAATCCTTGTATATTCCCAATCTTCTTTTCTCAAAGATACAATTTCCAAACTCAAAATGCTAAACTAATAGAAGAACAACCCTCGACAATCCTCCAATGGATAAATGATTAAAATTATTGTTGAAATCTTTGGAACCAGTAGGCTCTCATACTGAGAGTAATAAAAATACCAACATTTCATGTCGGTAAGCTTCATCTTAGTGACGTCGGAATTATACAGAAGAATTTGGCCGCCAATTTTCATATATACAAAAAGAAAAAACAAGTAAAAAGCTTTCATCATTTATCTTTTTGCTTTGGTTTCGATTGGTTTGGGTCTCGGAGAAGAGACCGAGCCACCACCACCACCACCACCAAGTGCTGCAGCTGCCGACTCCACATGTGTGAGAAGATACTCGTAGATCTTCTTTCGTAATCGATCGATTGTTTCCTTTGAGACTTCTTGTAATCCTTCTCCATCTTCTTTCGACCCAATCTCGTCTAACCAATCATTCACGCTCTTCAGCTGCGACAGCATCCCTGCGATCTGCCCGTTATCAGACAGATTCAGATTCGAAGATGTCTCCACCACGTCCGCGTCCAAGAATCTCTCTACGAAACCCAAAAACCAATCTTGAGAAACCATTTGCAACTTCTCTGCCAGATCAGTTGCCTCGTTCAGACCATTCCCTTTCACCCAGTTTAGCGGTGGAGACTCTGATCCTGCTACTGTGGTGGCCTTTTGGCTACTACTGTTCTCCCTGTGTTTGCGGATCATGCCTTGTGCCACGAGTTTAGATCCAATCGTTGGCCGGTTTTGGACATTCCCACGGGTTTTACCGCTGGAATTATTACCCGGGTTCTCGATTATGATCACAGGTTTGCTCCTGGAGGCGGCTGGTTTGGCTGGTTTGCTGGAGTAGACAGAGAACGCCGATAAGTTAGTGATTAATGCAGCTTGGACCCAGGAGGCTGCCAATTTCTGCTTTTCCGATGCCGCTTTTACAGCTTCCTCAGATCTGTTTTCTTCATATTCTGGGGAAGATGTCGCAGAAATTAATCTAGACAGTGACTCTGTTATATTCTGAACATTCCTCAAACCGGAATGGAGCTTCAAGAACTGCTCGACGACTGGCAATGGATCATCTTCCTTCGCCGTTGACATAAGATCGTTGTACATACTACAAAATGGAGACGCAGAATAAAGTTCAGAAACAGCCACAGCAGTAAAAATAATTTCAGAGACAAAAACATATATGGATTTGTCCCTCAAACATCTCAAAAGCTCGAATGATTTCTAATGAATAAATTTTGATAGAGTTTACGCACACGAGGCATTGAAGTAAGCTCTCCGAAGCAGAGGCTTCTTGCATGGCCTCTATAGCAACAACTTGAGCAGCATCTCTATGCCTCAAGACTTCCTGCAAATATAATGTATCAGCAATGAGCCAATAAGCTTGTATTAAAATTTAATTACATTGCCTAAGACTAAAGCATAAGATGCATATGCTATGCTAAAAGGTTCTATTCTATCCCGGAGTCGATATTTTGGATTGGAAATAGGTTCAAGGAAGAAAAACCATACAACAGATACGAAATATTTTCGATCCACCACACTCAGTATTTTGCTTACAGCGTTGACATTTGGAAAAACAAATTTATTAACTGGTTGTTTTGAAGATGAATTTTCTTAATCACAATAAATTCAAAGCCTAATCATGAAGCAACCACATATGATATGAGGATCCAAGAATAGTCAAGCACATACCTGTCCTAGCCTCGAAAGAGATGAAGGGAGTGAACCCCATTGGATAGTGGCAGCCGCTAATCTTTTACCATTAACAGGGACTTTGACCAAATTCCCAGGCAATCCATTCTCCGCAGTAGATTTCTTATCCACGGACGTAGATTTCGGTCTACTCGTTTTATCTTTGGTGTCCAATATTCCGGTTGTCTCGATTTTCTTGGTTGACTGAATCTTATTGTGATCCTTAGATGATTTTGCAAATGCATTAGCCCTCTCCTGTTTGCTTGGCAACTTCTCACTTGATGTGCTTTTCCGCGGAGCCTAGAAACCAGAATTATACAAGCTATATTTAGAAATCTGAAAACAGAAAAAAACTAATAACATTTCATGAATTTACAGATGTATCTGAAAACACAAATTGTACAAAAACAGATGGAGAAATACAGAGGCTGATAGGAAAACAGACAAACGTATATGATACAAACCAAGACTCTGCAGATAGTGAGGAATGGGGAAAGTAATTTCAACTTCAAATACGGTGCTGATATAAATTGTCCAAATTTACATATCTAAATTATACCATTTGGCAGTATAAGGCTGAAAGAGCTGAAAAGGAGCTTACTGTTAAACTTCGTGCATCAGGGGTTGAATCACGTTTGGCAAGCTTCATTTTTGTGCTATCTGAACTCCTGATATCTAAATTCCCTTCCCAGCTTTTCCTCAACGCCTTGGCTCCAAACTCAATCCCCTGCACGAAGTTCTTAATCATGGGAAGCTTTTTGCCGACATTCGGACTCTCCACTTTGAGAAGAGACCGTCCCTTCTCAGATAAACCCATCCTAGGAGAACCTTTCTCCAATACCTTTGGCTTCACCTGCTGCTGCTGCTTAATCCCATTTGCAAACTTTGCAAAAGAAGTAGGCAGTGAGTAACAGCTCGTGGGGGAAGAAGGGATTGACTTTGAACCTGAAGAAGTCTTCAACTTCCCCAAAGATTCCTTCCTTACATCCAAAATCAAACCCGATTTAGCAGATTTCGCTCGGAATAGAGCAGACGGCTTCTTACCCTCAGAAGAATCTTCCCTAGAAATGCTAACGCTCAGTCTATTCCCTAGTGGTCTCTCAACCTCATTCCCACTCCCATTAGAAACCACTCCTCCTCCTTTGGAAGCTGCCTTAACTCTCTCTTTCTGTTTCGAACTCAATGAGCCATTGCAATTACCAACAGCACCATTATCACTAACCTTGTCATCAGTGAGGAACCCTAGAGAGTGAGTAGCTACGATATCTTCAGGAGTGCCAAGACAGGGATGCCTACCAGGAATGGGCCTAACACCACGGAGAATCGGGACAGGGGAGGAGGATTCGACCCTATCGACATGGATAAACTGACCTAATTGGAGCTTATCGCTAAGAATCAAGTCATCGTGTTCATCAGGAAGAGAGACGTAAGTGGCGTGAGAGGAATCAGAGACTTTGAGATAGAAGCCCTGGTTAGGGAAAAGCTCTCCTCCGGCTAGGGCAGGCACGATACTGACGACTTGTAAGAGAGAGGACCTGTGTTCTCCGGCGATTTTGACGTCGGTGTTCATGTGCTGGAGAAGCTTGAGCAAAACACCGGGCACTAGATTCGCCATCACTGAAGCGCATCACCGACGGATCTACACACTGGAGAAGACGTCAGATCTCAGAGAGAAGAGAGAAGAGAAGCAAATTTGGATTGTGGATTCCAACGAGATGATTTACAAATTGCAAACGCAGAGAGACAACTAATTAATATTATGGCCTGGGAGAGATACAAAGCAGAAGAAAGAGAAATAAATAATGAAATCAAATTAAAAGAAGAACAAAATTATGAGTGAGAGAATACAGGTAGGTTTTGAGAAGCAAGAGGAATGTGAAAATAATGTGATACTGTTGTGTCTCGTTGTACACACTCTCTCTCTCTCTTGTTTTTTTTTTTTTTTTTAAGAATGAGAGAGCAATTAAAGAAGCAAGTAAAGGGTCAGAGTCAGATTCAGGAGATGAGAAAAAGATGGGGGGATTCATTTGTTGTGTTGTGGCTTATGTGGATGTTATATATATATATTCCTCTCTTGAGTCAATAGAAACTTTTATTTACCATAAATGCATAATGTGTCTACTTGTAGTTTATATGTTTGTACATATTTCCAAGTCTGTGTTATTCAAATATGTTTGATGAAATATATCTTTACCATAAATATATAATGTTTTTATTACTCTCAAATGATTTTCCTATGGTAAATGTTTCAAAATACAATAATGCAAGTAATTAAAGGAAAAATTTGCAGGGAAACTAGAGTTTGAGGGTAAAAATGAGTGTGAAACTAAAACAGGAATTCGTTTGAAGTTTGAACGAGGAAGGTGTCATCGGAAATTAGAGCTTTTGTTGATGAGCATGCTAATGGTTCTCTTATAAGATGTATTGATGACGTAATATCTGGTTGATGATAAAAATAAATTTTTATCTGTGTAATTCTTTAAATTCGTATAAATTAAAATTCAACATTTTTAACCTTTGTATAAGTTGACAACAACAAAAGTTTAAATTTTGAGGTTCAGCATGTTACTCGATCATTTTTTTTTTTGGTATCTAGGAAATTCGAAAGAATTGTGAAAAAGTATAATAAATGGATGCGAAGCTGCAACATTGACAATCATACAACAGAGATTAAAGTGAAGTAATGACGATGAAGTTGATCCTATATTACGAGCTATTCATCATAACAAAGATGATGTCACCATTACAACGAGAACCATCACCGCTATGCTTAGGTTAACCACTGTATCGACATTTTCAAGCTTCTCCAGTTTCTCATGGAGGTCTGCCCGCATTTGTGAATATGGACATTTTTGCTTCTGCAACAACAAACATAACACGGGGTCTCAATTCCATTACTCGAATCCAGCAAAAAGGAGGAACACAACCCACTAAGCAACATATGTCAATCATGCTCAATATCCTAACCCAGCTCAAATTCATTAATCAGTTCTAATATTTCCTGTATGTAAGTACAAAATCCAAGGTTTGGATCTTTTGCATAGTTCTACTTATGATACAACCAGGGAAGGAAGTATAGACAGTAACCTCAGTTTTCGAGTCATCGTTTGGGTTGTTTGCATTCTGAAGATCATGCTCGGAAAGTTGATTGAGTGGCATCTCGGTATCGATCTTGCTATTGGACATTCTACTTGAGAAGGCTTCGTAAGCTGAATCAGTATGAATGGTCTCCATAACTGAACCGAAGAAATTTGTGACCGGTACCTGATTCCCACAATAAGTAAACTTGAAGGATGAGTAATTAATCATCTCAAGATAGACATACTTCATCAAACACGTAGAAGAAAAAATATCTAGAAGGTGCAAGTTCTTAATCTAAATCAATATCGTTTCCCTGATCATGTAATGGTGAACTTATGAACTAACCTACAGTGTTCAGCCCCTATAGAACAAACAACTAAACTGAGGTTAGTTAGTCTTCTATGGTCACAACAGAATACTGTAGTAATTTAAACTGCTAATAAAATTTTAATGAGACATTGCACACTCAATTTCCTCCTTACCTCCGCCAGATTTGGCTGGTAAAGATCAGTCCGGTAATAGGCAGTAGACATTAGCTGTCTCGGATCGTAGGACCTAAACAAACTGCACAACAGGAGGTGAACGGATGTTTGTAGCTCAGAAATTTCAGCTTGAAAGGCGTTAAAATGATCAGTAAATGTCAGAGGTAAAACATACAGAGACACATATAACTCGTTAAAATAACACAGATTGTTGGTGACGAGAGTTGCATAGTTATCGTACCTGTTAAGTGATGCATTGTCATAGATATTGAGCCTCTCAAAGAACGCAAGAGTGTAATATGTAAACCGATCTACAACAGATACGCCAATCTGAAGCAACAAAAAATTTTAGAACTGGAGATCAGTACAATGATATAAAGAAGAAACTATCGCCAAACAATCTAATGATTTTGTTGAATAATTACCCCCTTAATATCGTAATACACTTTCCATTCATGAAATAGTGAAGAGCACTTACATCTGAGTCCAGGTGATGGGAATATGAGTTCTCTCCTTTAAGACTGCTACCAATAGCCAAAACACCAGGTGATTGAAGCTACGAAAAACAATTGTCTAAGAAAGTTAACAGCATTAGAGAAAAATCCAAATGATAGATTAGATGTCAATTTCATACATTGTGAAACAACAACTAGAGTAACTGCTAAAAACAAGCTTCCCACATAAGCAAGAAAGGTACGATGGATCTCAAAATATTAACTCGAAAAGACGCAGAGCAAAACTAAAGTTTTGGCTTACGAGAGCGTTTTTCTGAAATATAAAGACGAAATTAACTCCGAAAAAGTGACACAAAGAAAGATGTACCTGGTTAAAGAGAGTGGCAGCTTGGCAAGTATCAACCATTATCATCAGCTCCTTGAATCTGGCTAGCCAAATAATGTCATTAGACTATCACAAGAGAATTAAGATGAGGCAATAAATGAATAAAGTTTGTTCCACCATGACATGGCCCATGGAAAATGTATAGGCAGGAAAAGTTAGATATTTCAAAAGACAGATTAAAAACACTGAACAAATGAATGACTTAAGAACCATCATAAATGTAACATACCTACGCTTCTCTTTCATTTGTTTTACAGCATCCGCTAAATCGTGACTCTGGAGTTCTTCTGCATCTTGAAACTTTAGAAATTCATCACCTCCATGCCCAGTCATATACAGTAGAATGTGGCTACCCTCATCACTGAGGAGACGCTTTGACCTTGGAACAGCATTCTCATGTCGCCCAGTCAAAACCCGCATGAAATTTTCAACTGTTACCTCATACCCACGATAATCTACCTGAGTGAAAATGATTTTATACAATCAGCCCTTCTTCTGGAAACGTGTATGTTATATGGGTTGGGAGCAATCGCCGTGAAAAAAAAGAGGATATACATATGATATGCCAGGAATCTAAAGGAAACACACAGAAATATACCTACTCGAGAGATAACATTTACTACTACATGAGGAGTTCATTGAGAATGATCCTTCAGCCAGAAATTTACCTCAACGTTATCTCCATACAAGTTAAGTTTGTGGTTTTCATTGTTAAAAACTTGAGCAGGATATTCATTTCTAGCATTACAGGCCATATCGTCAGCCAACATCAGAATTATCCTTTCATCTGGTATCCCAAGTCTCTTGACTGTCCTAGAAACACCAAGCAAAGAGAAAACTACGTAAGAAACAAAATGTGAAGTGAACTACCTCTATAAACGAATCGATTAAGGAAAAAACTGAGCATTACCTATACAAGGACAGAGTATTGGCCATGTGCCGGTAGTTAAACCTGAGAAATAGCAACAACAGCAATAGGTTAAACTAGGCAAGATCTGTAAATAAAACAGGTTTCTCAATCAATCAAGCACAACTCTGTCGAAATGGTGAGACGAATTTAACTCCAAAACCAATCACCATATTTTTGAAATTCATGTTCATTTGCCATACTTTGTGACCACTTATCAGAAGAAATACGTTGATATGAAAAAAAATGGAAAAAATTACGTGAATTAAGATCGAAAACAAACTGGTAAGTGCCGAAAAATGAAGAATGAATCAGAGAAAGATGGATGTGTACCCAAAAAAAAGAAGAAGAAATCAATTCTTAGTGAATGAGAGAGGATTGGGGGATTATACCAGAATCGAGAAGTGCAGACCAAGACAGCCCAATTGTTCGTGTGAATAGTTGTCTCTCCGGCGGAGAAGGCAAGCGAGGAGCAGAGAAGCATTACGAGTAGAATAATCTTCATTTAAGGAAGAAAATCTGAAAAAGGAACTGAAATCGATGAATGAGTTTTCCGAGACTAGCTCTCAGATGCGAAAAGGAGACTGATGCTGTGATGCAGATCTCACGAAGATCTATTGCCAGCACCTAAAAGAGAGAATTCGGCGACGGCGATGAAATCCCGGTCAAAATCTCAGCTTGCCGGCGGTGGGAGGTAACGGAAAAGGGAGCAGACGACGGGGAAATTAAAGACTGTGTATTTATTTTAAACGATTTACAAGTGATTTATAAGTCTTAGACAAAATTTTGCTGTTTTGATTTCAAAGTTACTGTCATGTCAAAACTTTTGTGTTATTCATTAAATGATTTTTACATTGTTAAAAGAGTGTCAAAATCTGGTGTTATTCAATGGTCTATATTGATTTCTCTTGCACTTTTATCAGCGATTTAATTTGGTTTTGGATTTATAAATTTTGCAAGTGTTATCGAAGATGGATTTTGTTATTTTGTGAAAAAAATTTCTAAATATTAGTTAAAATTTACATAATTAATTTTAAATTCATTTGTTTGATTGAAAAAAAAATATATTGTGAGTTTTTAAGCTCACGATCACGATGAATAGTTACAAGTTCAAAATAAGAATTTGTAAAACAATATGTGAATCAAAACTTATCACTGAAACTTGAAAATAAAGTTCGTAAGACGTATAATTCAAATATTGGACTACACTACAGAAGACATATAACTAATGCGGATGTATCTTAAAACAATAATCGAGGAATGCCAATGGCAAAAAGTTGTAAAAGTTATTCTTACTTGCGTCATAAGAAACCTATTTTGGAAAAGGAGAAAGAAACTATTAACTAAATTTGGTCTCTGTTGGTGTGTAAGATCGAGAGACAAGGATCAATCAGAGAGTGGCAATAAAAAGCTAAATCCAGAATTCTCCCGGATTAAAGGTGGTGGCTCGATATCAGCAATGTCAAATCTCTCCATCGACTTTGATAGATCATCAACAGAGAAAGGAATGCTGCAAAATCATTTTTATTCAAAAACAAATTAGAAAAAAACGTCGTCATCGAACATTTTAGTGCCCAACAAAAGGAGAAACTTGTTGGCATTAGTAAGTAAAAAGAAGTAACCTTGAGTCGTCATCCAAAAGAAAGGAGTTGCTAACAGCATTATTCGAATCTTCTGTCATTAGCACCCTCATATTTGCTATCACCTAATAGTATATATATACAGAGAGAGGTATATATATAGGTTAATTAAGGGTATAATCACACAGATCATAATCAGTTGCTTAAGGTAACTTACATCCGGAGAGACGCTATGTGTGCCGTATTTGTCGTCCCAGTACATCGTACTGATCCTGTATAGTTGTTGTATGCTTAGTACCTGCCCACAATTTCAATCTATCAGCAAATCTAAACTAGAAACTTCTGATTTTCCACTTTTTTCAACATTTTGTAAGAGTTTTGGCAAGGGATATATCAAACTGAGCCGGGAAAGATCAACTTACCGGGCAGAGATCATGACTGATCTCATCGAGAGTTTTCTTTGGTTTTTGGTGTATGACCTGCATTTGGAGCAAGAATTAAATAATGGTTTACCCTCATGCATGTGATCATCCTTAATTAAGGTTTAGGTCGAGGATAACGAAAGGTTACCAGAAACCCAATGGCCTGTCTTATATGCTTAAGCTCATCCCAGGAAGAACCCGCATACTGCAATTGTAATTGGTTACTTTTGTTGAGTAAAATAATAGTAGAGTGAAAGATAAGATAGATACCTCATCTGTTGCCTTGAAACACCAGTGTTCCAATTCAGACAAGCCAGCTTTGACGTACTCGCCATTGCTAAATGAACAACACTCGCGTCTCAATAATAAGCTGTTGGGGAAAACAAAGGAATCATTTGATTAGTAGAAGATAGAGAATGTTTGAGACTAGAGATATATAAGGGAATTTATTAGAAGCTAATTAATAACCCCCGGAAAACACCTGTTAAACAGTTGAACATTGATGAATGAGAATATCTGCGTAAACACCTTACGCACCAAGAATGAAGGAACCTAAAAAACCATATATAGATGAAGATTCAATCAGTGGGTAGTCTCAGAACTTGTTTTATTTTAGAAGAAATTGTTAATATAGCGAAGGCACTCACGTTGTTTGATTTCAGAGTATTGAGGAAATTTGTAAGGCCCTTCACAATTCCTTGCCAGTGAGCGATCAGTGCTTGCTGAGCTGCAGTGTTGGCCACGGAACGAGATGCTCCTTTCACTAAACTCGCCCTCGATGTTCTTGGTGCCTATTTGATGTTGAATACACTTAGCGTAAAAAAATAACCTCGTCCCGCTTGAGAACGTAACGTGGCTGCAAATTACTAATGGCTTACCTGAATGCACAATCCAAGGAGTGGAGAAATCTCCTTCTTCAAGTTGTCCCGAATCATTCCGTATATCTTTTCAACATAAGCTGTGAGCTGCTGCTTAAACAGTAGAGCTGGATATTTCGCTTCAACTTGCCTTAAAGTATCCGCTCCACCTCCTCCAGCACCGTTTATCAGGGCAAGATTTACACCTTGGGGTGCCCCACGGAAGCTCTAACGGAAACATTCTCAAAGTTAGAAACTTACCTCAAAACAAGAAAGAGAGGAAGAGAGACAAATTTCACATGCACTGTGCTTGATGGATCCCAAAACAAAATAGGTATATATATATATATATATACCTGAGTCATCCTCCCAAACAGAGTGGCAGAAGATGAACGGCGGCGCTGTGGAGCCATCCCAGCTGCACCACTAGCTTTGAGTGTGCGCTGGAGGAGTAAGAGGAGTGTTGAGGCATTGGATAACCAATAGGCCAATGTGTTGTTGTTATCTTGAGTCTGAGAGATCAAATTTCGCAACATTGATTATATATTATTCCTAAACACGTTTTCAATCACAACTAAATAGACCTAAAAACTAGGAAGCTCAAGCCAAACCTCAATAGCATGGCCTATTGTCTGAATAATGCGATCAAAGACACTGGTTCTTTCAACTTCAAATGACCTCCATTGCAGTAGGCATTTGTATATGATGCAAGCTGTGATAGGTCGGTTCCCCTGGAAACCCAAGTGTTGGACGATGCACCGGATAAGCAGCTCTTGATTTTCTTGCTGCTTCTCGTTTAATGTTTTCTGTGGTTTATCATCCACTTCTGAGGGATCCCTATGGTTCATCGAATGGCTATGCAGATCCTGATTCACATTAAAAGCCATTGGTCCATCATATTAATCCAAAATACTCAAACTGAACTGGTTAATTTACTCAAATCGGTGGCAAATGTACTCACCAAACTTGACCTCGTATCCACTGCTAGATGACCACTCTCTGAACCTCTCTGTTATTATTAAACAGATGTGTAATTTTTCAACAAAAAGATACTTGCGGTCTCATATTTCAATAAACTGTCTTTATTTACCTGTAAAATGGACCGAGAGCGGCCAGAGAGAAATTTATTAGGTGCCATGGACAGAGCCTGTTGCCGTAAGACTTTATTCTCCGATTCCAAGTTGCTGCACTTCTCCTCCATCCTGCTCACATTAACTTCAAGTGTCAGCTCATGGGACCAATTAACCATATAAGCAGGGTGATTAGATAGATATTTAATAACGAAACTTGATGATATTATTTTTACCTAGTCAGGGATTCTTGGAGTTGCTGACCTTTCTTCTCTGTCTCCTCCAGTTTCTTCCTTTTGTCTTCGAGAGACTCTTGAGATTCTTCAAATTTTCTCACTGCATCATCAGCCCTCTGTTTCTCGTTTTCTAGAGTAGCCTGTTGGAACGCAAATTAATTGATGCTAAGTAGAATCACATGTAACAGTGAATAGAAATCTTAAATCTTGATGGTACTGATTTGCAGGTAAGAGGAAAGATTAGACAACTGATTAACAATTGATAGCCAATTGTGACAGAAAGTACCTTAACACTCTCCAGTTCCTCTGTCATCAATTCAATCTTCTTTGTGTCTTCAACTAAAACTTGTGTTTCTTTGATAACGGGAGGAGCTTCTTCAGCGGCTTTCTTTGCTGCTTCGCGTTCTTTCACAAGCAATGCGTTTGTTTCATCCACTTTCTTCCGCATTTCCTCCAACGAACTCTGAAGTTTTGATATCTCCTGAGTCTTTGCTTCTTCTAAATCACCCTGAAAAATCAATTCAAAGCTATACATTATATATCTACTTCATAAAAATGATCGATTTAAATGGTGTTTCTATGGAAGATACCCTTAGACGTTTCTCCAGCTGGACACGGTATGTGAGTTCCTCCACTTTCTTTTCAAGCATATCTTTTGCCTCTTTAAGTGCTCCTGTTTCCCTTGAAGCCTGAAGATAACAGAAATGTTGAGTACGTTTGAGATAGTAAATCCAAACTAGCATCCTAATTGTGAAAGTATTCAAGAAAATCGAATAAAATTTTGTACCATTTTGAGCTTCCTAAGTTCTCTCCTGGCAAGTCTGCCTCTCCATCGTGTCTGAGATAGGATCACTCCATTTTTAAGCTTCTTGTAGTACGTGGTTGCTCTGTGACAACGCCACTGAGCCTGCCAATAGTAACAAGAAATTATATGTGTTAATGATCATAAGAAATCTAAGATAGTCTGAGACTTCTATACGCTGTTTTTAGCGTGTAACTCTCGCAAGAAAGTAAACCTGAACAATGGTGGCAGCCTTTGTTTGCTTCCTGAATCTGAATTGTTTACGAGCAGCTATGGCTCTTAGACCAGTCTGTACAACAAGCGCAGCAACATGGAGCTTTTTATACGATTTTCTAGAGTGATATCTCCGACCATTCTTCTGAATCTTCACAGCAGCAGCTTGTCGTCTCAAATTTTCGTAAAGTTTGCAGGAAAGTCTTCCTACGATAGTTACAAATGAAAGAAAAATTACATACAGCGAATCAGTCATACAGTGTGACAAACTTAATGCCCTTCAAAACTCCAAAGAGAGAGTTTGAGCATGTGAAAATCAAATGGCTTACCTCTGCATAGAGCTTGGAGAGATATTGTGGCCTTTCTCAGAACAATAAACCGTTTCTGAGCCTGATGAGTTCGTATTCGTCTCTGAATTTTTTTGGCAGCACTACTAAGAACCTCTGCCCTTCTAGCGTCGAGTTCAGCCATCTGACCAGCCCTCAAGAAGACCTTAGTTTTACCAATCTGCATTACAAAAAATTATCAGTCTGCAGTTTGTTGATTACAACTCTTCCATCATTGAACCATATTCCATTGCGGCACTACTAATAAGATACTATCGGCGCCATGAAGTAAGAGATACTCGTGAACAGTTACCTGGTATCCTTTAAGTCCCATATTGTCCAAGATCTTTTTAGATGCGGCTTTCTCATCGTAGCTGTTCAGGGAGAAGTCAGAATCTGTAAAATATTGATTTTCAACGCTCACAAAACAATTTAACGAACAGGGGAGAAATATTGTATACTTACTTCCCTTCTATAGCCGCAGGAGATAGAAGTCCAAAACGGTTTATGAACTCAAAAAAAGGTTTACGAGTTGGATACCCTGCGCAACTAATTCTGATCGCCTCTAAAACACCCTATAAAGACAACATAAAGGTTTACAGTTATTAGCACACTTTCCTGTCATTACTCGCAGGAGATTAATAACATAAAAAGGCTTTTTGGTAACATGCTCATAAACCCATATTATGTCTAGAACATCCTCACTGTGGAAAATAATATTCTCTTATTTATACTTACACCACATCGCAGCTGCTGCATGATGTTCACATTCTCAAATATGGCAGGCTTTAAAAGATTGTTAGGCTTCACACATCTGATGTAATGAGGCTCGGTAGAATTTAATGTTTCCATCAGTTGCTGGAGTTGGAGCTGCATCAATCAGGCCAACCGTATTTTACTTCTCTTACATTTACTTGTCAAGAAAAAAATATTAGTAAGACAATCTGAAGATTTACAATAGAATAAGCTTCCTACCTTAAAACGAGAGCCAATGGATGAAAACTTTGAAGATTTAGATGTTTCTTCAGGGAGTGGAGGGAAAAGACCCACGACAAAAGGACATTTAGAAGCTCCCAACAAATCTTGGTGTTCAGGGATCACATAATCCTTGTTTTTATCCAGAAATAGATCAGACTGATATAGAACCTGAAATTAAAAAAGAAAAAAAATTAAATAGAGTACATGAGAAATTAGTGAAACAGTCCCTTATGCCAATTGTTTTTGGGAAAAGAAATATACAACGTACTTCTCCAGCATAATGGGCAACGGCAAAATCTGTTCGAGAGAGTTTTGGTTTGATGAACCTCTTGTGGGTCTTAAAAGTCTGATATAACTTGTTTGCAAATGTTTCGTGGGTTGATTTTGGAAACATACTGAAAAATCACGGCTCATTAATTCAGAAAATAACATAATCACGAAAAAGGATATCTAGATGTAACTAGTTAGATCTTTAACATTACCAAGCTTCATCAAGGAGAGCAACAATTCCGCCAGGCTTCTGCAGAAGATGAAAAGGAGAAAGTGAGATTAAAAAAAAAAAAAAAAATCCATTTCGATAACATTGTCCTTTCTTGGTTAAGAAATGACCTTTTCTATAAGATCAAGAACATCTTGATTGTCCACAAATTCAATGTAGCTCCAATCTATTGCTTCTTTTGTGTACTCTTCCTGTTCCATCTTGAAAACGTGCTGAAAACAGCAAAACAAACTGATGAATTCAAAAATACTACTTAAGAATCACAGCTGGAACAAACAAAAAAAAAACTTTTGCACTACAATCAAGAAACTACCTGATTGAAATGTTGCTGCAACTTCTCATTAGTGAAGTTAATACAGAACTGTTCAAAACTGCAGAAGAACGGTATTAGAATAGAATGGAGGACAGCATATCCTGTGAGCCTTAGATCACGCAAAGGTTCATTACCTGTTAGCTTTGAAGCTCTCAAATCCGTAAATGTCCAGAACTCCAATTAGGGACCTAGAATTGGCGTCTTGTCCAATCGACTTATTAATCTTGTCTACCAACCTGCACATAACTAGAGATATTCAATTAGCATCAAATATGTAAAGATCCATTGTTGTTACTCCTAAACCAGCCACCTACCAATCAAACAATCGAGAATAGATTGTCTTAGCGAGACCGTCCCTGCTGGTAACTGCACTCTGTGGATCTAGACTTCTCTTAATAACTTCCTCTGGTGTGATCATAACACGTTTACATAATGCATCTTCAAGTGCCTTCAAATCACACCTGAAAACGAGACTTACATTTAACTTCAAGAACTGATTAACATACAGAGATTCTCTCAGAGACAAAATCTTTTTTTACGTACATGAGAAGTTCCGCTGCTGTCTTAAGATGAAATTTCGCCTTCTCATCCTTGGGAACTGATGAATCAACTTCCTTTCCCTTAGTAAATTCAATGTTTCCAATATGAAGAATTGCAGCAACCACCCTGAAAATTGCTTCCTGATAATATGTACAAAGGGAGAAAGTTCATCGTCAATATAGAACTGCAGGAAACTAAACTGAATTTGGTTGCTGCTTACACGAACCGACCTGTTCTTTTTCGCTGATTCCGACAATATCCATAGCTCTCCTTGTCGCAAGATAATCATGAGCATCGCTTATACCGACAAGCTCGTAGCACTTAGACTGGTTCAGATAATGAAAGGTCTTTGGATGACCCAGCTTGTACTTTTCAATTTCCTGCTTAGTTCCATTATGTTAGTGAGTTCTTCAGGAACAATAGATATTCCAAAAGAGCTGTAGGTGAGGTTACCTCCTGCGGTGCGGCACAAAGAAGATAGAAGCAGTGGTAATTGCGCTCCGGATCAGAGATTTGACACACACGAGACCTCTCTAGAAGATAGGTCCTTATAGCAGCTCCAGATATTCTTCCTTGCTTATCAAATTGGATTTCAACAAATTTACCAAAGCGACTGAAGCCAAAGCATATTGTACAATCATCAGATGAGTTCCCAACAATGAGTATAAGTATATGGCCACTATTATGAGGAGATTTTGGTTCACCTGGAGTTGTTATTTCTCACAGTTTTTGCATTCCCAAAGGCTTCAAGAACAGGATTTGACTGGGCGCAGAAATGACAAACAAGTTAATAGATTAAGCTCATCAAATAAGAAGATCACCGAGGTATATAGAAAGGTAATTACTTCAAGAACTTGTTGTTCAACAGTCCGTCCTTCTGTAACTGCACGACCTCCCAAATATGCAAGGTACCTCATAAGCATCTTAGTGGTTTCAGTTTTTCCTGCTCCGCTCTCGCCACTTACAAGAATCGAATTGCTTTTGCCCTCATTAATCATGGCCCTGAGTGTACATAGAGTCATAGATAAAAAGGTTTCTTATTAGGCTGAAAGCAGTATACATATATGTAGATGATAATATACAAGCAAGTATGAAAATGACCTGTATGCAACATCAGCAACTGCAAAAACATGAGGACTTAGTTCTCCAAATGGTGCTCCTTTGTATTGTTGCATCATATGGGCATCATAGATGTGAGGCAACCGTTGAAACGGATTAATCGCGATTAGGATGTTTCCTGTGTATGTCTGTCATGAACAAATAGATCATATATAGTCAAGACAGAGAATAGTAAATTTCAGGTCCTAACATTTAATCTGTAAGTAAGAAATAGGTACTAACATAGATCTCATTAAGTTCATATCTGATCTTCAAGTTCTGAAGAACACCAGGTTCGTGCAAGTAAGACAGCTTTGTCATGTCATCAACACCACCTGCAGGAGCTTCCACATCCTTTGGGTATATCTTTGACAACTTTGCAGTGACCTGTAAACAAACAGGAATCTAAATCAGTTTTGGGATTATACTAAAAGGTGTCAAGTTGAAATGCTACAATCTTGGTGATTGACTGGCCTTCTTTCCAGTAGTGGCTTGGATCACAACTTCTTCTCCATTGATCTTTTCAACCTCACCATCAATCCAAGCCACATCTGAATCTTCAACCCAAACATGAGAACCTACGATGATATTTACTGGAGTTCCCTGCAGTTTACAAAAAGCATCAGAGTGTTGATATGCTCTGAGATTGGCCGATCAAACATGAAAATTACTACCTGCAGTGACCTATGCAACACAAAATCCTAAAGGAAAGTAAGACTTTCACGTACCATTGTTCAATTAGTGGTCGTCTTTTCTTCTTCACAATAAATACAAGTCAATGAAATTGAAACCCAATCCTTGGCACATTTTTACCCACAGTTTATTTGGGTGAAGTGACTTCTTACGCAAGAAATCTAGAAAATCTGTAGATTCCGAGACAAACAGACACACAGGAGATTCGGACAACCCGGCATGAAACAAAATCGATATAAGAAATCCTCAGGAATAAGGGTCACCCAGAAAAAAAACAAAGCGATGGGATCACCAGAAACTGAAATGGAATCATGAAATTGGGAGGAATCGAGATCAGCAGGTGAGATCGGAAAAGGAGAGAGAGAGGAAGAAAAGAGGTGAAAAAGAGATTGTAGGAAGGAGTAAATAAGAAAATAGAGAGAGTGTGAGTGTGTGTGTGTGTGTGACATTGTCGTTCGCCAGAGGAATCCTTCTACTTCGGTGGGTTTCGTCCCCATGGAATTCGCGCCAATTTGTGGCCCCTAATCACTCACTGTCCCTCGCATACCACGTCCACTCTCCTTCAACAATATTATTTATTCTCGCAATCCCCCAAGTCTCTGGTAATTTCCATTTTCGTCCCAAAATTATCAAAGCTAACATGTATAGTCCAAAAGTGATGAAAACAAAACAGAAAATTAAACTTCCAGTATGGAGTTTATAGGATTGGATGTTTTGGCTATTTTGGAGATTCAAAGTATTGTTTGGATTACTATAACTTTGTTCTTCAATCAATTATTATAATGATATGTTACGTTGCATTTTATTGGTAACACAAAACGATATAGGTATGGTTAAAAAATTATAATCATTGAACCATCATCAATGAACCATCATCAATGAACCTGAATATATATATATATATATATATATATTATTGGAATGCTCTTGTTGGAAAGGCTTTGGCTTCTGAGCGATGAAGTGTCCTTTGGAGGAAACAGAGGAGACCCAAGTATAACCCATTATAAACAAAGCACAGCATCGCGGCTTTTCCTATAACAAATACACCAAAACATGATATTGTAAATTGATTTCATATACATTCCTCGAATTCTAGTATGATTAAACCGCGTTTCACATATTCACACTTGACAACTACTGTGGTGAAGGAAGCACGAGCCGGTTCAAAGGCTTCAGCACTTCCGTCAGCTGAGCAAAGGACGGTCGTAGATTCGGATCCCTGCCCAAACAAATAGAAAAAAACATACAAAACATTCGTCACATCCGCAGATTCTCCAGATTGTTTTGAGAGTTTGTCTAATGACTTACGTTTGCCAACATTCCAAGATGATCCTTCCCACCACAGGATCAAGTTCCTTGGGAATCTCAAGCCGGCGGTTCTGGAAACCAACTGCTCCTACTACTTGCATTGGGTTCATTCCTCGCCAAGGCAATCTCAATGTTGCAAGTTCCCAAAGAATTACTCCAAAACTGTACACATCACACCTGTATAATAACAGCCACGATTTATTTGTGACTTCCCCTTGAATAAGGTGAAATTAAAGTATTTTAGTTACTCATATTCCGGTATTCTGTATTTTTCCCCTTTCATGAGAAATCCAATGTGTATAGAGACCAGCCTACAAATTTGTGGTAGAGCCAAATACCGAATTGAGCGTCTAAGCTACTCACTTTTCATTTGAGGGCTCATTGCGTAGAACTTCCGGAGCCATCCATTCGGGCTAGCAAAATTAGAATGCATTTAATCAGAAAAGAAGCCGTACCCCCAAAGTAGGAGCACAGCTGGAAATTGCATCAACAAGTAAAGGGATAAAAATAAAAATAAATTATGCGTTCTCACCGTTCCAGCAGTTGATTTTGAGGATAGAAAAGTATTGTGCTTTAAGCGAGACAACCCAAAATCACCAACCTGCAAAGTCAGTGAGTAATAAATAAAACCTATCAATTCAACATCAGAGTAACAAGTCTTATTAGTTGGACAAGTTAGAAAAAATGTTTACGTACCTTAACATTCCAGTTGTTATCAACCAAAAGGTTTGGTGTTTTCAAATCGCGGTGAACAATTGTTGGTGTGCTGGTGTGTAAGCAATTCATCCCCATTGCCTGAAAAATAACAGTGGTCTAACATTCAGTGACTACATTACAAGAATAACCCAGGGGGCTTGGAACAATGCTAAATGGATCTATTTATCTACCACATCAAGGGCCATTTTAATCCGGCGCCGCTCGTCAATCTGAGACTTGGGCCGATGAAGGATACGATACAAGCTTCCTCTGTAATAAAAATATATCTTTGAGCGCTCAAAAACTATCAGATGCAATTGAGTTTCATAACAAGACGATGGGACAAACCTTGGCAGAAACTCTGTAACAATGGAAAGGTTTGGGGGACGAGTAACCGCCCCAAGGAAGAAAACAACATTTGGATGTCGCAATCTTCGCATAATGCGTACCTTCATATAAGAAAATGTTAATAATAAGAGAGAGAATTGAATGGCAGGTATATGTGCAGCTGTATCATAGGCCATTATGGTTCAATTAAAAAATATAAATGCGTAGTCTCCTTCAGCAGGAAACCCTGCTTTCAGCAATTAGCTTTGAGAATTTTATGAACATGACTACAGATAATAATTAGTAGTGACGATATGATTATGCTACCCAGATTCTAAGGTTAAGAACTGAGATCATAAAGAGGTAAACTATCCCTTTCCCTGATTAGCCTCTTGTGATGAGGTGTTTTGACCTAATTTAATATAGTAAGCAGGTTAAGAGTGCTAGTAAACAACACGAGGGAACGTATGGCTTACTTCTCTTCTGAACTCGGCCAAAGCATCACCTGAGAAGTCTTGGTCCAAAAATTTCTTGACAGCAACTTCCTAAATTCAACCATAAATAATGTGAACATAACTAACGTAAAGCAAGCTCTGGAAAAAGATAATAGATACAAGTTGCTACAATAGCAATCTTATGAAGTTAATGTAAGGTTCTGCAAAAACTAACCGTGCCATTCCAGTCAGCATGATAAACCTCCCCATAGGACCCTAACCAAAATAAGATAAGCATTAGAACATGTTATCCCTAGTAACAACCAATAGTATATGGTAGAAACCAGAAAGAGCCTATGCTACAAAACTTTGCTAACCACAGATACTAACTAGTTGCCGTCAAAGAAAAATAAAACATAAAATTTAGTTTATTCAAAAAAATATCTGGCAGGCCACATTACCTAGTCCAATTCTCTCCCCAATGACAAGATCCTTCCAAGGGATTTCACATTCACCAACCTCTGCATCATCAAGGACTTGAGGATCATTCCGGTAGGATGTAGAATCAAGAGAGGAACTTGTACTTTCTTGATCCTTAAGCCTCAGATCAGACCCAGTAGATATGTCATCACTCGTATACTTTCTATGATCATGGACGTGAGATTCATCCTTTTGGTTGCCATGTACCACAACAGCAGCATTAGGCTGAAGATCTAGTTCATTGTTGGTGTTTCTATGCACATCTTCCACCATACTTGGTGTGGACTGATTTCCAATTGAAGTGAAGGGTGGTGGCGCAGCAACCGGAGACCCAAATGTCACATTTTCTCGGCGAGGCACATTTGACGGAACCGCTACGCCGGAGCTTGAGGTAGCATATGATGAATGATTGTTTCCATAACGAGGTTCACGGTGGAGTTTCGGGAGAAGATTTTCCATATAACTATTCTCCTTCCTCTTTGGGGCTTCATTGCAGCTGTAATTCTTCCACATCATTGGTGCAGGAGATTTACCAACCAAAGGATTATTTTTTTGTTGATGCAAATCATCAACATTATTCAAACCTGATTTAGTGGGCATAAACAGCTTGTCAGTTCCCTTATTTTGAAATGGGTTAAGGTCTGCGAAAAGGTTTTTTGGGTCTTCCTCAGTGTTTTGATTGTATGGAACTATATTCATATTTGTTCTTGGACTATCATTTATGGCTCCTCGACTCCCCTTAGCAATTGCTGTCAGGGAATTATTCTCCAACTGACTGGAACTAGTTACGCTAGAAGGTGAAGCGCTCAAATCTGAATTCCGAAGTGGACCCAGCTTTGGGGTTGAGGAATCTGCCTTTTCAGACTCTGACTTTCTATCCAAAGAAGAACTATTGTCAGCCATAGAACTCTGACTATTGCCTACAGCTTCTGACAGCTTTGGCACTGATTGCCTGAAGTTATTCGACAACTGTGCTGTGGGAAATTTGTCTCCATGTGAGTTATATGGCTCAATTGCAATATCAGCAGGTATAAGCGTCCCAGGATCTGTCATAAGATCAACCAAGTACTCTCTGAAAGGAGGGGAGATATGTTACATCTTCGCAAAAAAAAAAAATACAAAAAAAAAAGTATTACTGGAATTGTAGTGAGAAGAATAAGCACCAACCTATCATCTTCCAGTCTTATTGTGTTCACAGCATCATCCTCGTTGCCCGTATAATGGCTGCCTTTTACCAACCTACAAGGTAACCTGACACTATCTGCCAAAACCTACATTGGGAGAAGTAAACTGCCCATGAATCATTTTCCATTATCAAACAAGATTTATGAGCATAAGCAGCAAGGCATCTGCTTAGGTGCAAACAAATAGTTTTGGATGTCTCATTCAAGCAAGGCAGAAGGAAATCAACTAACTCAGATTTACTAGGAAGAGGTAAGTTGAGATTAAAGCACCACATATACTATCAGTCACTGAGAGGGCAGATTCCAGTGCAAGAGGTTGAACCTCATTGAAGTAAAAAAAAGGGTATCAATATGTACAACAAAAAATCTAGGTATTCAGTTCACAGCACAAGGCATTTGTTCGGTCATCCTTCACATGACTTCATTTAAACTTTGTTTCATTAGGCGACCCGTCAGTCCGTAGACATATTTTCCACGGGAACTAGGATGTTGGATAAGAAAAGAGACCAAAGCCAGAAAGAGGGTTTAGGAAATTACCTTGAAAAGCAGAGCACGATGCCTGGAGAGACCAATATTTACAAATCCAAGAGGGAATACACAAGTGTTTAGTGCTGCCTTGAACTCGCTGCTTTTTTCAGTCCACCTTGCCAATACTATACTGGAATCTTCCGCAGATCCGCCCATATGCCCTGTGACAAGTTCAGCCAGCCTCTGTACCAACACATTAACACTGGAAGTAGGACAATCCAATGCAATGCACTGTGCAATTTGTAGCAACTCATCCAAGGAAGGATCAATGGGTCGATTTACAACCACAGCTTCAAAGCCAGGGGTTCCATGATTGCTTTCAAGATCTTCCAGCGACGGCATCTCTCCCTGCTTTGCTGAGCCTGTGGATAGGCTGTACACGTCGTAGAAACTATCGACAACTTTCTCCTCATAGTCAAGCACGCCATATTCCTAGGAAACGTTTAATACAGGTTAGTAATGTGAAATCATGGAGGCGGTGCAAAAACGGCAAGACATTCGGCTCACATAATTACTATGAATATTTCATCTTCTCCCGATGGTATGTGTCAGACAACTTTGAAAGGTAAAATGCCAGATATAGATTTTGTGGCAGGATACGTAAGTAAAGTGTGCAAAATCGGTAAGCTACAGCTTTCTAATAAAAGCTGAATCTTGATAACATCAAGCAGAACAGCAAAGAAAAATCATGAGCAGGAAGCTTCTGTGGCATATAGATCAGTGAAGTAGTGATGCAACTCTGCTACAACTACCACATTTAGAGGTACCAATCTGACATTCAATTAGCTAAGGGATCCAATAAAATCAAGAAGAATCCCCACAACCATTGAAATGCTTAATATGGCAATACATAAACAATTGTTCTCTATGGTCAGGCTTGAATTCACTATGAACAAGACTTAGTAAAGAGAGAAAAAAAGAAAAGTATGTTGAGAGTGAATTCAGCATTTCCCTACAGAAGAAGAGGACACTTACCCAGTACTGTCTGGATAACCTCTCGGCCACCACCTCCGATGAATCCCTCCTTGACTCCATCCGGTGATGGTTGCCTAAGCTCAAAAGCGTCGCCGCTCGGATCTGATGCTTCTCCGGATCCTCACCGGAGTGCGAATTCGACGCACTGATCGCTAGGGCTAACTGCACTTGGTATTCCTCCTCGGAGGATATGTAATCCGAACGGCTCGTAGCAGCCGTTGGAGAGGGAGAGGTCATCGAAGAATTGCCTCCGTTCACCGGAAGCGTCTCCGCGACAGAAGAAGGGGTTGCTTGAGGATTTGCAGCAACGTGTATCCGATTCTGATCCGTTTGTGGAACTGCATCGTTGGTCCGATTCTGCTCCTGATTTCCACCTCTGTGTAGCTTCTTGAAAATATGCTTCATCGCTCTTAGATTCTTCGTTTGGTCAAATCAAAGGGAACAAAAAAGTGGTGGAAGTGAGAAACAACGACGGAAATTTAGCCGGCGACGAAAAAAGGGAGGGACCAAGTTCGCTGGATTTACGAGTATGCCACTCTGTTGACCTTTTGTAAAATTATATCCAATGAAGACGAAGCAAAAGGGGAAATGTGACACGTCGCCAACGGACCCACACGCTGAAAACTTTTACGCGGGATAATTGGATTAAGGTGAATGAATACACAAATTAGATGACTTAAACATTTCTTTGTAAAATTACCATATTTTTCTTTTCATAATTAGAGATTTCAAACCGAAATCCAAACATGTTAATCTAGGGATGGACAATTTGACATAAAACTATATAAGTGCATGAAAATGACCAACTTTCCAAACGAGCTAGCTTGCTTATTATATGAGGTACCTATTAACATTTTTACGCTAGGGTTCAATGATCATGAAACCATTTCTTATCATCCTTCCATATCATTAAAAGACTAGTAAACCAACAGAAATGAAAACTGAAAACAAAAAGTGACTTTGATTCATAATTCATTAATCAAAATGGAGACGATGAATAGAGAGCTGAGTCATCCCATCATCAGAGCTTGGTATACCAACAGAGCCTTTGACCCAGATGGAACCATGCCAAAGAACCAAGACTTCAGCAAATAAATCTTTTATTCATGATATTGCAATACCTACAGATCAACCAAACTTACACACCCGACCACGTTTCTCTTCTGTGACAAGATTTCAACGTTCTTCTTGCAAAAATTGATTGGAAAAGAAACTACAAATAATACAACAACAACTCTCAGCGTTCTGTCTCTCTGTGGAATGGTTCAGCCAACCATCATTCTGACTCTGAGTGTAACAGCTTGGTCTTCTTACTGGGTCTTGCCGGGTTTTTAGCTGGAACTGCTTTTTGCCCTATCCAATCAAGAGTTCATAAGTATATTAAAAACCTCACAATCCATATCACTAGTAAGATAACAAAAGTTTAAGTTGTGAATCTATAAATTCAAACACTAAACGTCCCAAATTTGTTTTATCTACCCATTTAGGTTGCAACAATATTGCTCAATGTCCAAATCGGATAAATCTCTACTAAATTGCATTGTGTCACACTTTGAAGAGCAAATAGATTTTCAGGAACATACTCAAAATTTTGGATGGTAATTTTCGGCAACACTACTACGTGAAGAAAAGGGAGAAATGTTCACAAACTTACAATTAATGCTCGTTTTCAACTTCTTCCTCTTCCGATTACTTACTTGATCTCCACTATGTATCAATCTATAATCTCGTAAAGGATGGTACTTCATGGATTCTAGCTCTTTCTTGGCCATGTCAAATCGGTGTTTTACTTCCTTCTGCAATTACAAAGAAAGTATGTTAAGAAACAGTTAAAAAGGTAAGTGGAAACATGATTGAAAAACCCTAATGTATACTCACAAGTGCCCTCTTCACACCCATGATTTGCTGTTTGCATAACTTAACTTCCATCTCAAGTGCACGCAATCGGCCCTCAACAGGAACAGCGTTTTGCTCAACCATTTGTTTTTGTCTGCCACGCACGACCTCTGGCTGCCAAACGTTCAAAGCTACTGATGCTTGCCTGGAGAGAGCCAATCACAAATGACATCAGAAGGATGAATGAGGCAAGAACAGTAGACCAATCTCAGATTCACTTTGATCAATAAAGAATCATCTTTTCATACTGTCACAAAAGAATAAGCAAACTAAGACTGAAAATTTCGTAGAAACAATCAAAACAACAACAACAACAAAAGCTTTCTGGATTTTGACAAGATGTTCATCACGTTTAGGACTACCTGATTTTCTGCAAATTTGAAAATTCCGCAGAAGCAGCATGTAATCTCTCTGCCTCCTCTGAAAATCGAGCTTCCAATTCACGAATCCTCCGGCCCCACTCTGAAATTTCACTTTCCTTCCTCAGTAGAACTCTTCTATGGGCAGCTACTTTCCTTTCCTTCTCCCTCTCAAACCTAAATTAGATATTTTTCATAAAGCTTGAATTCTCACAGCTCATAATTTGAAATAATCTGTCCTTTGTTTTCTATCAAACACTGACAACACAAGAAATCTCAGCAGCATAATTTCATAGTATATATCAATACCTTGTCCTGTAGATGAACTTGGTGGGAGATTGAGAAGAGGAAGAAGAGTCGATGTAGCTGGGGAAATCAAGGAAGAGCAGAAGGAGCCAGAGGGAATCATCGCAGGACAATCGGCAGAGACGGCGAGAGGAGATTGAGATGCAGCAGAGATCTCTGTAGGAGAAAGTCGACGACTTTACGCCAATCTCTAGTATCTTCCTCCATAACTCGTCAGGTATCTCGTTTGCCGACATTCTCTTTCTAAGTTATTGCATTTTGGGGGTGCGCAGAGGCAAAACGAAGATCCTTTGTGTTTTTTTTGAAGAGGCTGATTTGTAAGAAATTGAAAGTTTGAAGGTCTTTTTGCAATTTTCCTATTTTCCTATCCGGTTAACCATGAGCTAGTCATGACTCAGCAGAAGCACCCTCTTCTCTATCGTCGTCGTCGTCTTCCTCCGGAGCCGAAAATGGCATAGCGATATATCAAATATTCCCCACGAGTATTGATAATAATGGAGTCTAGTAGTATCCTGGATTCGCTTGGAGTTGAGATAATCGGCGTGATGGCTCCCGTCTCCATCTGCATGTTCCTCGTCGTCCTTCTCACCTACTCTCTCTCTGTCACCTCCGACTCTCAGATCCGTACCGCCGCAAACCTCATATACATCGAGAATCCCTCTGACTCCGCCACCGTCAAGCTCGAAGGTAGCCTCGCCAACGCCATCGTCTTCGTCGTCCTCGTTGCCGCCGTCACTTTCGTACTTGTTCTCCTCTTCTACTACAACTTCACCAATTTCCTCAAGCATTACATGCGCTTCTCCGCCTTCTTCGTCTTGGGTTTGTTTCCTTTACCTCCTCTTGTTGTTAGGGTTTTACTCGATTAGCCTGTTGATCAATGTTGAGATTGTGTGCTGGATTCCGTTTCTTTCTATCTTAGGTACAATGGGTGGAGCAATTTTCCTGTCGATTATCCAGCATTTCTCAATTCCTGTTGATTCCATCACCTGCTTCATATTGCTTTTCAATTTCACGATCTTGGGGACTTTGTCTGTGTTTTCTGGTGGGATACCAATTGTGCTAAGGCAGTGTTATATGGTTGTTATGGGGATAGTTGTTGCAGCTTGGTTCACTAAGTTGCCTGAGTGGACTACATGGTTTATACTGGTGGCTTTAGCTTTGTATGATTTGGTTGCTGTTTTAGCGCCTGGTGGTCCACTTAAGCTCTTGGTGGAGCTGGCTTCAAGCCGCGACGAGGAACTCCCTGCCATGGTTTATGAAGCTAGGCCGACTGTCTCAGGCCACCAAGGGAGAAACCGTGGCTCGAGTTTAAGGGTTTTGGTTGGTGGTGGTGGGGTTTCAGATTCTGGATCAGTAGAGCTGCAAGCAGTTGGGAATCATGTTGCAAATCAACAAGGAAGAGGAAATTCTCATAACCTGGATTATAATGCTGTTGCTGTGAGGGATATAGATAGTGTAGATGGTGATGGTAATGGAAACGGAGACGGTGTTTCAAGGTCACCTCACGAAAGACACTTTGCATCTGCAGTATCCTCAGAGCACTCAACCGAAGTTAGAGTCAGAGGAAATAATGAAATCAGAGAAACGGAAACTGATGAAGAAATGTCTCCTCTGGTTGAGTTGATGGGCTGGGGGGATAATAATAGGGAAGAAGCGAGAGGTTTGGAGGAGTCGGATAACAACGTGGACAGTTTAAACAGAGGAATCAAACTTGGTCTTGGAGACTTTATCTTCTACAGTGTTCTTGTTGGTAGGGCAGCAATGTATGATCTGATGACAGTGTATGCGTGTTACCTTGCCATCATCTCGGGACTTGGGTGCACTCTTATATTGTTGTCCGTGTACAACCGAGCTCTGCCAGCACTTCCCATATCAATCATGTTGGGTGTTGTCTTTTACTTCTTGACACGATTGTTGATGGAGCCTTTCGTTGTCGGGATGACAACAAACTTGATGATGTTCTGATCACAAACATTCTAGCGGAAGATAGTGTGTCTTGTTTGCTTGACTGAGAGATGCTGAACATGATGTATCCATGTATTGCACCCTTGTGCTGTTTTAGTTGAAGCAAATATTTTGTTAGTGTTGAGCGATATTCTGTGGGAAAATCTGCTAATGTAACCCAACAGGTAGTTGATTTCGGTTTGTAAATGTTTAGTCTCTGATGTGGATCATTTTAGCATAATGGTTGTAGACATTTCAGGTTTGATTGAAAACTTTAGGATGATTGATCTATGCTTTTGGGTTTGAGGTGGTTTGGTGGAATATAATGAAGGGTCCCATTCATAACCGATATTTATTTTGGTTTGGTCGATTGGAATTTGATTTGGTAATCGTTAAGATATTATGACATGATAAAACATACAAGTTAACGATAAATAGAGGTAAAAGCTGCCCCCAAGAGGTGTCACCTTCGACAAATGTTTCCCGGAAAATGCGGAAATGATGGAATCAAAGTGTGCTTAGGCGATTTCAAGAACAAGAAATTTAAATATGATCTCTGTGAATGTGCTGACGCTTTCGGTTGGCCTGGGACTCCACCAAACCGTTTGTGCAATTGCAGTCGTCCTTGCTAAGTTTAAGATTTATCCATAACCAAAGTCTTTTTACTACTAAATAAATGAATAAGTTTATGTAACTAAGGCTTGGACTGTTTGGTATCTATTATATTAAAACAGAACTAAATTTAGTACTTGTTTCCAAACACTCCTAATTTTTTTAAGTGTTTAAAAATAATTTAATAATTATTTATATTTAATTTCGAAAATTAGTTATTAATTTAAATATTTTTAGAGTTCCTTAAATAAAATATAGGTAATTTAGATTTGATTTGATTTGATTAAAAATAATAAATCAGATATTAATTTAGATTTGATTTAAAAATTCTAATTTAAATAATTTTTATACTATTAAACATTTTTATCAAAAATATATAGAATTTTTGAAAGAAAAAAATTCACATATGAAAAATAATGGTTATATTTGAAATATTTATGTTGCTTATATAATATATTTATGTAATATATTTGAAATATTTATGTAAAAAAATTCATATTTGAAAAATAATGGTCATATTTGAAATATTTTTGAAAAAATAATGATATGATATTTATGTAGCTTATATAATATATTTACGATTATGATTTATTTACAATTTAATAATAAAATAATAGGTAAATTTCAAATGTATAATTTAAATATTAAAAATTTAGTTTTTAAAATTTATAGAACTAAAAATATATATAAAAAGTCGGGTTAAAAATATTTTGGTAACTAAAATCACTAATTTTGAATTATATATGTATATCAAAAATATATTTTTCATACAAAATCAAAACATAAAAAAATTAAAAATTATTGCATACACTATAATGTGGTTTGAAAAATCAGTTGTACACTCTCTTCGTTGATTGAATTTTAGAAAACTATAATGCTAAATAATATTGTTAATACATCTCAAACTTTTAACAAATATTTATATTATACGATAATATGAACGGAAAAGTTAGAATTATGTTTTTATAATAGTTCATTTTGAATTAATATTAGCGAACGGGTTAAAATTATATTTTTATAATCATAATTAATTTTAATACTATAAAAATATATCTAAACACAAAAATCAATATTTTCACTTATTAAAAAATATATTTATAAAAATAATTATATCTAAACTCAAAAACACAAATTATATTACAAAATTTATTAAACAATAAAAAATATTCTCGTGCGGATGCACGGGGTTAGAATTTAGTTTATCATTAAAAGTCGTGTTAATGTACTGTAATATGATTTCAATTCTTTTATTATTATTATTATTTAAATTGATATAGAAAAACATGCTTTCCGGTTTCAGACAGTTGGATCATGTATTAAGTTGGGCTACCTTTGATGCAATTCTGCGTCTGTCTCCTCATTATATGCTGATAGTTTTTCTTTCCCAAGTGATTCTTACTTTTTCCTTGTCTAATTCCCAATTGTTTCCAAAATGTATCTCCTGTCCTCATGTGAAGTTCATAACGCTTAATTTTGATGTTTGGTTCCGCTGGAAGAGAAGATTAGTTCGAATTGCTGCTTCGTCGAGAAGATTTGGCTTACTCATGGCACTCGTGTCATGTCCACTTGCAAATACACTCAAAAATCAAACGTACATACAGCTGATGTTGGTTTCGAACAAAGAAATAAACACATTGCACAAATACTAGTGGTTTCTTCTTTAAAAAAAAACAAATAGAATGCATTGAAGATGAATAAGAAGATGATGCAGATCGAGGAGTATCTAAGCAAATGGGTTGCCTCCAGTAGATGCAACAGGGCCTTGTGCTGCTGAATTCCTACACCCATGTTTAGGCAATAAGACAAAATATAAGCTGTGTCCCACATACACAGTAAAATGATTCTACTTCTTGGCATACAATTCTTATAGCTAATAACATCATAAGTTGAACTATTTACACCTATCACATTGTGAAACTTACTGTACTTGAGACGCTGATGCTTGCTCTGCCATGCATGCTAAGCCCCCTGCAGCAGTGTTTCAAAGAATTAGATAACCTACCAGACCTATGAAGGTTACGAGGACGGGTTTTTAATAGTCAGTCACAGAGATTTTTAAGTGAAACTTGAAGATAATACGTAGTCTGCACAAACGTTAATGTTTCTTTTCCCCCTCTTGGCAGATATGTGATATTCACTTGCGTACTGATATTAAACATGGTGAGATGTTGATTTTCTTTCAGAGCTCTAAGTTAACAGAAAGGAGTATCACCTTGTGCGCCTGCTGGAGCAGGTAGATACGAGGGTACAGAATCTGCAGCGAGCCACGGTTGTGATACACCATCAAGGAAGATTTCTGGTGTCTGGATATCGTGCAGTGCCCCTTGTAAAGAACTCATGTCCAAGAACTAGCATTAAACACAACCACAACAAAGTCGTCAATCATAGAATTTTACAGGCGGAGAGTGATAGATTCAGGAAAAAACAGATACGGTGGTCAAGATAGGAATTCATGCCTAGATTCTTTGATTTGGTAAATTAAGATAGGAAACATGGTTCTCTTCCTATCAAATACACGCTATATACTGTAGATTTGAAGTGGTCAGCCAACTTATATAACTTAGATTCTCTAGATTCAAACAACATAACACCATTGCATACAAATGATGGTGTGAAACGTGGATAGGACTTTACATACCACGTCATTTGAGTCATACTCGGAATCATAAGGGAGATCAAATGGATTGGCTGACTTTTGATCGTTTATATGCTGCCACGCTTCTTCCTGCGAATGAAAATTTTGATCAATCAAAGAGTAACTGATAGGCAGTTTGAACTAGGGTGATCGTAAGCAACTAAGAGAAAACTGCAATGTATAACTGGAACCAGATGAGGGGAGTAAGCAGGTGCCATGACAATATTCCCAGGAAAACCAAAACCAGAAGAGCCAGCAGGTATTGAGGCTGTCTGGGTGTCATCATGTCTTAATTCCTGTGACATGACACCATCAGAAAGGAAACAATGGAGAGATTTAACCAAAATACAGTGACATGATAAGGGTAAATGCAACAACCTCTACAAGTTGTGGTTCTAACTGCTGTTGATCAATGTGAGATGACGATATACTTGCTTTATCTTGGTGAATATGCTTAGCGCTGTCCAAGGGATTGGCCTCAATAGAGTCGGGAAAGGCATTCCACGGCTGCTAAAAAAAAAAAGTCAAGTAGGAGTTAGCTCGCACATCCCTTGTATGAATGCCAATCTTTGATTGTGGAATCATGCCGTTATTTCAGACACAAGTAGTTACAGCTTGCCCAACAACATGAGGCCAGCCAGTTTGCCCAGCCCCAAGATGAACAAGATCATTCATGACTAAAAGAAGTACCATCGTCAATGTCTAAGATGAGATAAGCCCATATTGCACATGGAAGCATTTTCCTTTTATTGAAAAGACGGAATAAAGAGTAAAGACTAACCGGATTATCGGCAACATTTTTTAGAACATCCTGCCACGGACTTGATAGCGACAAAGCATGCTGCTCCACAATTGATGGATAAGGTGGCCATTGCATGCTTGTGCTAGGCTGTGGGATTCCTTCATTTTTCACTTCCAACTCGGGAACTCCAGAGGAGGTGCTAATGTTTGTAGATTCTGCAGCAGGCATTGGATTGTCAAAAGAAGCCCATCCTTCGTTCTTAGGCGCAGACAAGTCTGGTGGTATTGAAGTGTGTTGCTGAATTCCAGCAAGCAAGTGTGTCGGGGTGGATGAGTATGACAGAGGAGGCTGACGAAAATTCACAGGTGGAGATCCGGCTCCTACTGAAGGTTGAAACATATTGACTGCTTGAGCCACTGGCGCTCCTGGCAACTGAAACAAATCAATAGGAGCCTTTGTCGACACTGCTACTGAATGAACGGGAGTAGATGTTTTATCTTGCTGGCTTCCTGTATTTTGACCAAGTCCAGATGCGCCTTCACCTAAACCACTCGAGGTATATGACTTGAGAGACATGGAATTACTGTCAACTGATCTGACACTCCCAGAAGACGTAGTTCTCTGAATGAAGAAATTGAATTCCACAAAAGAAAGATTCAGAAATTGGAAGGTCAGGAAACTCACTTTTGTCCATTGCAACAAAGAAAATATTAGCCAGATACAAACAAGCCTTTAGAGAAGGTGGGTTATTATTACCTGATGTTGCCTGCCTGGAAATAAGTTTTCACTTGGAGGGGCATTTGAATGGTGAAACTGGGGACTACGAAATCCACCTTCTTGCTGGAAATTTGGGGACTGTATTTCCGACCTGAAAGGATCTCCTCCACTTGACACAGAAAAATCTGAAGCCCTTGGAGCAGAGCCCTCATTTGCGAAGTGGTCATCAAACATATGATCACTAAACCGTCCAGGGCTGTATACAAAACTAGAGGCTTTTGAATGAAGACCTTTTACTGAAGCAGACTTGCCAGTAAATCCCAAGGGTACTTTTCCGTAACGGCGCTCTTCGTACTGATAGTCGTAAGGAGGGCTTTGGGAGTAAGAATGATACGAGTTGGCCCGTCGAGTCACATCTTCAGAACTTCCATGGTTCTGTCAATTGCATTACCGGAAAAGGGAAAAAAACATTAAATTTGGGATGCATGCATGCTCATGGTTAATCTAGAGCAACTCAAAATAAATAATAAGTATCAAAATTTTGAAGACCTATATGCCTATTTGATAGTTTCAAATCCACAATATTGTTAAATTACTACAAACTTCCAATTATTATAAAAAATGAAGCAAACTATGTTTGAAATTTAGCAAAATGCCGTACAAGAAACTAGATTATCTTGCCTGGCTATCATTAGGAGGCTTGTCCGTAACATTTGCTCCTGCATATTTCTTTTGCACATACACATTTTTGATAAACTCGCGGACTCTTTCAGCATTACTGCCAAAGAAACAACAAAAACATGATATTATGGATTTTAAACAGATCATATTTTTAACCAATAAATTACTACATCTCTCGCTGCTCAATTATGAACACAAACAAGAAAAAAGTAATTAATTTAAACCTGTTGTCCGGAAGTCTCTGCCGTTGATGGTCCCAGTTTTTCAAATATATTTCTCGTGCACGCTGAAAACAGAAGTTTCTCATTAGTTACAAAGAGAAACATCTATCTCCAGAAAACTTCAAAATTGGATCATTAACATCAATACTACCTGATTACCACCATTTTGGAGTACTTCAACTTCTTGAGATGTAAACTTTGACATTGATACAGACTTCACACGATGGGTAAATTCACGACTGTAGGGTATAAAAATAAAATCAATGATGAGAAACTAAGAGAGAAAAAGAAAAACGTAGGAAGGTCCTACTAAGAACATATGCACTACATATTGACAGAATATCATAGCTAGGAAACAAGAAACTGTAAAAAGAAAAATACACAAAGCACCTCCCTATACTTGAAATGCATCAAGGGAAACCTATAAATGCATTTGAAATTGTGCACAACTGGAAATACTTCTGAATGTACCCCCAAAAAAATGAAAAAAAAAATAGAAATATTACTCTTGCTGATATCACATAAGCCTATAATTCCTTCTCCATGAAAACAAAAAGTCTCATAAAAGAGCTGCCAAACCCAATTGCAAATCAAGACAAGAAAGTTGCATTACCATAAATGGATAAAGGGAGACAAAAAATAGATTCGAGAATATTATGTTAAGTTAGTAATAAAAGACATAATGTATAAACAAGGTGATCTTTAAACATTGTGGAAAGTAACTGCTAGGATATATAAGTCAGCCACCAACGAAAATGATGTCAGAAAATCAGCTCACATTGTGTGTCGACAGGACAGGTGCAAGAAAAGAAATTAAAGCCCACAAAAACAATTAAACATTTGGTAGGAAGCATCTAAACTTTGTATTTTGTAAGACAATGCATAGCCGTGTTTCTGGGGAATCATTACGAGTCCTGTCTGCAGAGATTTCAACTGAATTAGACTCGATAACAACAATAAAGCAGAAAACTTAATCGTGGGATTAACTCTTTAAGATACACTATGGAAACCCCAATTTCACGAATGCAGCGTGCAGATGAGAGATGAACATAGATAACCATCAACGCGCAAAGTCGCAAACTAATATCAACAAAGAAATATATTCAATGACAAGAACAAAAAGGTTTACATAGGTAAGAAACCATCTGCAGAGAATGATTACACAAGAAGGAACGCACAAAGGTCTGGAATAGTTGCCAAGAAAGTACATAGATAGCAAGAAAAGGTAAGAAAAAAAATCAGTCAGAAGTAAAGAGGAAAGTACTCACTGAATCCCGCTACAAGCCATGCATACGAAGGTCCAGAAAGTCGTGCAAACATATTGAGGACCCTGCACCAATTTGCAAGTCTTACTGTATAAGCCAAAAGGGAAACTAAATCCAAAGTTTCAAATGAATGAAGAAAAGATGTAGCTTTTCGAAGCTTGTCTTTCCATTTCCATAATCGGAAATAAGAAAACTAGTTGGATTTGCAGATTAACTTGTTTTAGTTAGAACCCGTCAACGACATAATCAAAACATTTCCTAGACTGAAAGAAACAAACGAAAACCCCAAAACATATATAATATATTTCAGAAGATAATCCCAGAAGCTGAAGTCAAAGACTAAAAGAGAAACCCATCAGCTCGAAACTCAGTAGAGAAAAAAGACGCTCACGGGAACCATGAAAGTTGAGTTTTTCAAATCAAAAGGAAACAGAAGAAAGTAGGCCTTGAGGGAAAACAACAAAAATGGGTTAAAAGGGAGAGAGCTTTAATAATTACAAGGCTATTGCAGTTGATACAACGACGATTCGGTGGAAGCTTCATAAGACCACGAATAATCTTCTCGTTCCGCTCTTCTTCTCTTTTACTTCCCATACCGCCAACAAAATGATTGCCCCCCAAAGGAAAAAAACGAAAGAGTGTCCCAGATAACAAGATTGACTCAGGGGTGGTCGATTTCGTGAAATCGGGAAAAAGTTCGCTCCTTTGAGTCGCAGCTAATCAACGATTTTGGAGCTGGATTTTCGAATGCTCGAATTTTGAATTTCACAGCAGAGAGAGAGAGAGAGAGAGAAAGGGAAGGCTTTTTTAATCGGCTTTGTAATCAGAAAAGGGGAAGAAACTAAATGTTTGAGCTTTTACTCTGTCTTCATCTTTCCTCGTGTGGGCTTTGGCTAAGAGACCCACACACCATAATGAATGATTTTGGCAGAATCACATGTTTGAGAAATTCATATCAAACTCTATTCTATTTGATTTGGGATCGATTTAAATTTTCGAAAGAACATTGCTAGCTAATATCAACTTATCTCGTTCGTTACAAACTGTTGGAATAAGAATTTCCATTTATGTCAAAAAAACGATATATAGCTATCATCTATTATTCCATTGGCTAACCATCTGAGAAGAAGGGAAAAAAAAAAGTATTTTTGATCACACAATGTATGGAACTAATTATGGTGGTCCGGTGACTAACGATTCTTCCTAGTGATTTATCCAGTGTTGGAGTCTTTTTCTCCAATTTCGTAGACAAGTAGACGTCTTAGTTCATTGAATTCGTCATACAATAACTTTTTAACACTCCAATTGTTTTTTTAGATACATCATTTATAAAAACATTTTTCTTATTCACCTAATAGAAGTTCCAAGTTAATTAATCCTATCCCCATTGTATAGTTTCTCAGTCAACGCATTACTTTTTTGCGGCCAATCATATGTCAAATGTACATGTAAACGAAGATATAAAAACCAAAGGAATCATAGCCGCGTTATCTAGTTCGTCTAGCTAAAATTGCATTATCGTTTAAATTCCCAATCATTGATCTAGGTGCTTCCTAAATAAAAAAGGAAATAAAAGATTACTTGCGCTGACCTTAAATAAATTAACTACATAACGTGACATACATAATTGTAAAATTTTGGAATATATATATTATGAACCTGCATTTTTATATACTTGTTAGACATGCTTATGAGAAAAGAAATAGTTAAGATCCTGATGAAGATAATTTAAAAGATGGCAATAGAAGACTAAAAGATAAAAGGATCTCGATCAATCTCCGTTTCTTGTCTCTTCTTGCGCCCTTCCATTGTTTATGATTATATACCTTTGACGTTGAAAGAGTGGGTGGTTTTTTGTTCTAGGTGTAGTGGAGTTGTTGTTCTTCTTACGTACTGCATTTTCTGATAGGTACTTCAATATATATATATATATATATCTGATACGGTTGTTTATTGAGCTAGCTAGCAGAAAACCAAAAAGAAAAAAAAGGATGTCGAAGCTGATGCAAAATCCGGTGTTCCATGAACTGAAGAAGCAAGCTTCTTTCTTCATCAAGGAGAAGATCAAGACTGCTCGTCTCGCCGTAACTGATGTTACTGAAGAAGAACTGTGAGTATATATTTTATATAAATGTATACGTTAATCGATTTGGAGAGTTAACCGTACCGCTTTGAACTTTTGTTCAATATGAAGATTGACAGAAGAAGTTACGGACAGTGCGCACTCGTCCATAGACGCACGCTCCTTGGCGGTCATAACGAGAGCTTCTTTTGAGGTTGATCAATTCCAAAGAATCGTAAAGATTCTACGTCAAAGGTTATTTTTCCCTCAACTTTGATTCAGTTCAACACAAATATTCCATGCGCTTTAAGAAGAACAAACCAAGACATTTTATATCATTTAGGTCTTGACGTTTTTATATAGCTAAGCAATATACATGCTTTGTAAATACTTATAATATCACCAAATTTTAGCAAAAATAAAAAAAAGTACTTTTTTTTTCTTTCATGGTTATTCCTATATATAATACATGCTGAAACATATATATATATATATATATATATATTATCAAAACGTCATTTAATTATTTTTAAAAAATATCATTTTCTCATTTAGAGCTTTTATGATTATATCATGAATTTGGTTTATATTTTTGTAGTTTACATTTTAAGAAGAGAACGTGATTTTGTTTTCTTAAATTTTGTTTCCCAAACTCCTTGATCATAAATGAAACTATATTAACTCTTAGATATCATTTATTTTAATTCACTTTACTAAGCTTGTACATATTATATATAGAACTTTAGTGAAAAATCTATTTTTATCATATCACCACCAAGAATTCATTTTTCCCCTATCAGTACAAAAAAAAACCATTTAACCATTAGAATCCGGCAGAATATTCAACAAAATTGTCTATATAATTGGTATTGCTCTTGCAGAATGGTAACGTTTGATAGAAGAGAATGGCGTGGTATATACAACACGTTGACAATGTTGAACCACTTGCTGATTAATGGACCTCTAAGTGTATTCAATGAGTTTCAACATGAGAGACAATTGATCGAAGATGCCATAGAGACTGAGTGGATTGACGAGAGAGGGTTCGATTGTGGCCTAAAAGTTCGAAACATAGCCGACAAAGTTCTAAGATTGCTTGAAGATGACATGTTTCTTAAGGATGCGAGGGAAAGAAACCGTAAGCAAAGCATTGGTCGGATCACAGGGTTCGGAAACTCGAGTTTCGTCATACATTCTGACACGAACAATGGAAGAGACAGCTCGTTCTTGAGTACTCACCACCAGACTTGTGAACATGATCCTGCCGCTGATGATCATCCATTCGTCGAGGATGAGCACAAAACTGCTCAACTCTTGCTTTCTTCTTCGACTTGAGAGATGGACATTGCTCTTGATTAAGCAAATTTGTATTAATTAAGTTTGATCATATCATATACGTAGATAAAGGTTTTTCATTGATATGACTTATTATACCAACTAAATACTTTAATCTCAATATCTGCTTCCAAGGAACTAGTACATTTGTCTTCTTCCTTATAACCATCGTAAATTGGGTATATAACAACATTGAGCATATCATTATATCTGTGATTACTTTTACAAGATTCAATATGTGGACTTAATTATCTTTTTATAATAGTTCTTAAAATTGTTTTATACATGAAAGATTTTCATTTCAATTATTGTATCTAAAATCAATTCTCTAGCTGAATACACATGATTTACTACACCAAATCAAAAATTAATTGTTTGGATCATACTCGCTTAGATTATTTATTATAATTTGAAGCGAGAAGCTCACGTGATATATTTTTTTTTGTTTGCGTTTTTGGTCCCTGGATTTAGATCGTTTTTACGACGTCGTACCACGAGTATCCGGCGGCAACTAGTTTCTTCTTCTTCTTCGACCATCTGCTTCGTTGCTTTGCCTTTCGCTCTTTCATGGTTGAAGGATGAGATCTCACCAAGGTGGCCGCAAACTGACGATTCTTCAACTCCTATGCGCCGTTGCAGTTTTCTCCGTTCTCCTTTTCACCATCCAATCTTCCATATTCGCAGGTCACTCATCGCCCCACACCTTTCCGTTCTTACTCCTTAATTGTTTCGAATACTTAATTTTGATTCTTAATCTCGGCAGAGAATAATCGTAAAGTAGATCTTCTTCGGCCGGAAGATATCCAGATCTTGTCAGATTTTCAGTCCAGCGTTCAACAGTGCGTGGTTTGTCTCTTTTCTTTACCTCCTTCCTCTACTCTCCCCATCTCTTTGATTGTTGAAGCACTTAATTTTATGCGCGAATTTCGTTATGGATTCGTCGTTGGATTTGGGTCGATGCGGCACTTTCGATATCTTATGCCTAAGAGTGCAATAGTTCTTCTGATCCTGGATGCTTTAGAAAGAAACGAAGTTGTTATCTCGAAGTTCATCTTTAGTCTATTGTAATGTATGAATACACTTTTGAATCTGTGTACAATGAGGATTTGAATTCTGGACAAGTGAAAGATTGTGGAAGCTAACCACTGTACTGATCTGGAAGTTCACCTGGATCAGGGTTTAGATTTGCTTTCTCTTGATGTCAAATTAGCTAATGTGCTAAAATATACGATAGAATCATGTTTTCGAAGTGAAGCGTAATGTTATGTAACGAGCTAAATCTAATTTGCTACATTTTGTGCTAACTCTTTCACTCATTGTTTGTGTTGGAAGAACCGAGTTTACGGATTCTGATGAAATAGTTTAGTTTGATATCTGTGTTGGAAGTCCGAATAATGATATAGTGTTTATGCAGGGGAACAGAGGGCTTGGACTCTCTGCCCATATTATTGATCACTGCAATTTGATCCTCAAGTTCCCTCAAGGCACTAACAGCACTTGGGTATGTTTTCACTTGTCTGGTTTCTTTTTGAGATTTCATTGGTTTTCAAGTGATCAAGTTTCTCCACTTATATTCTTGTTTTTCAATCACAGTACAATACACAATTTAAAATTTTTGAACCATTGGAGTTCAAGTATAATGTTTGCGAGGCAGTTCTCTTATGGGAGCAGGTTCGTGCTTCTTTCTCTCTCTGATTAGATTTTGTTGTTTGAGAACGTCTCAGGATTCTAATGTGTCTGAGTAATGCAGTACCGCAATATGACTACAGTGTTAACAAGAGAATACCTCGATGTACGCCCTGATGGATGGTTGGACTATGCAGCTATGAGAATTGCAAACCTGTATGATCCTAAACGTCCTGTGTTATTGTTTGGTCGTGTCGTTTGATCTTTCTTGTTTAGCTTTTTCATCTTTCCGGTTTCAGGGGAGCTGATAAGTGTTACAATCGTACGTTGTGTGAGGAGCATCTTAATGTGATCCTTCCAGCGAAGCCTCCTTTCCACCCACGACAGTTTCATAAATGCGCCGTCGTTGGAAATTCCGGTGATCTCTTAAAAACAGAGTTCGGAGAAGAGATTGACAGTCATGATGCTGTATTCCGAGATAATGAAGCTCCTGTCAATAAGGTAATATGTCTAACATTCTAATTTTTTATTTCATTAAGTTGATCGTCGTTTTCACGTGGTCTTGAATTGTGAGTTTTGGTTGCCGGCATTGCTTATCATATTGCAGAAGTATGCCAAGTACGTAGGAGTGAAAAGGGATTTCCGACTAGTTGTTCGTGGTGCGGCTCGTAACATGGTTAAGATTCTCAATGGGTCTGGTCAGTACTCATATTAAACAGAGATATTATCTGTATCGTGTGATTCATTTTTCTTAAAGTACTCATTGTAGCTTTGCCTGCATCTGTCATTTACTGCAGACAGTGAGGTGCTTATAATCAAAAGTGTGACCCACCGAGACTTCAACGAAATGATAAAGGTATTGGTTACTGTTTTTCTTTCTTCTTTAATTTCGCATCATGACTTGATTTGTTTTTACAGTTTCCACTGTGGACGTTTGTAACAAAGCCTTTTTTTTAAAACACAATTGAAGAGGCTATATGCTGAATCCTTGCAGCCTCTTTTACATGGGTCCATGATTTTCTTACGCGGTTTTGTATTTGTCTTGTAACAGACTATACCAAACCCTGTTTATCTTTTCCAAGGAATTGTCCTACGCAGAGGTGCCAAAGGAACCGGGATGAAATCCATTGAACTAGCCTTGTCCATGTGCGATATCGTTGACATATATGGTTTCACCGTCGATCCTGGATACACAGAGTGGCAAGTATTCTAAATAACTCTTTGCCATGTCTCTCATTTCCTAAGCTCTTTAGTAAAATTGGATACTTCCAAGTTCCAATCTGATAATAATTTTTCTTCGTAATCTGGATTATTCGAGTACGCTTCCAGAATTAAAGCGTCATGTATCCTCACTTTTGTATCTTTATTATCAATGTAGGACGCGTTACTTTTCCACGCCAAGGAAAGGGCATAACCCACTTCAAGGCCGGGCATACTACCAACTTCTAGAGTGTCTTGGTGTACAGATAACTTGCCAAAAACCTTATTTCTCTTTTGCTCTGAACGTTAAACCTTTGTGGTCTTTCTGAAGAAATCATGCTCGGCAGGTGATCCGAATCCATTCTCCCATGAGATCCCAGAGGAAGGAGGACTGGTCGAGCGTGCCAAGTCGTGAAATGATAAGCCGAGCTCACGCAGCCGCCTTACGCCTACAAAGGAGCCAACAGCCAACTAGTTTGAAGAGTGTTGGGTTGGGACAATTCGGTAAATGCAAGGTGTGGGGCGACGCAGACCCTACAAAAGGACCCGTCTCGGGATCTCCGGACATGAGTGAGACCAGGAAGAAGTCAAATTACAAGAAATGGGAAGTGATGCCTTTCGGGAGCTTAAGAAAAGAAGCAAGGGATCACTATATACAAATGCAAGGCGTGTCACAGTACAAAATGGATGGAAATAAACTGGACGATCTTGTTTGCGTGAGGCATCCGCTAAAATCAGAGAGTTAAATGTTTATCACCCTGTAGAGCGTTAAATGTTTTTCAGTACCATCTTGAGCTTACAAAGTAAATGTTCTTTCATTTCATGGAACATAGAATGTAGTGTTTTGTTCATTCAAAATCTGTTTGATAGATTACTTCTCCATGATTAGTTTGCAATTTTTTTGGTGTCGTCATATCTGTTACCATGTATGTCATAGTTTCTTACAATGAATTACAAATCAATACATTAATGTTCGATTTTGACATCAACACCACCGAAACGAACATGGCTTAAGCTTCTTTATTTTTTTATTTTTTTAATGTATCAATTCTTTTCTTTTGTGTTTCTAAATATATTTATATCTTTATTCATTATTTATATATCTCATCATGAACCAAAGAAAGAACACAAGAAAAACAAAAAATAACACATCATTTTGTTTATTGTTAACAAAACCTCTCACTCGTACACATTTTTAATAATGAAGTGCATAGTTTGGCATCTCTTTGTCCAAATTGTAAATCGCAAATATAGGTAGGAAAACAGCCAAACATAAATCAACTTAATAATAAAAATCATTATGTGTAGATGATGAGTACTTATACTTACTTGACATACGATTTATAGTGTCGCAATCGGTACGACGAAGCTTTATTAAATTAGGATATATTTTAAGTAGTTATTTTAATCAGAGTAAGTAACTTAGAGAAATTAATGTATGGGCTGATTCATGCTAACACGCATGCATGTAATGTGACTATGTGAGTGATGTATCACGCAATATGCAACACAGAAAAGATTTGTATCTTTAGTTAGAATCGCCAAACCATGTTTTTTTTGTGCCAAATTATATGGTAATTATATTATCTATTTTTTGTTCTTCTTTGAAAATTGTAGGATCCCTTCATGCGTTGTTGTTAAAGGGAATTTCTTGTTTTCACATTTTATTCATGAAAGGAAGAACGAGAACATTAATTACAAAAAGATTATGTTTATAGGCTAAACAATGTTCAAATATTAATCAAAGTGTAGTATCTTCCACTGACTCGGAGTCTTAGTCTCGAAGACGAAGACTCATCAAGAGTCACGTTCAAACTGAGAGTCCTCTTCAAGAAAGGAATAATTAGGGATTTGATCCAAGGCATATTCTTACGGGGGAATATCTTATGGAGATTGGAATTTTTTGACATATAATTTTAAATTTCGAAAGAATATGCTATAATTTAAAAAATGGTCATATCAAATCAAAATTCATCTTCACCTTATGGGTTTTTTTCCTTTGTTTTTTTTCTTGGGTACATTGGGTACTACGTGATAGTTTATTCACCACGTGATTGCATTTTCTGTGTTGACTTTTTTGGGTTTATTATATTGTACGAACATTTCTTCGGCAATTATAGCCAAAAGAATTTTTATTATACGCAATCGCTAATATCCAAAGGAAGATACTGAAGAAAGATAGCTTATCAACCACCACGTAGTTGATTCTTCCGTCGACCACATGACGTGATCTGTCAAACTGCTGATCACCATTCACCAGTCTTTAATGGGTCCCGCTTCCCAGCCTTTGCATTTGGCTTTGACGCGTCTTCAAAAGACAATTCCACAACGGTTACCAATTATTTTTGGGGACTCGTCTATCATTTGTTTCTCGAAACATGTCGCAGTTAGGAAACACTGAAAATATTGGGTTAGGTTTGAATAATCTAACTTAGATAGTTAGATTATCTCTTTCTTTCGACCAAAAAAAAAAAAAGATTATCTCTTTCTTGCCTTTTTTTTTCTGAATTTCTTGCATGTTTCTTTCAGGATTATTTTTCATTTTTAAAATCGCATTTGTCTGTATTGAAACCGAACTAATAAGCCTTTTTATTAGTAATTCTCTCTATATTTGATATACTAATAACTAGTAGTATGTAATATTTCAACTGCTTTTTTTTTTTTAACTTGAGCGTTAGTGTGGTTTAGCACAATGGCAATTTTTTTCCGGCCGGGTTACTTCTTTTAACTCTCTAGTTATGTTTATTGTTTTTAAAGATATAATACATATCTTTGAAATTTTAAATTCTGGATATAACGATGTTAAAATAACTCTATTGTAATCGGTCAAAGTAGTCGTTGTACATGTATATTAAAATTACGAGTTGCCACGAATTGTGGGTCTATTCAATATCAATACCCATAATAGCACCTCAAGAGTCATCAATGAGATATTTATCCACTAAGGCTAACGTTATGCCGTACCACATGGGTAGGGCCAGAGTGTTGTGTTGTCGTCTCCCCCTCGTTAGTTTTCTATCAACTTTTGTTTTTCTTTCCAGCGCCAAATTTTTTTTATTTCATTGTTTTTTTAATTGATTTGATATATTTGGTAAAAAGGTTTTTTTCATTTCAATATTAATGCAATTCAAAAGAGAGAGATTGAGAAATTTCCAATCGAAAGATTCCGCCTCTTATGTAAGCTTCAACTAAACAAAAATAATTTAAATAATGAATTCTACATAAATAGTATACTTTAGTGGATTCAGGCTAGACTCCACGATATTCAACACCATTAAAAAATGCCACGCAGCGACGTGACATAAGGTTTACAATGCCCACAATCAGCTTTATTTAATCAAGATTTATTTTGGTTAGTTATTTTAATCGGAGTTAGTGATTTATAAAGTGTTTTGGGCAGATATTGCATGCTAATACAGTACCATGCATCATGCATGTCATAGGTTATGCGAAGTATGAAGCTATAAGCAGTACAAATATATTTATCCCTTTAGTAGGACTGCCAAATTGTGGTTTAGTTATTTAATTAAAATTTGTCTTCGTTATATATATTATTGTAGGATTCCTTCATGCGTTGTTTGTCTTACAGAGAGGGGAGTTTTATGCGTTCGCATTTATTTCATGAATGGACGAAGTGTAAAACATTAACAGAAAAAATAGATAATAGGCTAAACAATGTTTAAATTGTTTGATAACAAATTGCTTAGATTGTTAATCAAATGGTAGTATCTCCCACTAACTCAGAAGATTCACGAGTCACGTCAAAACATAAGAGTCCCTTCCAAAATGGGAATAAAAAGGGGTTTGATCCAAGGCATATACTTACGTGGGAATAACTTGTGGAGATTGGAATCCTCATTGGAGTTAATTTTTGAAAGAATATGCTCAATAATATGCTAGAATTACAACTCATGTTTACCTTGTGGGTTTTGAATTTCAAGGATTCCAATATATATTTGTGGCAGACAAAGAATAAATATAGAGATAATGGAAAACTTAAACATTTCCATTTCTATTTCTAATAATCTTAACGTACGTTACCAAATGTAAGTGGTGTAGATATGAGGTTGGAGTTATTATAGGTCACCGTACATCTTTTTGTACATCAAAGTCGTGAGTGAAAAAGTTGATATATTGCAAAAAGTGGGCACAAACTTTTAAAATCGGTGTGGACTGTGGAGTCTTGCTAAAAAGGTTTGGTCTCTAAAACAAGGTTAGTAAAATATAGAGAAAGTTTGCCATGGCAAACATTTATAAAAAAATAAATTTAAAAGAAAGCTTTAATCATATTACTTTGTTTCTGCTAAGTGTAATTAATTATCCATCTGTTAAATCTAGAAAACAAAATATATAAAGAAAGGATAATCATCAAATAAGACATAGGGATATCTTTCTTTTCATATCTGAGGGAAATTTTAATTTCTTTTAAAAAAACTATCATTCAGAATATAGAAGTATTCAAAATAAGAAAAAAATGAGGGAAACATATACATATAACTTATTTTTATTGATAAAGCGGGAAAAAGAGTACAACTCAGCTTTCTCTCATCCTTTTACTCACCCATAAGGGAAAAAAAAACCCGTAAAAGGCGGAAAAAGATAGTTATCCTCTACACTAGGGTCTACCTAAAGGACATAACCCTTAAAGCCAAAATTCACAAAAAAGGAAAAGAAAACCCAAAAAAAAAAAAAACTCATCGCCAAACACAGAAGAAGCCACAACCTCTTTTATTTAGCTCCTTTTTTCTTTTTCTTCTAAAAATTGCCTTCTTCTTCTTCTTCTTCTTCTTCCAGAAGAGTTTGTCTTATGGGTAGGGCGGAATTTACAAAGCCAAACCCAAATTTACATGCCGACTCACTCAACACTCCCCACACCTGATAATAGCATCAACAAAAAAATGCGATAAGCACTGCATTACTTATTACTTCTACTACTTCTACTTTTTATTTATTCTCCTCCTCTCGAATCGAATCTCTCTTTTCAGATGAATCTCTCCTCTGTTTCTCCTGCTCTTTGGATCCATGGGTGCCCTGCAATTTAAAAAAAAAACAAAAATTAGTTACTTCCAATTATAAAAACTCTATACAAATCTGACTTTTTTACTGAAAATCCGGATCTATTCCTAACAGATTTAGCAGGATTTGATGAGAGTATTCTGCTATCTATTTCGAGAGTTTTTTTGTTAAAGAGGAAACTATAAGGGCTGATTTTAAGAATTGATTTTTGAAATTAAGTTTAATTGACTCCATAACGAGCAAATATAGTGGAAAAGAAGAATTTTTTTTTTTTTTGTTCGTTCATTGTAACCGAAAAGAAGAAAGGAAACTTACTTAGAGCTTGTTCGGCTGAGAGTCTTCGAGAAGCATCTTTACAAATCATCTTCCTCAAGAAATCTTTAGCCATCGAAGAAACCCCTCTGAAAACCTTTGGCGGAAACCTCAGGTTTCCTCGTAACACCGCTTCGAATATCTCCTCCGCCGTCTCCCCGTAAAACGGCGGAGCTCCGGCGAGCATCGTGTACAAAACAACTCCCGCACTCCAGACATCGACCTTCTCCCCGTACGAACAACCCATTAAAACCTCCGGCGCCACGTAATACGGCGTTCCGACGACGCCTTGGGTGGACTCGCCCTCACCCAACCAAATCCCGGACCCGAAATCGCAGATCTTAACCGTATCGCTCCGTAGATCGACGAGAATGTTCTCCGGCTTGATGTCTCTGTGCACGACGCCGAATCGGTGGCAATGCGAGAGCGCCAGGAGAATCTGTTTGGCGAACGACGCCGTCTGGGACTCGGAGAAGGTTCCGGAAGAAACGAGACGGTCGTAGATGGAGACGGAGGGATCGACGAGCTCCATGTAGATGGAGAGAGTGGAATCAGTGTCGACTAGATCGTGGATTTGAACGATGTTAGGGTGATAGGATAAGAGAGCCATGAGCTTGGGTTCGTTGTCGATGCAGGCGCGGTCGAGAGCGTCGGTGAGAGAGCTCTTGTCGATGGCTTTGCAGGCGAAGAAATCACCGGTGGCCGGAGAATAGACGCGAGTGACGGTGCCGAAGCGTCCACGGCCGATCTCTTCGCAGATCTGGTACTTATTGTTGTTGTTGTTTCCGAGTGTTTGGCTGCAAGTCATAATCTCTTTTTTCAGTTATTATTATGATTTTTTTTCGTTTGGTGGTTGTGTTTAAGAAGAAGAGCTCTTGAGAGTCGGTACACTTTTTTTATAGCCCAAAATTCTTAAAGGAATATTCGCTTTGATGCTACATGTTTTTTCCCTTAAGATACGATATGGTGGTTTTTCCGTTAACGTTATTATATTTATTGTTTTTATTTTCTTTAGTCTATTTTTTTTTATGTATATATATAAGCTTATATATCTGTGGTCAATTTATGTTGTGGAATGTTACTGTATACTATCTGCAAATCCTTTTTTGTATTCTTAGGAATGTTACTCGGATAAGGTTTGTAAGAACAGATAAATACTCCATATATGTTTATAAACATTCATATGAAATCTCAATCATATACATTCTAATATATATTTCTTGACAAAACAAAAAAAAATAACTTTATATATTCAAGATTTGTTTTGTTTTTTGAAATGGTAATTACTTTATGGTGGTCTAATACTTTACATTTACAGTACGTTTTTATCTAATTGAATTGTTTTCAATTAAGGGAATGGATAATCTAACAATTTTGTGTAACTGTGGTTTTATCCTTGGTTGTTCCATATTTTCGTATTTGCCTTGGCTTTATTTCATAATGATGGTTTTGGCCTTTGAATGTTCCATATTTATGAGGATACTAATAAATGTTGAATTTGCGTTTTACCCTCTATTTGTTCTGTAATTATGGTCCTTGCCCTCGGGTTCTGTAATTTTCTTGATCCGACCACACAACCTAGGCATTTCATCTCTAGGATCATAGAGAGTCCATACTTTACCACCACGAAAGAGCTTATGGTCTTGCTGAAATCTGAAACTGGGAATCAGAACAGATTATTGGCTCAGGTTCTTCATCAATGCCACCTATGGAGACAAATTCTATAATGTCTCTGTCATGTGCTTCGCTTATTTGTACAGGAGAAGATGCAGAAGCTGAAACTACACAAGCTGAATGTATTCGCATGCCTTCATCATCATGCATGTCACATGTGTCCCCTACGCGGGTTATGCCTTTTTGCGGGACGGATATGAGAATCAGCTTCACAAACCTCTACAGACTACAGCCAACAATTTTCCCTTGGACCGCTACAAGTCTCGGCTCGTACTGATCGTTCTTCTAGTTCCCTCAGCTTCAAATCAAGCTCTTCTTCCTTTTATTTTTTCCAGGCTTCTTCTCCTTTGCGTCAAGAAATTTGCTCTTGAATTGCAACTCCTCATCTTTTGCTTTTTGTTCAGCTTTCAGGATCTCGTCTTTCTTCTCCGGTTCAGTCGACTTCTCTTTGATGGCATCAAATTAGCTTCACTTTCTGATTCATTTTCTTTATATACCGTGAAGGCGTGAAGACTTAATTATCCACAAAACAGATATAAACGTTAACTATGATAACCGGACTCTAGTCAAAAATAATTATAGTAATCACCTAGCTAATTATGATATCTCATATCTAGTCCAAATATAAATTTAAAAACTGAACTAAATAAGTTTATCCAACTGGTCGATTTTAATTGCAAAGGAGGCCGACTGTGTTTCCGTTTCTATCAAATAAATATATCTAAGTTTTACACGTAAATTTAAATAAAAATATTTTGGTTTTGAACGCATTAATTTAAACCAATAATGACTTGTATTAGAGTGGTTTGTACCATTGGACCAATGTTGTTATTCTGTTACCATCAAAATTCATATGATGCATGTTGTTGATTACAAAATTTAAATGGGATATTATGTCGTTGATAGTCGGTGAAATGCATGCAATACGTAGCCAGAGCTGAATTTTATGAACTTATCTCTTTTTATTTGGTCAACAGGTGAAATTTATTTTATGGAAGCCCCTTCAGAGCACCTGTATTCATGATTTGGTTAGTGTATTATAAGCATTAATTTATTATTAATTTTAATGATAGTTTAGGTTTTGAAATCCATTATGAACTTTTTAACTTTTGTGGTTTATTAATGATACTTATTTGGTCTTAAAGAATAAAACTTGTAAACACAAACGACGATCTCATGACACAGAAAACGAATCGATCAAAACTAAAAGGTTCTGACACGGCGGAGAAAAAAAGATTTACCGGGAAAGGAAGACTCTGACACGGCGAAGGAAGGAGGAAGACGAGACGGCCAAGGAAGGAGGAAGAAAGAATTTTTTGTTTTGAGAAAATGAATCTCGTTTCGCAGATCTGGCAAAAAAAAAACACACGAGCCACTCATATCTCGCCACGCGTTCGCGTGAGACAGATATGAACTGTCTCAAAAATCTCGTTGGACTGAGATGTTTTATACCCAAATTCATTTTGACCCAATTGTTTATTAATATTTGTTGGGTTAAAACCCAAAAAAAATCATGGATACAGATGCTTTAAGAACATCTTCATTAGTGTTATTCACTCATGGGTTTCTTAGGAATAGTTTAATATTTTTTTTTCTGGAGAGAGAACAAAAAAATAAAACATTAAAAGCAAAATAAATATCCAACCAATCGCAGTCTTCCACCTAGCGTAAGAGACAGTCTCTTTATCTCTTATATAACGAGCGATTCATCAAAATTTTGGGAAAATACTTAGGTTTTTGTGCCAAAAGCTGGGTAAAAAACCCTAATGAAGATGCTCTAAGGCCCTTAACAAGAAAGGCCATAAAAAAAGAAGGCCTTGACAAAAAAAAATGGAAATAAAACGTTAGAATTTATTTATTGATGATAAAGAGAGAAGTCACGTGATGTTCTCGTGCGAATGAAATTAAAACAAAAAGTCAGAGCGTGACACGTTGAATTTATCCCAGTCGCACCAAGTGCGCGTTGAGCGCGTTAGTCCAAAATCGAAAGCTGCCCATTGAGAAACCAAGCTCAGACACTAACCGGTAAAACTCATACCAGTAAAATTGTACCAAGAATCTTCACTTCTGCAGTTTACAAAAAAAAGAGAAAAAATCAAAGAATTTACAAGATGTCGAGAAAATCCAAAATCCATTAAAAAAATCCAAAATCCATGTTACCGACGGCAAATAGAGCATGTAAAGTAATTGGACAGAATCCTCAAAACGCATCAAACATTATCCAAAAACAAATAGTGAATGTGATTGAATTATACAGAAAGCTTACAAAGGACCCAACAAGATCGTTCACGATGGGACTCGAACCCTAATCTCCCGCTCCGGAGGCGAGCGCCTTATCCATTAGGCCACGCGAACTTATTGATATGACTGAAATTCTAGTTAATCTATTTTGAGTAGCTTTGATTCTCCGAACTAGACCCAACAACTCTTCCTACCTGCTATTTGGCTCTACCAAGGCTCTCGCAATATATCTACTTGTGTGTGTGTGCCCTTCCGAGTCCTCCATCATGGCTTTCGCAATTTCCAACGCTTTCCGTTACCCTCATCCTCAATTTGGTCATAGGAGCTCCCATATCACTTTTCCAACTCCCAAGTCTCCTCCTTTTGTCAGGTAGTTTCTTTGTTGGCTTTAACATCGAAGGAACATCGTTTAGCTACCTTCTTCCCCCCCTCTTGCCTTTTGTTATTCCACTTCACTTCTACTACTTGCTTAGTATCAGGATTCAGAAAACTAAACCTTTTGTGTTGTTAACTTGAATTTTCATGAAGACAGTGAGAAACCCTTATCTTGTCATTCATAAATTGTCAATTGAATTCCGATTCTGTGTGTTTTTTATTAATGGGGGGCGCTTCTTACAGTTGGGTACAAAGTTTGTAACTTTCAATTGCACTTAAGGGAGTTCTATTGTTGTGCTCAAGTCCGTTCAGACCATTCCTTAACTGTAACGAAGGTGTTTTGAGTTTTTTTCAGGCTTCCCCCGGGAAGAGTGTTGCCGAGCAGGATTGTGATACGTGCTGCTTCGTCTGCGGCTGGTAATCCACAGTCCGATGGTGACTTTAACCCATATGAGGTAATTGATATTTAGAAAAGGACTTGTTTTGCTTGTCATTGTTTACTTCTGCACTCCTCAAAACATGAGTGCATAACTTCTCAGGTTCTTGGCGTTAACCCAATAGAGGGTTTTGACAAGATCAAGCAAGCTTATGGAAGAAAACTTAAAGATGCTCAGAGGAGTGGTGATGAAGACACTGCTGCTCTAGTAGGTTACCTCTTATCTCTTTCTTTGGATTCCTGCAGTAATAAATTTAGTTTTTTGTTTCTTGCTAACACGTCTCTATTTGACCTTTTGATAGCTTGAGAAAGCATATGATAAGCTCATGTATTCCCAGCTAATGAATAGGAAGAAGGGTGTGACTTTCGGTTCTTTTAAGGTATGTGTCGTGTCCTCCTTCTAGCCATATGCCGTCTTGGACTCTATGGACTTTCTTTCATAATCCTCTGTGAATTTCTCGTAATTCAGGTTTCCAAGGACATTAAATATGCTGATAAACAGCCCATAATACCATGGGGTCCAAGGTAGAGATTCTTTACGATTCCACTCAAAATTATTATTTTTCATCTTTCAAAAGCATGTAATAATCATGATTTATTGACCCATCTTATCACAGGTATTCCAAGTCCCCCAGAAATGATATGTTGATCAACCTAGCAATATCAGCTGTGTTTGTAAGTATCTAAGAAGAATGTCGTTTGAGGATTATGTTGCTCCTAGCCAGTTTTGTAATTGAACATCTGTACCCTTGATGAAATCAAGACATCATGCTTCGATTTATTTGACTGGTTTCTTGCTGAAAAAAATGACTCCTTTCTCACACATCTATGCATATATGACATTATAACATTTGGATCTCACAATCATATATGAATCTCTCTCTGTCACTGTTTCTCTCTTTTTGCAGAGTGCATGGATTGCCATAAAACGTAGTGTTGAATACAAACCGCTGCAGTTCATGTCTTTTGTATTTGTCTACAGAATTTTTGAGAAATTAAAATCCTTTGAAGCACCTTCATCTCCAACATACAACGTGAGTTTTGAAGTTTTTTGAAAGATGATGTCTTAATGTCGATGCTCCTGGTGGCTCTTCTAGTCCTGATTAGCATTGATGTTGACACTGGCTGCAGGAGGAAGGCGAAGAAAGTGGACGGGGATTGAGAATGGGAAAGAGGCTTCTTCGGTCTCTTTCATTAGTTTTCGGCTCCATACTTGTGGCATCTTTGGTATTGAAATCTATCAAAATCCGATAATATAAAAGAATCTGTTTTTTTTTTTTTTTTTTGGGATTCTCCTGATTGTTAGATCTAGTCATTAGTTATCTCAAAGTTTTTTATTTGATTTTGAGTTTTTGACTCTTAGTGAATCATGCTTTGCAGGCCTACACCGGGATCTTAAATGTCATCGAGTACATGGGCAACTCCATACCCATGGTTCTTTACAATAACCAGGTTTGTGTTCTTGCCTACTTCCCTTTTTCTCTACACTTGAAACCTTCCCTTAACTTAGTCATACGAAAAATGATCATTTTGGTCAAAATTTAGTTTAGGATCATTAGCTCAATTGTTGGCTAAAGCCTCAACGAACAGCACTAGTTGATTAGGTTGTACATATAACTGACCTGGTGTCACATCTATAGGTATTAACTGAAATGAAAACTAGATGCACAAGTTTTAGGCATGAAATGAGAGCTTGTAAGTTGGATGTGTTCTTGCAATAATCTCTGAACCAAGATTTAACAAAGAGAAGGGCCTGGTCTCTAAATTGAATAGTTCCAATAGTGATAACCGCAAACCAGGCATGTGATGTTGTAACAAGAAGAACTGAATCAACACCTTGCTAACGTTGATGCCTGGTTGCAGGAACTTATCGTGACGGCCTCATCAGCTTTGATGCTCTATGTTATGGCGTCGTATTACAGATAATGCGAGAGAAGAGAACATGAGACTTGGTCTATCAGAAGGTTTTGGAGAAGTTTTTTTTTTGCTGTAGAGCCTGTGGCTATGGGATGAAAAGTTTATTTTGTTTGGAGAGATGGGATTATCTTTACAATGGTTAGTGGAAAATCAAGTTAATTTAGCAATAGAGAAAATGCCTTTTGGAATATTATAAGTCGTTTTTATATTTCTTTTATCGCTGGGGATAGCATGTTGAACTTGGCTTTGGTCAGATTGGAACATTGATATGTTGAGGTCTATTGTTGCACTAAATTACTATGTTAGGATCATCGAATAATAAAATTTCTACATGAAGTTTCCGTCATTCTAACAAGGGATCCCTTCTAACTAATGCTAGTTGAAGTTGGCTAATATGCTTTAATCTAGTTTAATTTACCATCTAAATTTTCAGTCACACCGTATCTGTTTCAGTATGGAATGTAAACATATCAGAGAGACGCTATCAAATCAAACCATGTTCAATCACAACAGTAGAGAGTTCGAAATTGATAACACGATATTAACTACACCAAAATAGACAACCAATGTATTCGTGTTGCTAAGGAAACTCATCTGAAGAAGATGTCTCATGACACTATAGTCAATAGGGAGGTCGGATTGGTTCGGTTAGGTGAAATTTCAAGGTCAGGTGGCTAAGACTGAATTCAATCGTCGTCAAGGTCAGTGTCTAGAGAACCATGTAGGGGCCATTACAATAAAGAAAAAACCTATCAAAATTTTTAGAAAAGAAATGAAATGAATAGACAAAAGTAAATGAGATAGAGACGGAGACGCCACGATCGATGAGTAGAAATGACACGTTGGAGCTGACTCTATCACTATATCTCACAAATCACATCTCCCATAAATATATAGAGAGAGAGAGACAGACATGAAGGTACGTATGTATGTTGTTATGTTACAGCTACTCTCCACACTAATTTGAGAGACACTTTCTTCTTGACGAGTAGGTGGGAGATTTTCGAGTTCCGTCTTCTACTTCAACGCCTTCCCTACTTACCTCTTAAATTGGTACGTTCTTTTTTTTTTCCTTCTTTTCTCTCATTTGTCATTTTTTTTCTTCCCATTTTCAGAATTTTAAGAACTTTTACTTATTTCCCTCAAATTAATAAAATTGACTCATTTTTTAGTAACAATATCTTCAATGTTTTAATTACTATGGTAATTTTATATATTTGGTAGCATATCAATATGATATTGACTCATTTTATAGTAGCAATATCTTCAATTTTTTATAACAATGATTATTCAACAATAGCATATATAAATATATATATATATTATATATACACATACATTTAGTCATTGTATATAGATTTTAGGTGGATACTTACTCTGAGTTAGAAGATCACCGTTAGTTTATGAAGGTATGTTTTATGACATCTCTCAACGTGTATACGTGTTTATATTGGTGATTTCTATCATGTTATATGTGTGAATTGTTATTACAACATTATGTTTTTCTTTATATTGTGAAGTTTGAACTGATCAATTTTGTTAGTCTTTTTATATGTGTGTATGTGTATAAATATGCTGGATGAGAAATAATTTATCCAACATATCGTATGGAGATCATTCATATGCTCACTCGATCTTTTTTTTTGTTGTTATAGATTCATATGATCATTCTCCTCAGTTATAAATTTTAACGTGCTTCAACTTTTAAGAGATTCAAAATATTTTCAACAAATTATTTTAACGTATCTAAATAAATATTTAACATTTCATAATTAAGAATAAGTTTAATCATAATACATAGACCATATCAGATTTAACAATATATACAAGACACGGTCTTAGATCAATTTAGTCATTGGAAAATTGATTTTTGAATTGAAAGTGAACACACTAAAACTATAGTTCATCGATACGTCCGAGGATAAAGAAGACGAGTCGACAACAATCTCGTGAATTACTTTTGCTTTGGTCACTCATTGGACACGTATCTACGTGTGCTTCCCATATAGAACACAACTTCATCTTTTTCTCGTGAACTATTCTATTTTTTCTTCTTATTTTCCTTAGTAAAACCAACTTTTTTAAAAACAAAAAAAATTGTCGTTTGCTTTATAGTTTAATGAATCTATTCATTTCCGTCGTTTTCTTCTTTCTAATAAGTTTCAATGCCAACGGTTCTCTATAATTCCTATGGCTTTCCTGGTGCCAACTGGTAACTTTAGCCTAATTGTATGTATCAAAAATCCACGTTTATTACCCACGTGGCACTCTTCTAACCTAATTATATTTACCAGCTTGTTGCATCTCTTTCCAAATAGAATAAAAAGATTGCTTATAGAGAAAGAATCTTTTTTATTGTGGAGACGAAAGGCTCCGTTTCAGATTCTTATAAAAACAAAGATCTTCCATCTCTCACGAGTCACGCCCAATCAAATTTCCTCTTATGATAAAACAGATTCTGTATTTGTATCCTTCTTTTTTTTTTTGTTATATATTTCTTCTTTTCTCTGCCATTCCTAAGAACATCCAAATCTGAAACTCTTCTTAGCTTCACGCACGGTCCATCTGTTTCTATGTTCTAAATTCTAATTATGACACTGTATTCTGTGTTAATTTGATGTCAGGCCACAACAAGCTTATTTAATTAAGAAACTTCATATTGCATCAAAAACAAGAGCATCTCTCTTCATTTACAAAGGTACTCTAGTTTTCATTTAAATTGTCTTCTTTCACTCTTTTAACAATTTGTCTAATTAATCATCCATCCTAGATAAAACGTTACTAGGTCTGAGATTCAATCTCAAGACGCCTGATCATCATATTTATATGATTATATCTCAACACAATATTTATTTGTAGGTAGTTCTTGTATTTTAGTTTTAAATTTCTTACATGCATTCCTTGTCAATATTATGATTAATACTATTTTCTTATACTTCCCGTTAGAAGAAAGAATCTGAAAACATTCTAAAATATTCCTCGTAATGATTTTAAGAGATAAGAAGGAAGGGAATAATTGATATTCTCCAACCCAACCTACGTATTTTCTCAATATTCTAAAAGCAGTAATTTGTGAGATTCATACGGGCGTTTGCAATTTAGTAGGAGAATTATTGTGCTGTCCCCAAGACCAGTTCAATTCAAGGTTCTTCCTTCTGACGTCAAACTGTTGAAACATATATTCTTAAGATAAATTATAAACATATTGGGAGAGGAGACTCTCTTTTCTTCTTAAATAGAGATTATTCTATTATAATAGTTATCAGATAGATTGAACATGTAGTAATCAAAATAGCCAGTTCTCAGATTTATGAGGTAAAACTGCTTCTTCTTTTTTTTTTTTTGGTTTTAAGAGGTAATTAATTAGGTCGAAACTCAGACTAATTACGAAGCATGATATCGAAGTGTTTGATGCAGGGCATCTTTACCTTATCTAACACGTTAGGGCTTTTTTTTAAAGTTTTTCGTTACAAATAGGCTCCATCAGTGTTCCTATGACTTTCTAACCAAAAGAAGAAGGAAAAATGTGCAATATGTAGATTTGGTATTGTAAAGATGGTGATGAAAAGTGTGGATCTGCGATCAGACACCGTGACAAGACCAACTGATGCTATGCGGGAAGCAATGGGAAGTGCAGAAGTGGACGATGACGTCCTCGGCTACGACCCAACGGCTCGACGTCTTGAAGAGGAGATGGCTAAGATGATGGGGAAAGAGGCGGCTCTGTTCGTGCCATCTGGTACAATGGGGAATCTGATATGCGTGATGGTTCACTGCGAGGTCAGAGGCAGCGAGGTGATTCTTGGAGACAATTCTCACATCCATGTTTACGAGAATGGAGGGATCTCCACAATCGGAGGAGTGCATCCCAAGACAATCAAGAATGAAGAAGACGGGACAATGGACTTGGCGGCCATTGAAGCAGCCATTAGGGATCCTAAAGGAAGCACTTTTTATCCATCAACAAGGTTGATTTGCTTGGAGAACACACACGCCAAGTAAGTTTCACTCGAGTAACAAACAAACATGCTTTATTTTATTTTATTATTAACAAGTCTCTTATGAGTTGATGCAGCTGTGGCGGGAGATGTTTGAGCGCGGAATACACAGACAGAGTTGGAGATATTGCCAAGAGACATGGATTAAAGCTTCATATCGATGGAGCTCGGCTTTTTAATGCTTCCATTGTAATATATCAATGTTCATCTACTTTTTGTCAACAATATGCATTATGATCACATACTAACGAGTTTAGCACAAACCCCTAAACTATATATTTGGGTCATGTATTTTTTCTTTTGTCTTTTTGTAGGCACTTGGAGTTCCAGTCCATAGGCTTGTAAAGGCTGCTGACTCTGTTTCGGTGACATTATCTCTCTTTCTCTTCTTTGACCTCTGAAAAGTTTAGCTAAAAGATGATTGAGACTTACTCGTACACATCCACACAAACACACTCTGTTTCAGGTGTGTCTCTCTAAAGGTCTTGGAGCTCCGATAGGATCTGTAATCGTTGGCTCACAGAGTTTCATAGAAAAGGCTAAAACGTTAAGGAAAACATTAGGTGGAGGAATGAGACAAATTGGCGTTCTGTGTGCAGCCGCTTTGGTCGCACTCCAAGAGAACCTCCCAAAGCTACAATTTGACCACAAGAAAGCGAAGCTGTTAGCTGGTACGTATGCACCATTTATATACCTTAATCACTATAATAATTAGCCGGGAAAAAAATCTCATTAAGTAAATATTTGGCAGAAGGGTTGAATCAACTGAAAGGGATTAGAGTAGACGTTGCAGCCGTGGAAACCAACATGGTGCGTATTGTCATGTTGTTTATTAACACAACAATAAAAGAAAAAGAAGGTATTAATGCTCTTTGTTTGAAAATTGTTTATGCCTATAATTCAGATTTTCATGGATATGGAGGATGGATCAAGACTTACCGCTGAGAAACTGAGCAAGAGTTTAACTGAGTATGGCATTCTCGTCATCCCGGCAAACTCATCCCGGTATGTCTCGCACGATTATGTTTTAGTTGTTTCAAACCTTAGCATTTGCGTTTACATGCCTAGAAAAATGTTTTTTGAAAACTTGCATCTCTATTTTAAGATAAATAAAATACTTATTTGCTATAAAATAATTTTTCAAATTGTGAAAGCAAACACCAAGAAGTAAAATGAAATATCTTTTTGCAAATTGTGAAAGGACAATTAAACATGCCAATAGTTGTAGTTTCATTTAGACAAACTTTGACTAATAAACATGGACACTATTTAGGCCTACCATTCTTTTTATGAGCTTGAGTTAATTAACTAAACATATATTGGAATGTGATTTCAGGATCAGAATGGTTATACACCACCAAATAACAACAAGTGATGTGCATTACACACTGTCTTGCGTACAAGTAAGAATATCATATTTCTGTACTACACTTCCTTTTTTTTTTTAATACTGAAAACATCAGTTAACAGTTTATATGAATTGGTATTTTCTTTGGCAGCAAGCAGTGCAAACGATTCGGGAACCAAGTCGAAACTAAATTGGCGGAACCGAAATATCTTTTCTTTTTAATTATTGTTTGTCTGAGTAATTTTAAATTATGACTATATTCTAGAAATTGTCACCCTCATTTCCTCCATTTTATTATTGTTTTTTATTTATTATACATCTTATACATAAAGATAAGCCATGGAATGGAGAAGATTGAGAAATGACGGATACAACAGATTCCATATATATTATTAGTAAGACGTACCCCGAAGAATGGAAGAATCATAACATATACGCTGATTATAGGATGTCGCAGAAACTACGAAATGTTGGTATGAAAATAATTGGGGATTTGATATTTAATCTCTTTAAATCCAGTGTCCTTAGGACTTTCAAAACAGATGTCAATACTAGTAAATGATCCTTTTAGTCCCTAGTAACCAAAACTAATGGTTTCAAGAACCCTAAATCTTCTCTCTTTCTTTTACTGGTTTGAGACAGGAGAAGAAACAGAGTTTTTTTTTTAAGTTATATGTTTATATCCTTCTTCCTCTGTAAGGGTGTCCAAAAAGAATGAGCAGGGAGCCTCATCAACTCTGTATGTACACACTAAAATCAATCTTCTCCGAATCAAATCAGCGGCGGTTCTGCATCTCTTCCTTCACAAGTTCGGTCACCAAATCTGTCTTGGACTCACTTAAAACCTGTTGAAGTGTGCTTAGTTCCTCCATGTTAGCTTTCTTGAACAGAACTTTGAGAGTAGATTTCGTTCCAGCAGGCAATGCACGGTGTCCGGGGGCTTTCTGGAGATCTCTCACGCTTGTGTTGGCTTCTCTGGGAAGAGGATTTGCAGGGAACTGAACTTGTGGCCGCGAATAAGGCCTGGAATCCCAATAATCTGTGCAAACTCGATTCACGTCTAATGCTTCGATAGCCTGTTTATCACATTAGAGTATCCATCAGTCAACTGAATTGAAGCTTTACATTTTCAAATAAACAATGCTATAATCCGACTCTTTCTAGGTCTCATAGAAGATGAGAAAATCCCAATGTTGGATTTAGTATTGGCTTGTTTTTTTGAATTCTTTTTTCTGTATATGTATCTAATTAGAAAACCGGATATAAAAGGTCCAATGCAATTTAAAAGAAAGCATATAATCTGAGCCGAATTCGAAACCTGTAAAGATTGATTTACCTGTACAATTGCGGGGGAAGAATATCCAAACATTTCAAAACCGTCAGGGCTCCCAGGGGGCTGCAGAGGAGGGAGATCTAATCTTCCGGCTTTGTGCTGCTTACTTATCTCTTGATTTACTCTATCTCTTACCATCTCCCAACATCTTGTAGGCGACAAGTGAGCGAAAACCTCACTGGGATTACCCTCCAAATAAACCTGACAACAAGAACATGCCACAGAGTTTGTTGATGGGCAAAGATTAAGTGAACTGCAGAATGACCAAAATAATGGCAATGCAACCTTTTCTCTACACCGAAACAAGATTTTTGGGGTTGAATAATTGGTAAATTCTGTTTTTAGGAGATATCTTTCTGTTCAAAATAATTCACATTATGTTGCCGGTTGAGATTCAACGACACCCAAACAGTGGAACGAATTGCCGGTTAAGATTCATGTCAAGGAAATATTCATATGGTTAAATTGGTGACTTAAATTAGATCAGCATCTATCTACCAAGTACAAACTCAGTTGAAGCAAGAAAGAAATCAACGTACCATGAATAACGGGCTGTTGCGTCCAGCATCCAGAATTTCTGAAATGTAGAAGCACATGTTTGTTGGATCCAAAATATTTATGTACCTAACCCGGCTACGAAATCCTGCACCAAAGAAGAAAGATATTAAGCACTTGCAAAAAGGGTATATATATGTTTTTGTTCTCAAGTTGCAAAAATACTTGACCACAGGTTCACCTTTAGGAAAAATTGCTCGGCGGTTGCACCATGATTTTCCAGAAAGCACACAACCATAACTTAGAGGCTCTACATTGCAATTGATTCTCCTCACGACCTTTGCAATACGGGGACCCTTTTGGCGGATGAACCTATCTGGACTATTATTTTGTGAACAAGATGGTGTACCTGAGTTACTTCTTGCCCCATCAACCACATCCAATATAGCCAAACCTCCAGAATTTTTCGATTTACAGATAGTAGGTTTTCCACCACTGTGGTTGTTTGCTTCCATTCTATTACAAATATCCTGAGCAAGCCCATTAGCCACGGCTTTAACTTCTGCGTGCAATGCAGAACTTGGTACATCCCCTCCCGTTGCTCTTTGGTCATTAGTAGCCGATGTTATAGTGTTTCGTGTATCAGGCAAAGAACCTCTTTCCCTTCCGCAATTTGGAGCAGAAATTTTATTCGCAGCTTCCAACGCTAAAACGTGGGTTGTTCTGTCTCGTAGTTCCAAATGCTTGCGAGAAGAAACTGCATCTCTTTTCACAGAACCTCGTTTCCTAGGTATGTCATGCTCATCATCACTGAGGAGTATCACATCATTGGGTAGACTCTGAGAATTCTTTTTGCCACTTGCGGACTTAGCAGCTTTCACAGAGTGCAGCATGCTTCCTTCAGATGGTTGGAAAACTGAAAGTTTTGACACAGAAGAATCATAAACAGCTTCTTCTTTGACAGGCTCCATATATTGGCTTGGTGTTAATTGCTCATCCTTGTCTTTCAGAAGTAAATCAACATCTGATAATTTACTAGCCTTTTCTAACCCTTTACGTATATCTTCTCTGGATGTTGCTTTCAGCTGCAAATCTTCCCCTGAAAGTGCAGCTGCTTGCTGTCTCAGATCCTTGGGGACATTTTTCTCCTCATCCATTTCCGTTTTGCTTTCTGAGACGAATGCACTTAATGCCAACCCTAAATCTTGACGCGCCCATCTATATACAGAACTAAGTTTCCCTTCCACAGCCTCAACAAGAACATTAAATTCATCGATATCATAGCGAAATAGAAAATATTTAGCAACCGACGGACACGAACACAACTGCTTCACATGAGTCAAACATGAATACTTCTCTGGGGAACAACGACAACCAGCAGCGGACAGATGCAAATCAAAGAAGCATATGCAACACTCTCTTTCGTTAGTTGCATCAAAATTACTGTGCATCTTCAATGCAAGTGAAGAGTTGCAGAGAAATTCTCTTCTTGTACGTTCCATGTCAACGCGTGCCTATATAAAATCACGACAAAGTCACTACATCACCTCTGTTTGACAAGAAAGAATGATCCTAAACCTACGAGTGGAGACATCTAAAATTAACAATGACATCAGATTTTCCCGTCATCAATACTTGTAGGCTTTTGATCTAAACTTCATGAAACAACAGAAATGATATCCATACCTTAAGTGTTTTTGCCAAAATTCCATCCTTTCCACTGAATTCTTTCCACCTTAAGTTTTCTTTAGTATTTTTCTTTAGTAAGTTCAGCTCCCAGTCAGCTTTCACTACTTCTCTAGCCGCCCCAAGCAACAATTTATCATGCGAGATGGACGTTTTTCTACCCTGTTGACAGTATAACTCTATGGCAATCTGCCCATGAGGCAACCAATCAACTGGTGCTACATTCACTGCTTCAGCACAGTTGAAACCACAATTAAACCCCGCATGATATGCCCGAGGAAAAGTCAAGACAAACTCTCCAGCATGCTGGACACAACGGCGCACAGGTACTCCTGCGGTTTTCAGTTTTGACGGGGAGAGTTGTGTAACCTACAGGAAAGAGCATCAAGGGAATTATTTTATGTAACCATACTGAAACAATGTAACCATACTGAAACAATGATGTAAAGCATAATGCATTAAAATCAGGTGCAAGTCGATGGAAGACCAAAATTTGATCTATAGAAGTTTCTACAAGGTAAATAACTACAAAAAGCAGCCCCAGATTATTACCATATTCTATCCTATGCTAATATAATATTTCAATAAAAACATCGCCATAATTGAGCCAGGATCAATAGGCTGCTAGCACAAGAAAAAATTTCTATAATTTACAAAAAAAATGTATATTCAAAGACGTACATAAAGCTATGCCAGTTCATCAAATATCTAGCACTTACTAGCTTATGAAGCAAATCAGGCTGTTCTTCGAAAAGGTCAGGCAAATGCTTTCTCATCGCCTCCTCAAGTTTAACAGCATCCTTCCCCCCAACACCATACCACAACTTTGGTGCACCCCAGTGCATATAATTCAACGAATACAAGTGGTGATCTTCAACATGCTGTTTCAGGGAAACAAAAAACAAGAGACGTAACAAAAGGAACATTAGTAATGGAAAATAATTTTTTTTAAAAAAAAAAGAAGTTGTAGAGTACTCAGAAATACATCCACTGGTGAAAATAAAATTGTAGAATATGATGACACTAAAGCATCTGGGAAGAATTCCATATCCAGAATGTATTGACATGGATATACTTTCAGTTTCATTCAGAATATTCATATGGTAAGTATCCTCAACCTTACTTATTTCGGAAATTTAAGCAAAGATAATCCTAGTCAAGCTTTACGAAAAATGGAAGTTCATTGCAATTATGAAGGACAAAAATTTGACCACAATCATCTACCATTTGTGAACAGTATACAGAAACAAAGTACATTCCTGTAGTTGTAAACTTCATTATGAGCCTATGTTTCATCTTAGTAAAAGGGAGGAATCCCAACCAAGCATACCCTTTAACATGCAATCAGAGATTAGTCTTACCCAGCAGAAAGAAGAAAAGCACATCCCAATATACAACCATGGTACAAGGACACCAGAAATATCACTGCCCTCGTACGTAAGGAGGGATCCCGGAAGCCTTGAAAAGTTATTTAAGTTCCAGCCTGATTTTGCATATTTTTCGACTGAAGAAGAAGCCTCGTGACTTGATGATGTCCTGGGGAATCCGCTACCAAATACTCCAGTTTCAAGGTCGGCACCATATAGCACCTAGTATATTGAAAAATCAACTCAGCAGTCAGGAGATACAGAGGCCCCAATAGAACATAAAACCCCAAATAAAAAGGAAAAAGAATAGGAAACAAAAATTCACCTCTATCTCTTCAGTTGCTTTATCTACTATCCGCCAGTATTCACCTTCAACATCCTCAACTGCTGGCTCCCAGCAGTCTGCGGAGTTACCAACTTTACATTCATTGTCTGTAGAAGTTTCACTCTTTTTAAAGTACTGAGCCTTGAACTCATCAGCATATTTTTTGAAGTCTTTTAAAGTGAACCCTGGACCAGGTTCAAAGCCAAACGTCTCAAGTTCACTCATTTCATTGCTTGCAGAACAGGGATCGCTCTTGGCACTAGTGACAGAATCCATTCCCATTTTCATGCACTTCCTTTTCTTCCTTCTCATTTGATTAGAAAGCTTTGAAATCTTCTTCATTGAACTCCGATTCTGAAGTTTATCAACTCTTTGGACACGTGTCGTAAATTTAGAACCTTCCCATACTTGCTTTTCTTTCAGCGGGCACGGGGGTTTCCAGGAAGGAGGAGGAACAATGCGACAGATTCCATACTTCTCAGCCTTGGGCCTTATTTTGGCAATATAATTCAGAGTGTCTTCAAACTCCTAAAAACAGGTTTGCAGTTTGTGTCAGAAAAATATGGATGTATCCACGTATAAATGCAGTTGAAAGGTGAGAGTATAGAATATGAACAAGACCTCTTCGCTCGGGTAGAATATAGGGGCATCTTCAAGGTCAGGCCTACGAGCTTCATCTGGATGCCATCTCGCAGTTACCTGTGGAAACAAAAACATTACAAGAAAAGGTAAGAAATCTAATGCTCAGGCCAAAGAGATTTTAATAGTTAGTTCTGAAGTAAGCATTAACTGAGATTGCCAACCTTTTGGCAGTCTTTACATTCTTCACATCCGCGGGTCACACCCTTTGGTAGAGAAGAAGGTTTCACAACACAATTCTGCAACGACGCGATGGATGAGACAAGGCAAAGAAACACAAGTTTAATAGGCATAGATTAAAAGCAAAACAAAGAAACCAACTTGATCAAGATTTTGAGACGAGGCATTGTCATTGTTTGGAGAATCATCATCATCACATCCGCCATAATTGATCCAAGGTCTGCGTCGTAGAGACCGAGCAGCTTTGGCTTCATCGGATTCAATCTCCATCTTAGCTGGTTCGGTTACAGAAGCACTTTCCATAGGAGTCTTGCTTTTATCATTACCAGGGACTACCCTTTTTAAGGTAAAAGTTGCATATGATTCAAACCCAGGAGGAACAGATGGCACTTCATCACTTTCTTCTTTCACACAGATTCTCATTAGTTCTGTCCCCATTTCCTTCTCTGCCAATTTCAAGGATCATGTCTCAAGCATATCACAAACCAATATTAAAATAAAATCAATAAATAAATGAAATTACATTACACGATGGAACGGATTTTTGGGCAAAGTAGACGTTTATATACAGTTCATTCGCTAAATATTTCAATCAAAATTTAAGAAGGAGAAAAAAAAATGCTTACATAGTATTTGTCTTGAATTTAGGGCTTCAAGAATTGGATGATCAAAGCAGCTGGAGCTCCATCAACTGCACCCAGATTCAGTAAATCGGAACTCAGAATCGATTAAAAAAAAATCTAGTAAGGATTTAGAGATCTAAGAACCCTAGTAATTGCAATCTAGGTATATAATTTTTTTTTTAGTTGAGGTTCATCAGATCTAACCCTAAATTTGACATGAGATTCAGATTATTACGAAATTGATGAAGAAACATCGCATGTCCTTTTCCATATTTGCAATTAAAAAAAATAAGAACATTCAAAGGTACCACCCACAAAAGTCCAAATATGAAACCAACCTTTTTTCTATATTCCCAGAAGAAAAACAAAAATCTAAAGGATGAAGGAAGAAGAAAAGGGCAAAATTGGAATTGAATCTACAGGTCCATGTTGGTGGTACTGTGATATTAAATCAATCTCTGAAGAAACAATAAGAACAACAAAAAAACAAGCAACAAAGGATAACTTTTTTCACTGGTTAATAATAAGATTAACTTATGGTATCACCTTTTTTTTTCCTTTTCAATAAAATTTTAAGATCAGATGCGAGGAAATATATGGCTTGCTGGCTTTGATAATTTTTCTGGGTTTCCTAACTTTTGCTGTATGATGCGATGATGTCTTCTTATGAGATATAACGCTTCAAAAGCAAGCAGATGCCTACAATTTCCTATGCAATATTTTTTTGTCTCAACCATCAAGGGTAGTAACCAAAGTATATATATATATATAATTAAAAGCATTAAACAACTTCATTAAGATAGTTATGGGCTTATGGCTTTATAAGTAGTTTTGTTTATCCCTTAATGGCTGACATTTTAATCACGGGTGTACATTACTGGATAACCACACAATTTTCTTTTTAAGATATGTGAAAGCATTACTAATTTAGATATATAAAGACATCTGTACTCAATTTTATGTTTTAAAAAGAAAAATACTGTATACTAGGAAATGAACTTTTACGGAAATTACAATTTGAAAAATAGAAAAGTTTATTTTATGTTTAGACATTATGAAGTTTTGTATCCATTGTAAGTTTCCTGAATTTGAGCCAGCTGTAAATGGTATCAACTAATAGGAATGTATGAATGGGATTTTGGAGAAAAAAATATAAATGTTGTCATTTGAAGACAGCTTAAGAATTATGTGTTTTCTTTTAATAAGTGCATTAGGTGTGTAGATGATTATTTTTTATTTAAAAAAGCAGTCGATATTATAGTTTTACTTAGAGGTGAGCCCTTCGGTTTAGTGGTTTTCAGTTTCCGATTTTATCAGTTTTATCAAAAATATTGATGTTAGATAAAACATTGATATAAAATTATCAAGATAAAACACAAATTTGATATTTTATCCTTTTAAATTCAATTTATTGTTATATAAATATTTAACCTATAGTTTGGTATAACTAAATGAGATTAAGAAACTTAAATCAAATTTAAAACCTAAGAACTTGATCATAAGTTTCTTTGGTTTTTTTAACTTGGTTTACAATATTGTAACTGAACCGAAAACTTGAAAACCCAATCCAAAATCTAAATTGACCGAGATAGTGGCACCAATACGCAAAAGAATACGTGGTGGTGAATGTTGGATATTTCAAAAGTGGTGGGAAGTGAAATGAAAAATGTAGAAAGATGGAGGGTGTACTTTTATAAATTAAAGGATAAACCCTACTTATCATATCAAACCCCCGAAAAAACCCAACAGTCTTGTTCCGAATTCGAAGAAGAACAAACGGTGAGTTTCTTCTTACACTCTCGTCTCTTTCATTTCTCCGGATTTTCTTATGTTAAAAACAAGTTACTCTGAAGATGCCTGCTCAAAAATTATCCGTGAATTGAGGATTTTCTGCTTCATTTAGTTCTTATTTGTGTTTTTCTTCTTGTTCTTCTCAGTCTCTGAAGCTTGTGCCTTTCTTTTTGGATGATTTATACAAACTCTTTTTGGTTTTTGGAATTCACAGGTTTTTGTTTCTCCACTCAAGTCTAGGTTATGAGATAAGCATTTAACAGCAAAGATAACATCTTCATCACTGAGCATAACAAGCTTTCGTGAAAGGAAAAATCTCTGCTTTGTTAAACAGGTCTTGGATTCTGAGAGATGACTTCATCAAATTTGCTACTTGAGGTTCACTTCTTCCGTATTCCAAATCTGTCTCCAAAGCAGGCTAATCTCTGTTATGGAGTCCGTTTGGTGAATCCTGTATCTTGCGGAAAATTGTCTTGTTTAGATTGGAAGAAAGAAATTGGGCTAAAAAGGGATGTTTATATGAGATGCCAGACTAGTGTGTGCATTGACCATGTTGATGATCTTGAGGAGAAGAGAAGCTCAGAGTTCCATCACTATGGTGTCGGTAATAATAACTTCAGAGCCAAAGTGAAGTCGAGCAAGCATCTAGGTTCTTCGGGTTTATCATCTGATGGACCACTTATCGAGAACGAAGAAGAGACGAACAATGAGATCCTTCATAACCTGTGCAGCTACGGGAAGTTAACTGACGCGTGCAAACTTGTCGAGATGATGGCACGTCACAATCAGGTTCCTCATTTTCCTTCTTGCACAAACTTAGTCCGTGGTCTAGCCAGAATCGATCAAATGGACAAAGCAATGGGTATCTTGAGAATAATGGTGATGTCTGGTGGGGTTCCAGATACCATTACATACAACATGGTCATTGGAAATCTTTGCAAGAAAAGGCATTTGAGATCTGCATTGGTCCTCTTAGAAGAAATGAGTTTGAGTGGGAGCTCTCCAGATGTGATCACATATAACACAGTGATACGGTGTATGTTCGATCATGGGAATGCTGAGCAAGCCATTGGGTTTTGGAAGGATCAACTGCGGAATGGTTGCCCTCCATATATGATTACATACACGGTTTTGGTCGAACTCGTGTGCAGGTACTGTGGAAGCGCTCGAGCTATGGAGGTTCTAGAAGACATGGCAGTGGAAGGTTGTTATCCTGATATCGTCACATATAACTCTCTGGTAAACTATAACTGCAGGCGAGGGAATTTAGAGGAGGTGGCTTTGGTTATTCAGCATATTGTATCTCATGGATTGGAACTGAATACTGTAACTTACAACACTCTTCTACATTCCCTTTGCTCCCACGGGTACTGGGATGCAGTGGACGAGATTCTAAATATCATGTACCAGACTTCCTACTGCTGTCCAACGGCTATCACTTACAACATCCTGATCAACGGTTTCTGCAAAGCCGGGCTTTTGAGTCGTGCAATCGATTTCTTCTACCAAATGCTGGAACAAAAGTGCTTGCCTGACATTGTCACTTACAATACAGTTCTAGGGGCCATGTCCAAAGAGGGAATGGTCAATGAGTCGATAGAGTTACTTGCATTGCTAGGAAACACGAGGTGCTCGCCGGGATTGATAACTTACAACTCTGTAATCGATGGGTTGGCTAGAAAGGGTCTGATGGAGAAAGCATTGGAGCTGTACCATCAGATGCTAGAAGCTGGAATCTTTCCCGATGATATAACCCGTCGTTCTTTGATTTATGGTTTCTGCCGGGCAAACCTAGTTGAAGAAGCAAGTCAAGTTTTAAAGGAGACGAGCAATAGAGGGAATGGAATCAGAGGTAGCACTTACAAGTTGGTGATTCAAGGGCTATGCAAGAATAAAGAGGTGGAAATGGCGTTACAGGTTGCTGAGATTATGCTAACGAGTGGATGTAAGCCAGATGAGACGATATATACCACAATAATTAAAGGCGTGGAAGAGATGGGAATGGGAAGTGAGGCTGATCAGTTGCAGAAGAAGCTGAAGCAATGGAAACTCTTGAGAGAAATGTAGAAAACGTATTCGAAGCGTTTCTTTTGTTGGTTCTTTTTGGCCTTTTGTACAGGAAACCAGTTTTGTAAGTCGGCAATGGTTGAATTAGATAGCTTAGGCCTCCAATTACACAAGTACGTTTCAGTGTACTGTCACATTTCTGGTCACTCTTTTGCCCTTGCCTTTTTTTTGTATTGTATTATCCACAGCTTCAAATTCGACTTTTACGTTAATCCCATATTAATATGATCTAAATTTTGAACAAACACGTTGAAAAATGTATATTACGTTAATCTCGAAACAAAGAGCTTGGCAAATTCATTGGACAAAAAAAAACCTTGCAGAGATGAAAACCTTAAATCACTTTAGATTTACAAGACACGAGTTTCAGCATGATTAGAAGTAAACCCTAACAAACGCCCTGATTTGATCTCGGCAATGACACTATACTCTAAATCATCTATAACCTCAAAGGAATTTCAAATGTTACTAAATCCCTTTAATATTTAGTAAACTCAACTCTTTAGCAATATGTTCATTTACTAATTAGTTTACCTCTGAAAGTTTGGATGCGGGAGTAACGTCTTCCCACGATATGAAGCGCCCGCACTCCCCACAGACAGTGCTGCTACCGACTCTTCTTCCTTGGCTTATGAGTGTAAGCTGATGCGCGATTCTAGTGCAGTTGCGGTTAACAAAACGACTTCTGTTGAACCCCTTTGGCTGGCGTTGGGGTTGTGTTTGTGCGGAAGGCGAAGGTTTTTGGAGCACTGGAGCTTCGCTGAATGGAACCCGCTGAACTTCTTCCCACTCAAGCGCTCTCCTGTAAACTTCCCAGGCCATATCTTTTTCTTCCTTCGTCAGTCTTTCTTCTTCATTCTCTTGTAGCAATGTCTCGTGCTCATGAAAACTGGAAATCCAGCTAGTAAAAGAAAAAACGACAGAGAGTCTTAAAGGAAGTGGCGTAGAAAACCAAAGAATTTAAGTACCAATTGTGAATATGGGCAAACTTACTTGGGGCTGTGTCTCTGCAGTAAGTTCTCCATCAGTTTGTCAGAGACACGAGTTAAAGTGCCCTTCTGTTTCTGTGAATTCTCCATTAAAAATCCTGTGTTTTGACTACCTGTTGCTTTGTTTTCCTTGGTTATCTCAGGTACGGCGTCAGATTTCTCATCATCATCGTCAAATTCAAACAGATGTAACATCTCTTCTTTGGAGATAGTCCTGTGCACTTGTTGTCTATCCACCACTCTCGCAGCTAGCCCCTCCTTGTTCACCTAATCATATTGACATATCTGATTCATGATTCTACTCATAAAGAAATAATTTCTGAAACTCAAATGTTTTGGGTCTTTCAATACCTGCCGTTTATATATTTTTTCTTCGATAGTCCCACGTGCCATCAACCTGTACGCAAATACTGGCTTTTTTTGGCCATACCTGCAAACAATAAGTCCACATGATACTAAGCCACATTTCTTAATGCTATGTTGACAAAATTTAATTCCACCTGCTAGTTTAAGAAATACCTCCAAGCTCGAAATATAGCTTGAAGATCATAGGTTGGATTCCATGAACCATCAACAATGATCACACGGTTAGCAGCATAAAGATTAATTCCAAGGGATCCCGCTCTGGTTGAGATTAGAGTGCATTTCACCCTTTTGTTTTCAGGCTCATTGAACCTATCAACCAACTTCTGGCGTTCTGAGCTTTCGGTTTTTCCATCAATTCTGCATCCATGCAAGGGAAGTTAGGAGCCGTCATAATTGTTCATACAGCAACATATGAAAGAACTCGATACCAACCTATACCAGTCTTTTCCCTTCTTCCAGAACTTTCCTCGTTTGCCATGCCGAGGTACTCTTGAAAGATAAAGTTCAATGAGATCCAATGTCGGAATACTCTGGCTAAACACGAGCGCCTTATCAGCCACATCAGCACACATGGATAAAATATCCAACAGCAAAATCATTTTGCCACTATAGTCCGACACCTTATAATTATTTTGGTGAAGTAGGTCGACCCACCAATCCTGGCAAAAAGACCGGTTTAATCAGCGCACGTGTGTATTATTACGCAGTTTACTTCAAAGTTGTTGGCAGTAATAACTACTTCAGTCAAGCCGAGTAGACTATAGTTACCTTCTGGAGGTAGCCATCAACTTTATCTTGCAAATCATTCATAGTTCTCTGTTTCTCTGTCAGTATCCAAAAAAAACGACAATGCCAAATTTGTTAATATTTTGCAGTTATTGAACTTGTTATAGATGTAAATCAAGAAAGATCACTCCTGCAAATTCAGTCAAATATGATGAAGCTTGAAAACATACACGTCGCTGGAATAGGTGTTCTCTAAATTATTGCATGTCAGAGATTATTGTCGGTAAGAAAGTCTTAAGACAAATAAAACTAGTGCTCCAGCTACGGTCAATCTTATTCAAATTAGAACTGTACAAAACGGTTTAATTCCTACTACACCTAACATTTCCTTGAATGAAAGCAAAAAAAAAAATATCTATCATACCCATGGCACAAGGCAAAATATATCTATCATACCCATGGCACAATGCACATAGCTTCTGTTTCTGTTATTCAAGTTTAAACAAAACATAAAAATGTGATCAGTGAGACTTAAAAGTTACCTCCCACAACCATGTTGCAGTCAATATTTTCATCACTTGAACAGTCATATGGAATATCAACAATGCTACCACGGCGACCGTATTTGCTATCTTCCCTTCTTAATTGCGGAATCCCTGGATGATTCAGAATCTGGGAGACGCAAAACCACAGAGGGGATTCAGAATACGAAAACGTATACCAAATAAAATTTCCAAGGGGCTTATCAGTATTTTCTTCTCAAATCTGTTATTAGTTTAAGCACTAGCATCTGAACAGACTAAAATTGTAAATTCAAGGACTAGCAAGGATTTATCACATTTAATACCTGAGCCAAGACCTGGTAAGCAGCAAAAAAGTTTTTCCTCATCCTTTCATCTGTTCTTCCATCGCTGAACCCATACAGCCTAAGAAATCTCTTATACAATTTCCGTTGCAAGGGCGATAGCTTGACAGATATTACGAAGACAGTTTTGGGTGGCAGATCCTTTTTCACAACATTCATATCCATTCTTTGGACAAATCCTTTCAATTGCTCATACAGGATGTGTGATCTCTGGTTCATAATTTTCACGTCCTCGGCAGTTGAATTCATATGCTGTCCGTTTTCTATTGGATTTTGGAAGCTGCAGGCATAAGCACGATTAGAATTCCAGATGATCACAGGCAAATAAGAAAACACTGGTACGAAAGACTAACCGATTTCTGAACTCAGGGCTGCTTCCCAAGAATCCTTCTCTTACAAAATCAACCATCTGTTGTAGTAAAGACATAACTTAAGAAATTGGAGCTAAGAACAAATTAGTTTACATGTTTCTATGGTTTCTTCAATAACTTACACAATAATATTCCATGAGATTGTTTTGAAGGGGTGACCCAGTTAAGGCAATTCTTCTCTGGCTTTTAACTTGCTTCAATGCTTGCGTTGTGTCAGCCCTGGTATTCTTGATAATGTGCGCCTCGTCGCAAACAAGTATATCAGGTCCATCCTGCAGCCACATAGGTGTTTAGAATTGCAAGAATAAAACATCGCAAGCAGAAGAACATGTAAAAAAGGGAAAGCTCAAACAAGAGAAAACAAAAAATTCTATGGTACAGAAATGCGCTAAGATAGGCATCACAATTCACAAAAATAACCTAAACAGAAAGATTAATCTTCGAGAAGAAATGTGTAACCATAAACAGCAAGTGAAAAGTTAAAAGATCTAAAATACGAACAGGATAATAAATAAAATTATGCCACTGAAATTATAGTCTCACCCTCAAGGCATTACAGATTTCTCTGGCCGCATTTATATCCTTCACACCCCTCCCAAGAGAGAGGTTTCTAAAAGCGGCATATCCCATCAAGAAGACTCCACCCTTATTTCGCCACTTCGTTAGCAAGTCCAACCTCCTCTCCCTTGAAACGTCTTCAAGCATGAAAATGCGAAGTGGTTTCACTTCTGAAGGCCTCCACTTCGTAAACTCACTTCGCCAATTGTGTAACACATTAACAGGGGTCACGATAAGAGCAGTTTTCAACCCCAAATCAACACATCTCATTGCGGTGTACAGGAATGCTATAACCTGATAAGTTTAAGTGGGAGATGATAATGAGCCAGTAACAGCACACATCATATTAATGATTAACCATTACTAACATGCATTAATGTAAAACGATATAAGATACAAGCAAACAGACTCGTGCATAAAAAAGAATTAAGCACCTGAAAAGTTTTACCCAGGCCCATTGTATGTGCTAGAATGCACCCAAGACCTTTATCACCAGACTTCACTCTGCTGATAGACTGAATAATATTTTCCCACATAAATCTAATCCCTGTAACCTGAAAATAGAAACCACAAAAATCACAGCAAAAGTCATTTTCATAATAAGCACTTCTAGTCGGATGGATAATGCCCAATAGTACAGGTTACAAGAGAGAAGGAAGTAAGTTATGCAGATAGTTTCGGCTCATGCACATATAGTAATGCTAACCTGATGGACTTTTAGTTTGCCAGATATGCTACGAGGAACTCTCACAGCTTCTTCACCAATCTCCCTAGCCACATTCACTATGTAACCACTGTGAGCATCACCAAGAACCTCAGTTTCCGCACCTTCTGGAATAGTTTTCACGTCTCCCAACGAGCTAATTGTTTTGTATCTGGCCGAAAACTGCAACGACCTAAGGCGCTCCTGTCGTTCCTACAAAAACAAAGAACCAAATGTACAATGAGCAACAATAAAAAAATTCAAAGTTTGCATGCAAATATAACAAAACAGTAGGGAAAGCTGACACCTTCTCAATTGCAATTTTCCTTCTCGTATCTTTCCCTAGTTCAGCATCATCGATTATCCGCCGAATTTTCTTTTTCGATTTTTTCTTTGAGCTAAAAGAAAAAAGTCAAGATTAGTTCGAAACATGCTGGACTTTTATATCCGCTAGATGTGTATATGATAATACCTTATTGCTACATTGACATCAGTATCTGTATCAACGGAATTGTTTTCAGAGCTGGAATCAGAGCTAGAATCTGAGCTGGAATCAGAGCTGGACTCTATTGACTTCTTATCACCCATAGCTTTCTCCAGTTCCAGTGTCAATCGTTGCAAAGGAATTGGAGC